CGGAAAATTTTCAAATCTTCCATTATGTGTCAACCAAAAAAGGTAAGAATTAATTTTATTCATTAAACAATCTGATTTGATTTGAAATTCAAAAACAAACATATATAATCCACATCTATAATATATAGTATTATACTAAGAGAGAAACCAGAGAGAGGGAATCAAATTTCTTCCCACGTTGACACATAGGACAAAATCCTATGTGTCGGTTTTCAATTGGTTGCAACAAAAACTATTTTCAACAATTACACCAAATGTCCTCTAAATTTTCAGTTACTCATTTGTTACCAATTTGAAATTAATGAACCATTAATTAACAAACCCACTAAATCAGCAAAAACCATAATCAACAAAAACTTTCTATTTCGTAATTGTGAGATGAAATAAAAACGGAAAATCTTCAAATCTTCCATTATGTGTCACCCAAAAAAGGTAAGAATTAATTTTATTCATTACACAATCTGATTTGATTTGAAATTCAAAAACAAACATATTCAATCCATATATATAGTCTTGATTAATTTGTTCCTATACAGGTTGTAAATAGAATAAATATTATATCATAGAATTTTAAAATTTGAAATTTTTTGTGAATTATTGTAAGTATTAAACGCTTCCAAGAGTTTGTTTAGGAAATCCCTAAAGTTGGGGATCGGAATTATAAATTTTAGACACCTCTCATTTTTTCTTAGGAATCCTTTCATTATAAATCTATAGTATCTATAGTATTATACTAAGAGAGAAACCAAAGAGAGAAAACAAAAAAGAATTCTAAAGGTGCCACATATGATAAAATCCTATGTGTCATTTTTCTAATGGTTGAGTCAAAAAATATTTACAACAATGATACTAATAGTCCTTCAAATTTTATGTAAATAAAGTTTTATCAAATGGCATTTAAAACTATAGTTTAAAATAGGAAAATAAAAATTAATTAAATTTAATAGACGGGATTAATGAACATTAATGCACCAGAATTATTCCTTCCAAAAAGTAATCCCCAATTATTATTAATTGATTGATTTAAATTATAAGTTCAAAGGGATAAGACATTTGTTATTTTCAACATTAATTCACCGGAATTTTTTACCCCAACCAATTCGAATAAAAAAAAATCCCTCTACAAAATAATACCTAAAATCACTACTTGATTGATTTAAAACCTAAGTTCAACGTGCGGGAAAGTGAGAATTCTTTAGTGATTAAAAACTAATCAAATTTAATTGAAAAAGATTAATCAACATTAATGCAATGGAAGTCATTTCTCCACCAATTTTATCCCTTAATCAACGTGACGTTATCATCTTTATTCCATAGTTATGAATTTTACTTTAGTTACTGGTTATGATATCTCATTCAGACATTCACTATAAATATCTACTTCGGTCTAACTCTAACATGTACAATGACAACCGGTGAAACACTAAAGCGAAGCATCTTATAAACTTTACAAAACATCTTTGCGGCGACGACCTCACTCCGATCATGTTTTATTTAACATGTAAGGTGTCTCTTTCTCCAATTGTTTGCAATCTTGATTAACATGCGTTTTTAACCGTGTAGACATAAATTGCTTTGATTCATATGACATGTAACATCTGATTTATTATTTTGGTGGTCTTTTTTACTTTTATTTGTATATAATCCTTATACATATTCCATTATTTAATTTACATTTTTGGCATACAATTTATAAAATGTTTTCATTTCAAAGTATATATAACAATTTTATTTATCCCGATCTAATTTAACTTTAATCATATATTTATTATTACAAACCAATTACTTTATTTGTATTCATCACATTTAAAATTTAAAAATATTTAATAGATGTATATGTATAAACCCCGCACATCGTGCGGGTTTAACATCTAGTAACGCTTAATCCAGTTTTCTTTCAATAAAACTAGTATTATGCTCGCACGTTATGCGAATTTTACTATATTTAGAGTAACATTAATATACCAATATTTTCTTATAAAAAATGTCATATGTTTTAGTTTTTCCGTTTTTCGGTATATTATGCATTCGGAGTCCAAATTCAAGAGTGTCATCTGATTTCTTTTTTTCGTTTTTGGTATATATTGCATCCGGTGTTTGAAATCATTGTTCCAACTAATCCGTCTTCGAATCGGGTACGTAACTTTTGGAAGACAACCTCTTCCAACAATCATTACTACATGCCCACGCACAGATTTAATCATGGATTGTAGTTAACTTGGTACAATATTATTACCACTTTGATCAAGTACTTCTTAGCCATACAGGGTATTTTAAAATATAAATTAATATGTTCAACTATCTAATATGCTTCTTGTTTAGGAGTGATAGCATATCAAAAAAAAAATAATAATAAAAAGATCTAAAATACGAATTAATATGATCAATTGTCTACTATCCTACTTTTTTAGGGATATAAGTATATTAAAGTTATTTTTAACAAAATAAATTAAATCATGTATACTCTTAAAATATATTGACTGAAAAGCATATATTATTTACTTGTAGTAATTGAATCAAATATTATAAATAATTTTTTTAGGCATAAAGCAAAATAAAAAAAAATAAAATTCAAACAAAAGTAAATAAAGCACAAAAATATGAGGGGGGAGGGAACCTTGACAAAAAAAACTAATAAATAATTTTGAAATAATTATCCATACTTCAAACTTTTTTCTTAGTTTTTTTATAATAGTAAAACAGGCTATGCCTGGATGGTGCATGACTTATTTTATTTATCTGAACTCATAACTTTTTCCTTAGTTATGAAATTAAACTCTTTTATTTTTGGAAAATATATCAAATAATTATATTTAAAAATAATATTAGTATATGTATGATGTATCTAAACTTGATTTCAAATTGTATTCATAATATAATAATTTGACAACTAATATTTATATTTTTGATAACTATTTTTTTTATTTTTGAAAAATATATCAAATGGAATCATTTAAAATAAAACAAATATACAATTAATGTATCTAGACTTAGTTTTGAATTATATTCGTAATATAATGATTCGTTAACTAATCTTTCTATTTTTGTGATTAATCTCTTTTTATTTTTGGAAATATATCAAATAAAATGTTTTGAGAAATAATATTAATCTACATTTAATGAATTCAGACTTGATTTTTAAATTGTATTCATAATATATATATATATTTTTGTAACTAATCTCATTTTATTTTTTTCTTAAATGGAATCATCTGTAAAATAATTAACCTATCTTGCATGTATATAGACTTAGTTTCGAATTATATTTGTATTATAATTATTTAGTAACTATCTTTTTTTATTTTTGAAAAATATATCAAATGAAATAATTTGAAAAATAATATGAACATACATTTAATTTATACAGACTTAGTTTCGTATTATATTTGCAGTATAATTATTTAGTAACAAATATATTTTTTTTGTTATTGGTAACTAATCTATTTTTATTTTAGGAAAATATATCAAATAAAATCATTAGAAAAATATTATCAACTTATGTTTAATGTATCCAGACTTAGTTTCGAATTGTACTTGTATAATTATTTGATAAATGATCTCTACGTTTTGGTAAATAGTCCCTTTTTATTTATGGAAAATATACCAATCATAAAAGAAATCATATTAACATACTTGTAATGTAGGTAAACTTGGTTTCGAATTGTATTCGTAATATAGTTATTTGGTAACAATTTTTTTTTGTAACTAATATCTTTTAATTATTAGAAAATATATCAAACAGAATCATCTGAAAAATAATATTAACTTACGTTTAATGTATCCAGACTTAGTTTCAAACTGTATTCTTAATACAATTATTAATTTGATGATTAATGTTTCCTTATGTCATATATTTATCAATAATTACGAAAGACGTGTTTATTTTTCCGAAATCAACTATTGGTTAATTGCTTAATTCAAGTTAACCATTTTTACGTATTTGTAATAAACTTTTAACTGTTTAATGAAAGAGAATTTTGGTAACGACACATGGCACAATTGGCTAAAGTTGTTCTTTGAGCAACACGTGTTGGTTAAGAACTCTACTTTACTGTATATAATAAATTTTCTTTCTTCTCAAATAAGTGATATTTATTATGCGACATTGAAATAATTCAATGAAGAAAACTCTTATTTTAAAACAAGAAAATAATCTCTCAAAAATTAAAAGAGACGATGGTTTTTTTTTTTTTTTTGGTTACAATAAAGAAAGGATCAAGTCTTGCGATTTAAACATAAACACTACTGACATGCTCAAGCCAAGGTAAAATACTTAATGATAGATCATCGAGCCATTGTAATCCTCTTGGTCTTTTAGTCACTAGAGATGTCAAATAGTCTGTTACAAAATTCGCTTCTCTAAACTCATGTCGGGGTTCTACTACCCAGTCCCGTGAGAACAATTGTTGAATCTCACCAACAATTAAGATCGGTATTAATACCAAATATCTCCTCTTATAAATTACACTTTTTTGTGATACTCACTATGGTACAATCCAATTACTTCTTATAAAAGATATAATTTGTGTTAATACATATACTATTCACAATTACTTTCGAAATATATATATTTTAGGATTAAGAGTTCAGTTTTTTCAGTTTAGGCCTTATTTATTTTAATTTTTATAATTAAAAAATTCAATAAAAATAATCAAATTTCATAAAAAATAAAATATTGATGTAAAAAGTAAAATTAATAATATGAAAATCATCTACATTGAATATATATTATTATGGTATATGTATTAACACAAATTATATAATCTATACGAAGTAATTAGAATGTGTCACAGTGAGTGTCACAAAAAAGTGTCACGGAATATCTCGTACCTATCTTTACCATTTACCATTACAATAATGCTATTATTATCAATCTCCACTATCACTTTTCGGTATCCCCTTTCTCATTCTAATTTTGGAGCCTGTAATGAACCCCACAACTCTGCTCTAATAATTGAGCAAAAACCTATATTCATCATAACATACATGCCCATCTACCAGAGCAATCTTGAACCACCCCTCCAGCACTCACCATTCCCGAATGAAACTACCATCCGAGTCAACCTTCACCCATTCAGAAGTGACGATGGTTAATAATATATGTGCTAGTGACAAACTGACAATGGTCAATGAAAATGCCTTCACCAGATCCGTTGGCCCACGGCATTGAATAAAATTGTATAAATTTGGTGTACCCCAACCATTTAATTTGGATATTTTCCCATATATGAAAAATAGAAAGTTGCTCTATACCGGGGGTGGATAAATTTAATTGCCACTATTACTAGCTACCACAAATGACACGAGAGGAACCAAAATAAATTTGGTTTAGCTTAGTATGACAAGGCCTGTCAAAGAACACGATCTTTTCTGAGGAGATTTGTTTGTTTTCTACCATTTTGGCTCGAATTTTCTGACAAAATATATCTCCAATTTTATGATGTGTACTGTATCCAGCCAGCCCACCAATTTTTCCTGCTTAATTCTCGAATAGCCTCACTCCAGAACACACAAACCAAAAAAAAAAGACAGAGAGAAAACGGGGAAGAAGATGGATGAAATCTTGTTGCAAAAACATAGTAGCTATGAGTTGATAAGTTCGGAGCTGGAAGATGTGCTCTCGGACGGGAGTTTGCCGGTTTCCCGGCGACTATGGCGAGGCCTCAGTATTGAATTCATGACCCTTTTCCGGCTAGCTGCGCCTGCATGCGTGGTGTACTTGCTTAACAACGTGATTTCCATGTCTACTCAGATTTACTGCGGACATCTTGGTAACGTTCAACTTGCTGCTTCTTCCCTTGGCAATACCGGCGTCCAACTTTTCGCCTATGGACTCATGGTACTTTCTATTGTTATCACACTCATCACTTAAATTCCTCTGTTTCCTCTGTTTTTGCATATATACTTTGCCTAGTTTTGTAAATTAGCTGTATGTTTAGTGGTACAATTTTTAATCACGCGTTTGTTAACACTATTTGAACATCTAAAGAGCAATTAACATATCGGTTGCTATGATTATTGTTATTTAAAGAATTAACTCCATTTTGATGGTTCATATACTTGTTGTTCTTTAGTCCATATGTGACACAGGTGACCCGTGATCGTAATTTTGTGATCACAGCTATGATAGTGATACATGTAAAATTGTGTCAACTTATTTAGAGCTTGAAATTAACAGAATTGAGCAAATTATAAATTTATTACAAATGTTCAATTGTGTAGCTTGGCATGGGAAGTGCTGTGGAGACACTTTGTGGGCAAGCATACGGTGCACACAAATATGACATGTTAGGCATATATCTCCAAAGATCAACCATACTTCTCATGGCAACTGGAATTCCCTTAACGCTAGTTTACATCTTCTCCAAGCCAATCTTGCTCGCTCTCGGCGAATCGGAAGAAGTCGCGGAGGCTGCTGCATTATTCGTTTATGGCCTAATCCCACAAATATTTGCATACGCTGCGAATTTTCCCATACAAAAATTCTTACAAGCACAGAGTATCATCTTCCCAAGTGCATTGATCGCAGCGGTATCCCTGGTGATTCACGTGTTGTTAACATGGGTTGTGGTCTATGTGTTGGATTGGGGTCTTTTAGGTGCATCATTGACACTGAGTTTCTCGTGGTGGATTATTGTGGTGGCTCAATTTGTGTATATTTTGATGAGTGAAAAGTGCAAGAAAACTTGGACTGGATTCAGTTGGCAAGCGTTTTCAGGACTATGGGAGTTCTTGAAATTGTCAACTTCCTCTGCTGTGATGCTCTGCCTTGAGACTTGGTACTTTCAGATTTTGGTCTTGGTTGCTGGTTTGCTCCCAAATCCTACTATTGCATTGGATTCCCTAGCGATTTGGTACGTTACAAATTTCATTCTCCAATTCATCTGAGTCACATCTATTATTCTTTATTCTCAATTTTTGGTTGTGTTGTCATTACAATCACAAAAAAAAAGAAAAAGAAAATCAATAATAGGTACTGCATGTCACGTTTCTTTTCTTCATTTTTATTTGGTCCCTCTAGAATCAATTATAAAATTGAAGAAAAAGGAATTAGAGAGTAAATTAATTGTCCTTTCCCTCAAGACAAAACAGGATGGGCCAAGTAAAAGGAAACATTTACTCGTATCATTTTATTTATTCATCAAAAGAGGGGGTAGGTGATTGTCAATTTCAGTTGATCCAACTCTTGGCAAGTCATTTTCAATTTGTGGTAGGCGTATATATATAGTCAGTCATATGATGTGTGTCCTACACATATGTTAGGTTATTCTTAATTATGTGCTACACTACATTTCCTGTTTGTCAAATCAAATTATTAATCCTATAATAGACTTCCTTTTCATTTTTCCAACTACACGGTTAAAATTCTCAATGACGGAGTTTTGGGGTAACAGACACCCTCGCACCCTATCTCAGAATAAAAATTTTTAGTAGAAAATTATTTAATTAGCTACTTGCACATAAGGGTTCTGAAAATTTGTAATTCGATTACTCCCCCTGTCGCAAAATTATTATCCAATTTGAGATTTCACTTTTACTATAATTTAAACTAAAAAATAAAAACTCAAACTAGACAATAATTTTAGGACAGAGAGAGCGTTATTTTTTATATATTCGTTCCTCTTTATAAGAGAATGACACATGTAAATGTTTGTGTAAAAAAATAGAAAGAAGATAACGGAACAACTATTATTATCTATGCAGTCAAACAATCCTTGGATGGGTGTTTATGGTGGCAGTAGGTTTCAATGCAGCAGCAAGGTTAGTGATTCTTACAAATCTTTGACCACTTTTTTGTTGGTTGTTTCAACTTTTAATCTTTGTCATGTACGTTACTTGTCTAATGAAGCGTATATTGGATTTGTACAGTGTAAGGATTAGCAATGAACTCGGAGCGGGACACCCCAAATCGGCATCATTTGCAGTGGTGATAGTGAACTCGAGTTCTTTCATAATCTCGGCAATTTGTGCCGTTCTCGTGCTCATTCTCCGGCATGTCATGAGTTACGCATTCACCGAAGGTGAAGTTGTTGCTGAAGCTGTGTCAGACCTTACTCCTCTTTTGGCCATCTCTATTCTGCTGAATGGAGTTCAGCCTGTTCTATCTGGTGAGTCGTTTTCAAAGATCTATGCGAGAGATTGCCCAGTTTGGATTTTCATTTTGTTACAAATTATGCTAAAAGAAAAGAAGTTTCAAATAAAACAATCATTCTGATACATAAACATTATATATATATATATATATATATATATATATATTTTACTCATGACCAGTAATTTGACGTATATGGATTTTCTTGTGATTGTGATGATGATTAAAAAAAGGCGTTGCTGTTGGATGTGGATGGCAAACCTTTGTTGCATATGTGAACGTTGCCTGCTACTACATTGTTGGCATTCCTTTGGGAGTATTACTTGGATTTTACTTCAATCTTGGTGCCAAGGTATATATATTGCACTCATTTTATTTCCTATTATTAAAAAAATTCTTGGCTTTCTCAACAATAAATGACAATATATGTGATTTTTTTGTTTCTTTATTGAATTGCAGGGGATATGGTCGGGAATGATAGGAGGGGTAGCAATGCAAACTTTGATATTACTTTGGGTCACTTTCCGAACCAACTGGAATGATGAGGTACTATTTATTCTTAATTTCTAGTTCACTTCATAACCCCTAAAAGCCAAAACAGTAGGACGTATAAAACTCCAAAACCTTAATAACAACGATCGAAATGAATTAAATTTTCTCAAAAAAAAACTTGGATATGTTTGAAAATTTTCAGGTAGACAAGGCCAGGAGTAGGCTGGACAAGTGGGGCGACCAGCGGCAACCTATGTGAATGACGCCCCGTCTGATCATTATTTTCCCCTCCAAATTTAATAATATCATTTTATTTATAATCGAGGTCTAAATCTTGTACGTATCATAAGAACGAAGGCAAAACAATTTATTTTTTTCAAACAAATTAAGCAGATATTCACTTTTAAATAAGTTGGGAATTCTTTTTTTTTTTTTATATACAGTTGTCTTTCTCTTTATTGTCACATATAAGATTATCGAGGAATACAGGTAAAAAAAAAAAGGGTCGGGATGAGCCTACTCTATCCAACTCTAGGATATCTTTAATTGTATATGGAGGTTTTGACAAAATATGCATTCCGAGAATAAGAAAGACCAAATTTCGCTAGGACATTTGGTCGAAAGCATATATTTTACTTCTAATCCTTTTCCAGGTACCAGGCCCAAATCCATCTTCAACAAATTTAGAGATCTCTTGTGTTTAACCAGCCCAAGATTATGGGGGTTTCAAGACTTTCATCATATGTACTGCTAAGTGTTACACTAATCCGGTTCTTTGTAAACAGCTATCTCAATAATTTTCTGGGTTGAAACTTGAGAGACTAATCATTCCCATTTTTGAATATTAAGTTTACATATATCAGCACATATTGCTTCTTCTTTTTTTTTTTTTTGTATATTCCATTGGCCTTATTTTGCTAATTCAGGTTTTTTTTTTTTACAAAGATACCTGTATATTAATTAAGAAATACCTGAACTATTACATCGCATTCTATGGAATGCTAAATTATGTAATTCTAAAACATCTCGTCTAATTATTTTAATCAGTGAGCAAGACTGAAATAAGAAAATACTGGTAACTAACAAAGAAACTACCTCCTGGGCCTTAGAAGGTATGAAAGTAGACCGTAAATCTCCACTCAAAGCTTCACAGTCCGTATAAACTTGAAGTCGAGTGATCCCTAAATGTATCGCCTCTTTCAAGGCCAAGAAACAAGTCATTGCCCCGGCTTAAAAAGGAGAAAGTACACTAAGATCCACCGCTTTGATTTGCATCACCATACCATAATGTGATAGAATCTTTCAAGCACCAACAACTTTGTATGTTAGATGGCTAAACGATCCATCGAAAATGACTAAGGAATCAGCCAGACCCCTCTGTGGTAGCAATGATTGTGTGTTGGGAGAAGATCTTCTAACTACCAGTCTACCAAGGTTTAGCTTGTGAAGAGTGACTTCATCTTTGATAAGTCTCCAAGATACCACCGAATCATAAGATTGGTTTCTCCAAATTTTAAAATTTCTTTTCAACCAGATCCTCTAAATAATAATCATAAACAAATCAACTTCCTCTTTAGCTGGATGAGACTGGGTCCACTGAATGAAGCATTGGTACAAGGAGTCATATGTAGAGTTGAATATTGAGCCAAACTAAGGAAAAGTCAAGGCCATCTACACTTAAAGAATAAGTGTAAACTATCCTCCTCCTACCTACCACATCTGGGGCATAATGAGTCCACTTGAACTCCCTTTTTACATAGTTCTGATCGAGTAGAAAGAGCATTGAGTAATGCTCTCCAGAAGAGGAACTTGTGAGATCCATTACTTCATAACTTTGGGTTTACTATACCACAACAGAAATTACCACGTGCTGCACGCGCTCCAAAAAAAATCCCCCAATTTCCCCAATACCCAGCATCTGACCGCTGTAACTTCCGATTCACTCCCAATTTGCCTTCTTGTTTGAACACCTTGTAATCCCCATCAATCAAAAAACACAGAGCCGTTCTATTCCATGGAATTCTAATCATTGGAACTTTGCTATCAAACCGGAAGATCCATCATTAGTTGGTCAAAAGAGCTCTCCTCTGCCGCGGTTGTTCCTCTTGGAGTTGGCCGTCGTTCTACTTCTGCCCATCACAGCCACTAATTTTTGCTGCTCGGTTCTCTGATCTGAAAGCTGCTGCTGTCGATTGTGGGCCTTCTTCTGTGAAGTAGCTCAACCTCTTCGCCAATCTTGGGTTCCTTGCCCGGCGGGATTTGTTTCGGCGCTCTTTTTGTGATATAGGCATCGTCATTTTGTCCTTGCACTCTGCCTTCGCCTGATCTGATTTGGAGCCAATAGCCACCATTACAAGGTACCTTCGGCAGTCAAAATCAGTTTAGAAGGTTTGGTGTTGCTCCCAAAGTTACGTGCTTCTAATGGAGGAATTGCGGATTGCAACTCATCGTCAGGTTAATAAATATCTCTCTCTTGGCAAAAGTATCCTCCAACAATTCTTCTTTAACATACCTAAAGCGATAGCTACTGGAGAATTGCTTAAATGTCATTTCATTGATCTTTAACATAATATAACCACTACAATGACAAATGGAATCTCCACCATTTTAATGACGTTTTACTTAGTTGCATCTCCGGAACGGACATCTCAAAATAGAGATTCTCGAAGGCAAAGGAATAGGAAGAAAAAAATCGATAGTACCGCACATGAAAGTTTTGCTTCTAAGCAGGGAGAACAAATGGAGTGGAGGCAAGTATCCAAATCTGGAGGAGCTTCTTTTGGGGATAATATTCTTGGTTCGCTATCAGCAGAATCAATGGATGTGGAACACGGAGAACACCCTATACCCAAACCACTACAAAAAGGTGTCTTTCAGGAGAGCACAATAGACCTACCATTCATCAGCAAAACTACTGCCTGTTTTGTCAGCTTCCACAAAAAGATGGTGCTAGGTGGTTCAAATAAGAAGTGGAAATGTTTCCCTTCTAAATTTTCTTTAGCAGGCCCTTCAAACTCTTCAAATCGGTCCTTTCGTAGTAAAAGGAAGTCCTCTGTGGTGGACCAAACAGACATCAGCATTGAACATAACATACAACCTTGCAAAAGGAGGACCTTGGTATCACAAAATAGCCAAGGTTTGGAGGCATTTGGCAACAAAATACCAAGACTACGGTGACTGGTAAGTTTTCTAGCATTCTGAAGTGTTTTGGGTTGAACTAAATCAATTGCCTTTGTTTCAATGAATATCCTTTCTTGAAATTGTAGGAGTATGAATAATGCCTCCTCTAAGCATGTATTAGATAGATTAGTTAAGGAGTATAAGCCTAGTATTCTGTTTGTGATGGAGACCAAGGCTAGTAAGGTTAATGTTTTGACTTGGCAGCAATCTTCTATTTTTAACAATTCAGTTGTAATAGATCTTGTAGGACTTAGTGGTGGTTTGTGCCTCTTTTGGGTAGATAGTATTCAGTTAAGTGTGCTCTATCAAAATGCCAATGTAATAGTTACTAAGGTTACGGCCTAGAATGGCTGGCCATTTTTCTGTATGGTCCCCCTTTGCAGCAAGGTAGGGCAGAGTTTTGGTGACATTTAAATGGGATCATCCAGGACTTTAGTTACTCTAGTATCTTGTTAGGGGATTTTAATCAAATCTTAGATCAAGAGGATAAATTTGGTGACCGTCCAGTTTGGCCTCAAGACACAAGAAACATACAGCAGCTATTGTCTTCTAATAACTTAGAAGAATTGAAACATTTGGGTTGTTGGTATACATGGACAAACAAGAGACACGGACATGAGGCAATTTTTGAAAGGTTAGATCGTGCTTTTGTTAATAAGCACTGGCTAACCACTTTTAATAAGGCTGTCATCAGGAACCTTCCAATGACGAGCTTGGATCATAGCCCAATTCTTGTGGAACTTAAAGCAAAAACGCTCTCAGAAGAAGCATCATAAATTTGAGCAGTTCTGGTCGAATTTTCCTTCTTCAAAGGATTTGGTAACCCAAGCTTGGACTCATTCTCCACTTCATATTGATAGTCCCCTGGATAACCTCTCATTCCGACTGGATAGAACTTTGTCAAAACTCCATCAGTGGAGTAAAAGGCATCATGGCAACCTAGATACTCTAGTCTTCAAGCTGACTGAGAAACTGGCACAAGCTCAAATGCAATGGGAAAGAAATAAATCAGATGAGCAGTTTAGCATGCAGCTGGAACAACACCGAGTGGAATTGGAGGAAGCACTGCAGCTCCAACAGGATTATTGGCATCAGAGGGCCAAGCTTAACTGGTCACAATTTGGAGACAGAAACACCAAATTCTTCCATAAATGGGCTGCTAGAAAGAAAAGGAACAAATGGATCACTAAGCTATGTGATACTCAGGGAGTGTGGGTTCAAGAATCTGATCACCTTCGCACTCTGCTTCAAAGTCACTTCTCAAATATTTACATGTCAGTGGAATCAAGTTCTTAGAATTCGCAGTCTTCTTAATTTCTCACCAGTCTTCTTATAAAAATGAGCGAATCATAAATCACAGATCAAGCAGCTTATTTAGATGTTCCATTTACTGCGTCCGAAGTTTGGTCTGCCTCAAACAAATGTCTCCTTGGAAGTCACCTAGACCTAATGGGATGCCGGCGAGATTCTATCAACATTACAAGAACATAATTGGCCCAGACGTCCAATCCTCAATTCTGGATGCTTTCAACACTATGTATTTTCCTCCAGAATGGAACTATACTCATTTGGTCCTCATCCCTAAAACGTCTACTCTGATGACCCCAAATGACTTCCGTCCAATCAGTTTGTGTAATGTCAAGTATAAGATCATGGCAAAGATGATTGCAAATCGTCTCAAGCATGTTATGAATGATCTTATTGACGAGAATTAGAATGGATTTGTTCCAGGCAGAAACATCAGTGAGAACATTCTTATTACTCATGAGGTCATTGAATGCATAAGGACGCAAAAAGACGAGACAGGTTTGGCTGCCATCAAACTTGATATGAGTAAGGCCTATGATAGGGTTTCTTAGCCTTTCTTACAGGTTGTCCTAACAAGGCAAGCTCCCCCAGACTAACCTCCTTAATCATGCATTGTGTTTCCTCAGTCTCCTATTCCCTCCAGTTTAATGGTGAAAGCTTACCACTTTTTTTCTCCAAATAAGGGATTGAGACAAGGATGTCTTCTATCTCCATACTTGTTTATCCTTTGTCAGCAGGCCCCCTCTTCTGCAATTACATCAGAGATTCACAACTTCCTAGGTTGGGAGTGAAAATCAGCCGCCATGCACCCAGGGTGAGTCATCTCATGTATGCTGATGATAGTCTCTTTTTCATTGAGTGCAAGGAGTCTTCTGTTTTAGCTTTAGCAGGATTATTAGAAAACTACGCCAACTTCTCTGGACAGCATCAATTTCCACAAATCTTCAATCCTCACTAGTGCTAATACAAGCCCGGAAATAAAGGACTTCATTCATTCCATTCTCAAGATCCCCACATGACAGTTTCAAAGTAGATATTTAAGAATGAGTCTTGATTTCAAGGAAAAGAAGATGATACTGTCTTTATTTTTATTTCAAAGAATTAAGAGAATGGAATAGGAGGAGGAACGTCTACAATTCAAGGAGTTTTTAGTAAAATCTACTCATTTCATTTTATTTTAATAATTTACTTAACTATAATATTGTACAAATATGATAATTTACTTCATTATAATGCTGTCGTGGTTTGACGAAGTAGAATATTAAAAATTTAAGGAAGAAAGCATACGCTGAAAGTTTAGGATAAAATAAAATGGATAGTTACAGAAAAGTTATAGTCTTGTTCATCCAACTCTCATTTTGCCTTTTTGTCTCATTTTAACTCTTAAAACACCTCTCAAACACAAAATCCAATACTATCCAAATAACTTTTTAATTTACCTTTTAAAATTTATTTCAAAATTTATTTTTACACAAATTTTATGCACAATAACCGGACCACCTCCGCCACCACCGTCCACCACCGACTGCCTACTACTACTGCCGGACCACTGCCGGCCGGCCGGCGGTGGCAATATGCGGTCCGACAACGGCACCGACGGTGAAGGTAGTCCAGTAGTGATTTAAAAATATTATTATTCTATTTAAAATATTACCTAAATAATTTATTAAATTTCTTCTCAAAATATATTTTAAATTACATTTCAAACTCAAACCAAAAATTAAAACAAACCATTGTTCATACAAGCCCTTAGTATTCATTCGCAATTTCTGAGGAGAAGACAGCAAGTAGTAAGCCTGGACAAGTGGGAAGAGAAGAGAAAAGCACCGCCAGCAGCTTGTGTAAAGAAGATAAGTCCTTAACTCCTTTTTTTACATGATTTTGCTGTAAATGGCTAAGCAGAGTGGATCAGATCCAATAGTACAGATACAATAGTCAAGCTGATTCCGGATAGTATTTTTGGAACCACGCAAGTTTATAAACTTATAAACCTTCCGTCCCAAAAATAAAATTTATAGGATGACAAAGAAATGCACCAAATTTTATAGATTGATTAATTTAGTTCCCGTTTTGTTGCAGCATTTCTTAAAGAAAATATGTTCAATAGAAGAAATTAGCGAAACACAAGAATTTTTACACACCCCACATTTTGGTTTGGTTCACATTCCAGTACTATTATCTATATATGTGTCGAAGTCACAGGTAAGAACGAGAATTTCGATTCTGGACTGATTTTTCCAAATTTGAACTTATATATATGATTAATTAATCAAATGTATTGTATATGATATTTTTCTATATATTTGTATATCATATATGCTCCGAGATTTAGCCAATGATAGTTGCCAAATCAATATGAAAATAGATCTTACAGCCAATTATTCCCATGTTCAATGGATTTAACCTTCTACCTAAAATAATTGGTGCTATCATGTGCATTAGATTGTCTGACTGAAATTGAAGTTTAGTTTTTGTTTCTTAAACCAAAAAGGTTTGGTTAGAATTCTTGAACGTAAGATCAATGTAAGTAGTCCAAAAAGATATCCAAAAAGATATGTGACATTTTGGACGTTAATGAATACGGTACGTAGTAAATGTAAAGTGATAACTTCACATAAGGATTTTTAAGTTAATTTGATTGGGAATGCATCTCCATTTCTTCGTTACGTTAAATCTGAATGCTGTTTAATATATATATAAAAAAAAATCAATGATCTAACTAATTTAAATTAGTTCTAAGTGATTTTCTTTTTTAAGAATTTACCAGATATTTTAATCACGATTTATTCAAAATATATGACGAACAACTAGGTGAACTGGATTTTAAAAATCTTTAATAAGAAAAAGCTATATGTTAAACGTCTGATACATGGATATCAAATTAGATTATTAATTATTTTCTTTATCTTGCATTAGCAAGGAAAAATGTTTATCAAACTTACAATTGCACCTAATAATCAAACAAATAGAGCATAATAAAAATTAAATTTCATAGCGTAACTTCTACTTCTACTATTAATATCTGAACTTTGGTCCGATCGACGTGGTTTTCTTGATATGGCAAAAATTTTTTATTCTCTAATCTGACTGGAACCCAATTAATTAGAAAATTAGAAACAAAAAAAAAAAGAAAAGAAAAGATGAAGAGGCCCGGGTATATATACGTCAGTAGAACCTGCATATTACCTCAAGTTTTCGGTCCATCAAACCGAAAACACTCAAATTTCATCACCATAAAAAAAAAAGTAAACCAAAAAAAAAATAAAAATGGAGAATGTTAATCAAGCAAATCAAGAAGAAATTGTTAATCATCGAGCTAATATTAATAATAAGGAGCCACCGAAGTCCGATCATCATGAAGAATCCGACTCCATGGCGCAAAGATCAAAGCTGGAAGAAATGCTGTCGGACAAGAGTTTGCCAAGACTCCGGCGACTCCGGCTGGCCGCCGGTATGGAATTGAAGACGCTTTTCCGCCTCGCCGCGCCGGCATGCGTAGTGTACCTTCTCAACAACGTTACTTCCACATCAACACAGGTTTTCTGCGGCCACCTCGGTAACCGCGAACTCGCCGCCGCTGCGCTCGGCAACAATGGGATCCAGATTCTGGCCTTTGGATTAATGGTAAGTGGAGAAATTGCTCCATCGGCGTTGGTCGACCGAGAGCCACCGCCGGGCGGTGCGTACCGCTAAGCATTACGTGTCATGCATGCAATAGTACTATTAGTAATTTGTTGCATATTACTCTTCTCATCTTCTTTTTTTACTTTTTTTGCCTTTTTGTTTCTCCCTTCTGATCTTCTTTAACCTCCACATTAACTATTTATCACGTCTCAATTTGTTTTTTTTTTTCTGGTAATGTTGGAATTTAATTTCTGTTAAACAGCACCTTGTGGACTTATAACTTGCAGTAACGAAACTCGTAATTATGTGTTTTACAAGTTAACTTAATTTATGTTGTTTTGAAATTGAAACTTTTCTTTACAATTGAAACTCTAAATTATGTATTTTACAATTTAGCTTTTGAATTGGACAAAATATATAAGAGAAACAGAGCGAATATATAGCAATAAAATGTGTGAGTGTGTGTGTGTGTGTGTGTGACTAGTGAAACAAGATAAATGAATGTGAAAAAGTATCTTGATTTGTAAAAGTTTTTTTGAAACGGAGATTTGTAAAAGTTGTGTTGAGGCATTTGGCACACTCAATAGACAAGTTCAAAGTTTCAGGCATGAAAGGTCAAAGATTACTCTGTTTGGCTTAATCTCTGATGGAAAAAAAAAAAAAAAGAAGAAGTTACTATCATATAGTATGTAATTAGTATCTAGTCATATATTTTTAAATTTGTGGCTACTACCTAGCTTGTATACTTGTCTGAAAAATATCACAATTCATAATAGATTTATGATGTTCACTGATCTTGATGATTTCTTGCTGATTTATGGCAGCTTGGGATGGGGAGTGCTGTGGAGACCCTGTGTGGGCAGGCATATGGAGCTAAAAAGTATGAGATGTTAGGCGTTTATATGCAAAGATCAACTATCCTCCTTGTTGCAGCAGGGCTGCCTCTCGTTCTAGTTTACATTTTCTCCAAGCCTATTTTGCTCCTTCTTGGTCAAAAGAAGGAGGTGGCTTCCGCTGCTGCATTGTTCGTTTATGGCCTCATACCTCAAATTTTCGCATACGCTGCCAATTTCCCGATACAAAAGTTCCTACAAGCACAGAGCATCATATTCCCCAGTGCAATCATATCTGCTGTTGTGCTTGCTTTTCATTTGTTGCTAACTTGGCTTGCATTGTTCAAATGGAATTGGGGATTGTTGGGCGGGTCGTTCGTTTTGAGTTTTTCATGGATAATGATCGTGGTGGCACAATTTGTGTATATTTTGGTGAGTGCTAAATGTAAGCAAACTTGGATTGGATTTAGCACTCAGGCATTTTCGGGTCTCTGGGATTTTTTCAAGTTGTCTTCATCATCGGCAGTGATGCTGTGCCTAGAGTTATGGTACTTACAAGTAATGATTTTGATTGCTGGATTGCTTCCTGACACGGAGATTGCTCTAGGCTCATTAGCTGTTTGGTAAGCTTATTAACCGTTCAATTGGTGCTGATTAATTTATAGGTGCCTTACATTAATAAATAGTGTCCCTAAATTGCTACAATTTTTGATGGATGGATTGAAGAAAATTATTAATACGTTTCTTTTACAGTGTGACAATTCTTGGTTGGCTGTTCATGATTTCAGCAGGGTTCAATGCAGCAGCAAGGTTTGAACTTTCCCCTGCTCTAGTTCTTATAGGAATTAGGAAACATCGGACGCCGATCAACCTCAACGTACAATCTCTATCTGCCGTAAACTAATCCTAGCATTAGTTCAATCATTGATTTTTAGTTAACTTTAGAGTAGTCATGTCTGATGAAACTTTAATTTTGCAACAGTGTGAGGGTCAGCAATGAACTTGGAGCTGGTCATTCAAAATCAACAGCATTTGCGGTTCTAGTTGTGACTTCGAGCTCAACTCTGATCGCCCTGGTTATTGCCATCTTCTTAATGGCATATCGCCATGTCCTGAGTTACGCTTTTACCAGTGGTAAAGCCATAGCTGATGCAACATCTGAGCTTACACCCCTCTTGGCAATTTCCATCGTCCTCAACGGCATTCAACCCGTTCTATGCGGTAATTAGCCCCTCCAGAAAAAAGAAGAAGCAAAGAGAGTACATTATTTATGATTAATTTCATGATGTTTGAGTAGATGTGAGAAAATTAAGGATTTTTGGCGACAGGGGTGGCGGTGGGATGCGGATGGCAAAGGTTTGTGGCCTATGTGAACATTGGATGCTACTATGCAGTTGGAATTCCTTTAGGGGCATTACTTGCCTTTAGATTCGAACTTGGTGCTAAGGTACAATTGTTTTCTCAACCTAATAATGAAATAGTTTGGTAACTAAAGAATGAATTGACTTGGTAAATGCTCCATCATGAATATTGTAGGGAATATGGACTGGGATGTTAGGAGGCACAGGATTGCAAACTTTGATCTTAGTTTGGATCACGGTTCGATCTAATTGGGTGGAAGAGGTACGTAAACATTGATCACATTATTAGTTCCTTAATATGGTCCGCGACTGTGTTTAAACAAACGGGTGAACTTGATTAATTGGGTGCATTATTTTTTGCAGGTTGAGAAGGCAAGAAAACGACTAGAGAAATGGAGAGATGAAACAGATGATCATCATCAAGCTGTGAATGATATTCATTGATCAGTTTCAGTATTAGTAACTCTTTCAAGTTTCTTTTAGCACTCTGGTTTGTTTGTGTGGAGTATTCTAATTAGAAATAATGGTCAATTTCTTTCTACTAGAGAAGTACGTTTACTAAACAAATCTGTTGGAAACATGCATGCATAGTAGTAAGTATCATACGATACGCAAACGTATCAAAATTAAAGATTTTGACAGGTATCATAGTATGTATCGCAATCGTTTGTATATCGATTAATTACTGATACGTATCGTACGATATATACGATACACGATACGATTGTTAATCGTACGATACGAAAATATAGGGAAAAAATAATTTTTTCTTAAAATAATTCAAATTGTTGTTTCATAATGACCATTTAAATTTCAAATTAAGAGTGGATTTTATTTACAATTTGTTTTGAATAGATGCTTTGATTTATTTAATTCACCATTCACAAATATAATCTTCCTCAATTGACGATAAAATTGATTAATAAATTATTATATCAAAAAATAAAATAATTAAAAGTATTATTTTATTCATAATATAATTCTCTAAATCAAGTACAACTAATAACATGTTGAATAAAGGCAATGCATGTTTATATTAATTTTCTTACTATTAAATTTATGGCTATAATAACAACTTTTGTGAAAAATAATTTTATTACATAGGTTTTACGACCATTATTCATGTAATAAATAAGTAATTTGTGTAACTTTTAAATAATTTTGAATTCAACTTAATCAGTTTTTGTTTATAGCTGAAAATTTAAAAAAAAATACATAAATATATCAATTATATATAGAGCTTATGATATTTAGTATTTATTACTTATATAATTATATTAAAATGTATCTTACGATATAATACACGATACGATACGCATATCATAAATTTAGGTTTCCGATACACGATACGTATCACGATTTGATAACTATGCATACATGTATGATTGCAACCATTCCTTCCCAAAAGCCTTCAATTAGAAAGAAATATCCCTCTCCTTCCTCTAGTGCAGGTGTGTCTTTTAACATATCATTTGATATGATTCATCAGCATTTAAATTTATATAAGACGAGACGTTGCTCGCCTTGTTTTGCATCATTGCTGTTTTGTTAATACGGAAGTATTCATTTGGTTACAAGACTATGCTCGCAACTGGTTATAAGTCACATTACTCACTTTAGTTTACGGCATAAATCCTTTAATCACAGTACATTACGGATAGAGTTGTAAATTATTGTTTACTTGATTGAGTATGCGACAATCCTCATTTGGTAGTAGTAATTAGACAATATTGGTCATAACTCGTGTACGTATCATCGATCTGCTAAAAGTTTCTTTAATCTACATAGAGAGAGAGAGAGAAGAGAGACTATAGATAGTGAAAAGTTCATTCAGGTCATATCTTGACAAGGATATTAATACTAGTACGTAGAGATGAACTTGAAGAGTGCTGGGTTGTTGCGTCTTAATTTCTCAGCTGCCACATCTGCCCAATTTGAAGAGCAATGATCAATCTACGTCCAGTCCACCCCATTATTTACAAATAAAGACATCGGAATATGCAGATCTCCCGTGTTAGATATTATATATATATATATATATATATATATTGCAATAAAGGATTTGATTTTCCTACGATTCATAATTCATATTTTTTATGCTTTGATTAGGGGTAGTATAATCTTCTCAACACGTGATTTATCTTCTCATCACATATAAATTTCGACCAAACACCTTCATTTTACCTTTTTTTTTTTCATACTAAAGTACTATAACTTTCTATCCAAAGTCATTTTTAATTTAATGTAAATTAAAAATAAAAATTCAAACTTGACAATATTATTTTGGATGGAGGTTTCACCAAGAATTTTGCATGTTTGTGAAATTTGTTACACTAAATTAAGTTTGTATACTTTGAAAAAATATACTTCTTGTGTCACTAAATGGTTGTCCAATTTAAATTTTTATTTTTAATATATACTAAAAGTAAAATTCTAAACAGGATAATTATTATGAAACATAGGAAGTATACGATTTTCCTATAAAGTTTGGCCTCTGAGAGCCTGTAATATTGTTGAGGGGTACACCAACTATATCCCTTTAAGCTTAACAAATGCATTTTCTATTTTTTTTTTCCCGAAGAAACAGAATAGATGCAATTAGTTAATCAACCACACTCTCCCTGTATTTTTTTATTTTTTTTTGGGAAATATAACTAGCCCTCTAATTAGTTACAATAATCACCCTATGTAGAGTTCATGTACATTATCTTGTGTCTTTGAGATCTTATATATTTACCCAATAAATTTTTAATATTCATTATTAAAAAGCCTTAGGAAACTTAATAAATATCAATCTGTATGGGGAGAAGGCAGGAAAAAAGGAAAATTCATTTACTCTTTTACTTCCTCGGTATATAAAGATGTACAAGAAAAATATCAAGCAAGAAAAAAGAACTCAAAACATAAGTACAAATTAATTGTATGATTTTGTTTCCATTATAGTTATGAATGACTAGGAAACTTTTCTGATGAACAATTATGATCAGAGATTAAATTAAATGTGTCTAGTCTTGCTCATTCGATCATAGTCTCTTCTGTGATTAAGGTTTGAGCTATAATTTAGAGAAATTTTGAGGGTAAAAGTGCAAATAATCTTCCTCCTTTCATCATCATCATTATTTAAAAATCCGAAAAGAGAAAAAACAAAAATATCAGCTCCATCTCAGTGCAGCCCAAAAATCTGGAATAAATAGGTTCAACCAGCTTGAGTTAGAAGAGATACCATTCAAATCAATTTCAATTTTCAACCTCTATGTGTCTCTTTAGGCTTTAGCCCACCTTTCTTCCATACAGTCCAAATACATTGACTAAATTTAGAAAAACTTTTCTGCGCACAAAAGCAAACCAAAAGAATATATCAAAGCCAATTCATGGGAAGCAGAAAGGCAATTGACAACTCCGGCCAGGAAACGCCAGAACCTCCACCGGCGCGCTCCCGTTCTAGTTGCGGCTTTGAAGCAAGCCATGAGCTGGAAAAAGTGCTTTCCGACACCGAAAAACCGTACCTGAGTCGCCTCCGACAGGCGTCGTGGATCGAGCTGAAACTCCTCTTCCGGCTGGCTGCTCCGGCAGTTATGGTCTACTTGATCAACAACTCCATGTCCATGTCCACTCGGATGTTTGCCGGCCAGCTCGGGAATCTCGAGCTCGCCGCCGCCTCCCTTGGTAACCAAGGCATCCAACTCTTCGCCTATGGCCTCATGGTACATACGTTTAATCTATCACTAACTATAAAGTGAAATACTGAAGCATCAAATTAACATTCTAGTGATCATTTTTTGACGCAAAGAATGCCTTCTATATCCTTTTTTTTTTTTTTTTTTTTGCATTTCGTATTTCACCCGTTGGGAAACACTTTCTCAACCCAACTTTTCAGAATAAATCTCGATAATTTTCGATACAACTTTTTACATTAATTTTTTGAATAAACTCGTTGAGACTAGATATGGTAACAAATTATTGAAATTTTGTTTGTAAACATTATTGTAGCTTGGGATGGGAAGTGCGGTGGAGACACTATGCGGGCAGGCGTACGGAGCCCGGAGATACGACATGTTAGGGGTTTACCTACAAAGATCGGCAGTTGTACTTCTCATAACCGGACTCCCAGTCACACTCCTTTACATTTCATCAAAATCAATCTTAATTCTACTTGGAGAATCCAAATCCATGGCTTCAGCAGCGGCCCTTTTCGTATATGGCCTAATCCCACAAATCTTTGCATACGCAATAAACTTCCCTATACAAAAATTCCTACAAGCACAAAGCATAGTTGCCCCTAGTGCATACATCTCCTTAGGGACATTGTTTTTACATGTCTTTCTGTGTTGGGTGGTGGTTTATAAGATTGGATTGGGATTGATTGGGGCATCATTGGTGTTGAGTTTGTCATGGTGGATAATTGTGGCGGCTCAGTTTGTGTACATTGTGGTGAGTGACAAGTGTAAGGCAACTTGGACTGGTTTCAGTTGGGAGGCTTTCAGTGGACTTTGGGAGTTTGTGAAATTGTCGGCTGCTTCTGCTGTGATGTTGTGCTTGGAGACTTGGTATTTCCAGATCCTGGTCTTGCTTGCTGGTTTGCTCCCTAATCCTGAGCTCGCTTTAGATTCTCTCTCAGTCTGGTAAGTTTTTTTTTCCCGTTTCCTTATTTTTCTGGTAACTACGTACTTCTTATAAAAACCTTTGATTAATCAGTGACAATTACTGGTTCTAGATTATGAAAGGGATGTGATTTCTTGATGAGTAATTAATTAATTATGTGGTGACAAAATCACTGTGGCATTGCATCTTGTCTGATGTGAAATATTTTATCGTTTATATATTCTCATAATCAATCGCGTACGTACGTATAAATTAAATAATAACAAATAATAGTTTTGTAATCCCTTAATAATTGCTGTTTTTAGAACAATCATTTGCCGGTCGGACAGACTAGTTCATTCCAGCTGAAACAGTAAACAAGCAAGACCACTTTGTGACTTCCCAAAAAAAAAAAAAAAAATTCTCTCAAGTACCTTAAGAGTTCCTTCTATTTTCCTCCTTTTTATCCATTTAATTAGTATAAGAACCTGACTTCGGTCTCCTCATTTGTACCCCAAAAAATAAATAAATAAATTAATAGAAGAACCTTTTTACTGGTCTTTGCATCATTTCGTGCATCGATCTAAACCCAAACTTTTGTTGATTCTATCAAAAAGCATATGCCCCTAGTAAGTAAATTCAAAGTGTCTCTTACTCCCCTTTGGACATAAAACATTCCAAGAAGTATCATCTTTTGTTCTGCAACTTCATAATGTGCAACTAATTTTTTCGAGGAAAAAAAAAACGGACTTTGGTTAACTTTCGTTTTTCTTTTTGGGTTAACTTTCGTGATTAAAATACTAGAAAACCGTTCATCTGACTTTGGTTTAGATTTCAACCAAAAAATAATTAAACGAAACATGCATTTTGGTTAATAGAAACTGTGCGGTTAATACTGTATGTATGAGAGGCTTCATTTAGCTTTATGAAGTCTAGTCCAATAAGACAAAGAAACAGAGAATTAGATTCTAGTCTTCATGCATGCCAGTTGAATTTCAGTACTTTCTTTTTTCCTTTTTGTATATATTCCTTCAGTTTTTTTTTCCAGAAAGTTTAAAGAATGGAATTATTATAAGAATAATAATAATTAAAATGTTTAAAGAATATATATAGAATCAGCTGAAACTAGAAATCCAAATTATCGCGTGTGGTTTACAATTTAAAAAATCATAATTTATCGTAATGAGGATGAGATAATATATAAAATAATAAATAAGAGAATAAAACATCAGCACTATCTGATCCATCCTAGATCTATACATTTTCAACAAAGTGCGTGGAATGCACTTGAAAACAGCCTGCCCCATTAGATTGTGATTTGCAAATTTTTTTGTCCTACTAGTTTCAACTTCAACTTTGAAGTCTGATACAGTACGTATTTTTGTAGTTCACCGTTGATCACAAAGATTGATATACTGTTAATATCGTATTTTCTCCATCCTAAAATAGTTGTTTATTCTGAGTTTTCATTTAAAAGTTAAAATTCGAATTAGACAATTGTTTTAAAATAGAGAAATAAAAAACAAACATTGTTCAAGAATTAACTGAGAGCAAAATGATTGATTATTGTGGAATTGATCTTGGTGCAGTCAAAAGCACATTATGTGTTCATTAAATTTTTTTTTTAAAAAAACACTTTTTATTCGCGGGGTTGGAATTGAACCTTTGATAATTAATAAGAGGTCCTACGAGCTTAGTTCCCCACCCATCAAAATAAATCAAACAAAAACAAAGTGTGGTCCTATGTCCTAACATTAATCAAAATTAGCACCACCAGCTCTTCAGAGCTAGCCAGTCGAAGTGTTATTCTCTGTTTATTCCTGTCGTACGTGACTTGTTGACATGTGATAGAGAAATGGAACCAAAATGTAAAGGAAAGAAAAGAAAAGAAACATGGATCTCTTGGGAATTAAATAAATAGTCAAGTAGTAAATTTAACTTAATTTTTAGTAGTATTTATCGCAAACCATACATTATAGAACTCCGAAAAAAACAATATCGACACAGTGGGGGTGGTGATCGAATTTAATACTGAGTCGCTTGTTACAATTTACGTGTATTAATTTATTCTGAAATGACAAGAATTGAGAATGACAAGAGATTAATTGTTTGTTTTGTGGTTGGTGATCAAACTTGGCAGCATGGCAGTAAATGGACTGATGTTCATGGTTTCAGTTGGGTTCAATGCTGCGGCTAGGTACGTAGCTCTCATCTTCTTTTTCTTTTTTTTTTTTCTTGTAAATATAAAAAAAAAATTCGTATGGGTGAATTAAATTTATTTATTTATAATTTTATGTGTCACAGTGTAAGAGTTGGGAATGAACTAGGGGCAGGGAACCCAAAGTCAGCAGCATTTTCAGTGTTTATGGTTAACTTGGTGTCATTCATTATCGCCATCGTGGAAGCCATGATTGTGTTATCATTGAGGCATGTAATCAGTTACGCCTTCACAAGTGGTGAAGTCGTAGCTAATGCAGTTTCAGACCTTTGTCCATATTTAGCTGTTACTCTCATCCTCAACGGCGTTCAACCTGTTCTGTCAGGTACGTATAACAAATACAAATACAAAAAAAAAAAATACTTATTATTTAGTATTCCCTCTGTCCCATAATTATTGTCCAGTTTGAGTTTTCATTTCTAGTTCAAATTATACTAAAAGTGAAATCTCAAAATGAACAGTAATTTTGGGACGTCACTTAACTTGAAAGATCTCTCCATTTAACCATTAACAATTAATTGATCAGTTGATTAGTTCTTTTTAAGGGGTCCAGTTCACATTACTAACTAAAGAGGTGTAACTTTCAATAACTAGATTCAATAACATCTGCTAGCTCTACGTAATGGATCTAAAACAAGAATAATACTATAAATAATTGATTGAACTTTTCTTGAGATGATAACAAAGGTTCCGTGATGAACATATGTTGTATTATTAGTTAGCTTACTGGGGTCGAATATTCCATTGGGATGTATGCGAGTGAGATCGATGTAACACAAACTATAGTAGTATTATTAGTCACTGTAATCTAGTCATCGTGTAGAAAACGTTCATATCTTTCGGAGTTGTCAGAATTTGTTTGTGTCTCTCCATCTTTTGGAACTTTCTTCAGAGTAATTTATTTATATAGGGATAAACAGCCATCACCTTTTGGTTTTGATGGCAACCCATTTTAATTATAATAGAGTACATATGTCATTTGGAGGCATTCGATCTTTTGTTCTTTTACTAATCACTTTCTTGGATCAGATAAGGTTCCATCATGTTTACTCTTTCAGATTCAAACAAAATCCACCCTCAATTTTTCTAATGGAGAAACTTCAAATTTTTGTACATCATAGTCAAAGATAGTGTCGAAGACCTCACAATTTTATTAATTACTTCCTCACTAATTATTGTTAGTAGTATATCGCAAACGAGATAATTATTGTGAGACGGAATTAGGGAATAGGAAGTAATTATGGCAGTACATGACGGTACGTATGAAATATTAGGTGTGGCTGTTGGATGTGGATGGCAAGCATTTGTGGCGTACGTAAATGTTGGATGCTACTACGTTGTTGGGATTCCACTGGGTTGCGTTCTTGGTTTTAAGTACAACCTCGGCGCCAAGGTAACATTCTCAATCTTCTACCAAAAACCCTTTTTTCTGTTTTTCGTAACGTTATCCTCGATCACAAGATATTTGTAAAATCAATATGCACGAAGCGCTGTTTTTTTTTTAAGAGATTATTTTTTTCTAATATGTGTATTATTAGTTTAGAAAGCTGAGAATTTCATTGCATTCATTGTATGCCAGCGGAATGAAAGTTGGTAATTGCTATTATTAATCGAATGGCTCGTATTTAAGATGTTTAATTATGTAGGGAATATGGTCGGGAATGATAGGTGGGACAATGATGCAGACCCTCATCTTACTGTGGTTCACGTTTCGTACGGATTGGAATAAAGAGGTTCGTCTCTTTCTGTCTGTGTGTGTGTGTGTGTGTTCTTTTCGAAAGAAAGAAGACCGGTTCAGCATTTTTCTTTTCCGGATGGAATGCAATTATGGCAATAAATCAATGTGAAGTAATCATGGAATGTACTACTTGGAAAAGTTGAGAGGAGTTAAGCTACTTATAAGAATGATTTCTAATGTTGGAATTTTTCAGGTGGAGAAAGCCAGAAAAAGGTTGGAAGAATGGGATGATGTCAAACAACCCCTTTTGCAGTAGAAGTATATTTTCAATTTTTTTTTAATTATTATCTATTTATGACACCAAGAAAAGATTGTTTTCTTTTTTAGTTGGTTTTTTCATAATTAAATAATAATAACTGTCTCATACCAGTATATCTTTTTATATTTCTAATATATTTTTTTTTACATTCTCAATATAAAAAATACTTAAAAACACACACTAAAAAAACGAAACAAACATACCTTAAAAGTCTTACCTGGTGAAGAATGTTTAATTATGTTCTTGAATAGTTTTTTTTTTCCCTATCTTTTTTTCTTTGTTGGTTCGTCTTTTTCACCGCATGATTGCTGATACTTCGTGTTTGTTTTGTACGTGTTGCAAATAAAACTGCAACTCGAATTCCTGTTGGAACAAATAAAAATGGAATCTAACTCTGAAATGTTCTGATCCCAAAGGACTATTTTCCTTTACATTAGACATTTTATTCACATTACAATCACTAGAATCATTCATATTTAAGATCGAAATCCTTTTGATAGACATAAAAACATGACATCAACTGAGATCGATTCTGATACATTGTAAGTTGTAACAGAAGTAGAACAACTTCCATCAAATCAAATACCACAAATACAAGATATAAAATTCCAAGACCAAGTCAAGTAGCAAAGTATAAACACATGTTAGGGGCCATAATATTCATTTACAATATCTCCGCCAATTCTTACAAAACTATCTTTGTGATCTACTATATATATATTACATTATGATTTGCTTACTATTTTCCTCGTGTACAAAAACCATGGTCTCCTGACCAAATCAACTACTACATTTAGGTTAGTATTTCTGCAACCGCCGAACATCAGAACGACAAAATAAAAAAGCATCAGAAACAATACTCCTTCGCAGATGTTAGATCCAGACCCAAAGTTGACCAATCATTGGGTAACTACGACAGCCAGTTCATCTCATTGATACCGGCTATTTCCAACACTAATGGCTCCACAATTAAGAGCTTGGAAATGAATATTCATACCTTTCAATGCAAGGCAATGCTGCATCAATTTGTTGCCTCCAACATAAAGGAGATAAGATGGCATGCAATCCAAAACAGGGCTCTATAATTATGTACCAGATAATGACCATTGAACTTCACTTTACGATCCCATGCTCAGAAGAGTGCACCATGATACTGGTCAATATGCACATCAATGTAATTGAAATGAAGAGAGCGATTTTTCAAGCTGACGTAAAATTTTAATCCACTCCCATGTCATCTCTTCTATATCTCGACTCCGTATCTGTCGAGTTTGACGATGGAAACTTTGATCTCGTTATGTGTCTGCACATCCTGGATACACATATCACAGTGAAACAAAAACAAAAAGAAAACAATTACCATATTGTAAAATGATGAGATCAAAATGTAATGACCACAAGCATCAAGGACTACAAAAACTCTATTATTATGATATGCAAGTGGGTGTTTTCGTTCATTCCTAAGAGCAGACTAAATTTTCAATCACAACCCTAATTTTGGTCTTACGAAACAAACAGAGGGTTGTATCAAAATGATAAAGTTGAACGTACGCGTGGAGAGCCTCGGATTTTCTCTTTATTTCGCTAGAAGACAGTAATGGATCTGCATTTTTTGGTAATGCATCTTGCTGCTGAGTCCTATCTCGTAACCACTGCTCAGCTTTATTGCATTCGTGATACACCTGCAAACGGAAAAATGGTATGAGATAACATAAAACTTTCAAGGTAACAACAATACACAACTTCAGCGGAGAAAGACAGTACAGCATTTTTCTCATTTGGAGGAAGAGAATCTGCAGCCATCCGGTACTCCACAATGCAATTCAATAAATTTTTAGTGGCTTGTGCCCTGGCCTCTTCATCTTTATATCGATGTTCAATAGGATCCACCATCTAACAAATATTATGAGTTAGAACAAAATAAAAGAACAATAAGCCAAGGCATAGAAACCCAAAAAAAAAAAACACAAATGCACACACCTTTTTGAGATCATCCAGTTTTTGAGTGTAGACTTGTTCAGTCTCATCATCTCCTTCATCATAAAGCCATTCCTCAGTCTGTTGTAGGCTACTAGAAATTCCATCCCTCTCTGTATCAGTAGCAAAACTCCGCAATGTACTAAGAAGCTGCAAATGAAAGTGTCGTCATTAACTTGTCCTCATTATACAGTTCTTATCCGATTCATACATAATATTTTCCTCATGATGGAGTCAAGTGGTCCAAGAAACCAAAATCTGATGTGAATTAGAAGACATACCCTGTTACGTGTTTCATAAACATAAGACTCAAGGGAGTTTTTCCGGTCTTTAGTTCGCTCCATCCTAGTATCTTGCTGGGCCAGTAGAAGCTCTTTCTCTTGAGCTTGAGAGAGCTCAAGTGGCGTCAGCCCACCATATACATCTTCGTTAATTGGTATATCATGCCTCCTTGTGGCTTTTGCCTTGCTTCTTTCTTCACCCTGCACAAGATACTTTTTAATTTACAATTCTTCACAACCATGTAATAAATTTAGGATCTGAATAACTCAACTTGAACAAGAGGACAAATAACAGCAACAGTATGTTACATATTATGAGTAATCTACGATATCAACACTTGCAGTAAAACTATGCTTTTCCCCCTTGCAAAGAGTAAATAAGCAAAACTAAAATAGAGCAAAATCAGGCGCCCACTTTAAACATGAAAATATCTCAAAAAAATTTTCCGTCAAATGCCACAATCATTCTACTCGCTTAATACATCAATCACCAAAAATTCAAACCTTTTGATATAAATTAGATCATAAGTGAATTATATGTGTTTTGGCCAGTTGGCAGACAATAGCAATATCAAGAGTTGCAATGCAAACTTACAGTAGGAGTCGGTGAAGATTTATGGTGCGCAGAGTGGAAGTGAACAGGACCATTATCTGAGTAAGAAGACTCATGATTGCTCACACCCACATTCTCCATAATAGCATCAGCAGTACTATTTGAGGTATAATCATTGATGTGATCTTGTATCAGCTGAAGAAAGAGAAGAGTAATGAAAAGTTGTTCGTAACACATCACAAAAAGGTATTTTTTTCAAGTATAAACTTACCGAAGCTGCATCGGCAGTCACTATTCCATGCAAGTTTAGCTGAACCCTTACTTTAACCTTAGCCTTTTCGGGTTGGGATGACTGAAATGGCCCAACCTAAGCACAGAGAACACAACCTAAGTTCACTTTTCAACTACTGCATCTAAAGGCAAAAGCTATCAAGGCAGTAAACTTACAGCTACTAATAATAATGACATGATAAAATAAAACTGTAAGTTACCTCTTCGGGAATGAAGCTCTACTAAGAAAACAACAGTTCAAGAGATCAAGCAAAAAAAAGTTAAAAACAAAATCCAGAAAAATTTAGAGATAGCTAACACAGAGATTCAAAATTGACTACCATATGAAATAAAATGTTTAGTTTAGGCATGTGTCCTCTTCCAGGAAGAACCTGGGCAAATATAATTGTTCTGAACTGCTTACAACTAGTTTTCTTTATTTTGAATACAGCTTTTTCAAATTTTCCAACTTCATTAAAATTTTAGTTTATAGATTATTTTAAACTGACAAAGATTTTGATTCCAAAAAACAGCCGCAGTTCCATCTACAAAAGGCTTTCAGGAACATGCCCTATCACCTATCTAAGTCCACATATCCTCTATGTATAAAATTTCCTTCATAAGCCAAGCAGAAAAAAAGCACACAAAGAAAGGATTGATACCCTAAATTTACTGATTTTCGCAGATGAGCCAGGTGGCAATTCGTCCTCTTCTGCATAAAAGGCCTCCATGTCAAATGCACTACTTTTCTGCAGTGCAAGCATCTTAACACTGGGAAAAGGGTGGCCTCTCGGAAACAGAACACTGTTTGATGGTGAGCAAATTGGACTTCCATCCACCGAAAATCCAATGGAAAATGGAAAAGAATCCTGCACCTGGAAGAAACATTTGCAAACATACCATTATATTTCTAAGAGAAAACAATTATCAAATGAACCCACAATTAATCCAAGTAAAAGCATTCTATCTATTATCCAAAAGAACTCAATAAACTAGATCAGTTAATTATTAAGCCTCCCTCTCCCTCTCTGCCGCCTCTCTCTCCCTCTCCCTCAAACCTAAAAAAGAAAAGAATTAATCTTCCCCCATCTTTCCGCCATGGAAGAATGGGGGAAATAATTCTACTCATATCTTTTAGCCTTTTCATTGTGTTTTAATTTAGTTTCAATAAACGGCTTGTAGATTATTATCTACAGTATGACGGCAACATCTTTATCAATGTTTGCAAGTATGGCGGCAGGATTCTTGTTGATGTTTGCTAGTATGGCGGCGGTTTCGTCGGTGATGTATGCAGATACTGCGGCGACAGTTTCACTGAAGGTGTTCGTCCATTTGGCAGACATGGTCCAAGAAGATTCAGTCATAGTAGATCTAATTATTATAGGGTTTACGATTTGGAGGTTTCAATCGAAGGTTAGTGTTGTATCATTGACCAGATTAAAAATTTGGCGCAGGGTACAACCATTATTTAAGAGGGTAGATCAGTATAGGTTTATCCATGTAGTGAAACACAACAATGGCATTGTGACGGTTTGTAAGTTGTGTTTTTATGGCTATATCTTGCTTTTATCAATCGCTGCTAGACGATTTCTAGCAAATTAATGAATTTATCTTTATTTCTCAAAAAAAAAAAAAGAGATCAGTTGGAATATCATCATGTTCCTCTAAATATATAGCCTTTCATGATATGGGATCCAGATAGCTGATCCATATGATGCATTGATCAAATCATCAAATCACTAAGACGAAGCTAAATACTTCATCCAAAAATTACAGTACTAACTTAAACTTCAGTTAGAAAGTAAATCTAATTAGCTATGATCACATACAAAACTCCAAGAGGTCCATGCAGCATGCATTGCCACCATGGCATAAAATGGAAAGCAAAATAAAAAACATAATTAAATAAACATACATAAGGAAAATCTGATTTCAGGCCAAAAAGAAGTGGGTGTGGACCCTAATTGAGAAGTAGATCAAGCACTAAACAAGCAAGAGATGCCAGTGTATTGATCCACAGGTGACATGTTCCAGAATTCCTATTAATAAAAATTACATATGTATAATACTTTACGTAGACCTCAGTTAAATTATATGTTAGACATAGCAAGTTCTCTCTTTGCTCCCCACCCTACGGACACTTGGCTAGTTAACATTCTTGCAAACAGCCATCAATGGCTCGTTTATTTCATTTGAAATGCAAGCCCAATCAAATTGGATCTCGAGCATGCAAAAAAGGGAACCTATTGGTGGATCTGAATCCATCTATAAAGTAAAAAACTTGTAAGCAACAGGAGGGTTTACTGATGGTTTGCTCATTTAACTACTCATAACTAGTCTCCTAGTAAGTCAGAATGACATTCTGCCTGACATATAAACTGTGGTGAAAAACAGCAGCAGATGTAAATTAAGATTCAAGAAGAAGGAAGGCTTTTGAAGCTTCAGAATAGAGGACAGAAGAACAATTGTAACTAGAGGAAGGGCTATTAGAACAAGGGACAGGAGTCAGGAGGACAAATGTCTATATTTCTTGCAAAAGTCTTCAACAAAATTTGCTCAAAATATGTTGAATGTGCCACTACCTTAATATGAAATTTTAATTCAGTCAGGAGTCATTTTCCATTATTTAGGCTGAAAGTATTAATGGTGTTCACATTTATGTACTTGCTCAAAGAATTTGGAATTTGCGCATGAAGAGGAAAGCAGTAAAAAGTAGATCACAAAGGACACAGACATGTATATTTTCCAGCTTCGACAGTCAAGACTCAAGACGAATGGAATGGGCCAAAATAAGGATTTGGAAAGAACAATTTGTCCACAGAGAAAAGATATCACCATTAGCTATTCTATTGAAAGACCATATACAAGATTTGCATGTCTATACTGGAGATATACTTGGAAAAGAAAATGTTTAATCAGTAACGTGTTTATAAAGAGAACACACACTAAAAATGAAACATCTTTAAGTTAAATCCATTTACGAACCTCGTACTCTCTAACACGAAATGTGGGGCTGAGCATTGCACATTGAAGAGCACAACCACGAGCCACACATTCACTCACGTTTAATGTGCGGCTGGGTTCTCTCCTAAAGAGGGCAGTCAAAACCTTCATAATTGCAGGAACTCGTGAGCCTGATCCAACAAGCTCAACTGTGTGAATCATCTCTGGCGTCAAGCCCGACTCAAGCAAAGCTCTGCGACAAGGAATGCTGATCCTCTCTAACAAGTCCGATGATAGCTTCTCAAAATCCTCTCTTTTGATGAAACCCTTAACATCTTTCTCTTCCATTAAACATTCAATATTAAGAGGCGCTTCCGGGTTTGCACTCAAGATTTTCTTTAATTTCTCACATGCCGTTCTCAGTCTTACACAAGCCCTAGCATTTGAGTAAACATCCATATTATACTGTTCCTTGAAACTTGCAGCAAAATATCTGAACAAAACCTCGTCAAAGTCCCTTCCTCCCAAGTTACTATCATAAGCATGAGAGAGTATCCTCAATTGTCCAGGTTCAAATGATGCCACTGATACTTGCATGTCACTGTGACCAATATCAACAAACACAACATTCGTTGGACCACCATTAAAGTCCGTCTTGTATATACCATAACCTAGAGCAGTAGCAGTACAGTCGTGCATCAATCGCAAGGGCTTCAAACCAGCAATCTCAGCAGCATGCAAATATTCTCGTCTCTGTAAGTCTGTGAAGTATGATGGTACGCCTATGACACAATCTGAAACATGATTTTCCAGATTCTTTTCTGAAATCTCTTTTAAATGCGCAAACAACATAGCAAGAATTTGAAGAGGAGTAAAACTCTGTTTCTCATTCAAGTACGAGAGATGAATCAAAATGCTGCCATTGGGTCCTTCAGAAGACTCAAAAGGTAAAATCTTCAAGTCCTCCTGCACAATAGGTTCCCTAAACTTTCGACCAATCAGTCTCTTAACCTGAGAAATTGTTGATTTTGGATTCATAGTGGCAGAGGCAGCGCCTGCTGAGCCCAAAAACCTCTCCTTCTCACCAAATGAAACAACAGCAGGGGTTTCTCGTTTTGATTCTTCATTTAATAATACATCTATACCTCGCTGCTTTGCCACTGCTATGACACAGTTCTCATTTCCAATATCAAACCCTAACACACTCATTTGATATATAATCTTGATAATAACACCCTAAAGAAAAATCACAAGTCAGGAACTTCAGTCTCGGGAAAAAGTAGCAACAACCCTGCAAGAGAATATATTTTCGCAATAGCATTAACAAACAGACCAATGAACTGAATCAAATTACATCATAGATTATGAAATTAAAGAGCGATCCTCCTATCAACTCAAAACTCTATCTTTACAGTTAATGCCAATACAAACTAACCAAAGACAATGCCAGTGCATGACACACTTCTAATTATGGTAAAAATTTTCAGAGATCCCTCTCAAACCCAAATGGAGCAGGACCAACAAAAGAAAGTAACAAAAAGAAGGAAAATTTAGTGCGGGGGCAATAAAAACATATAAAACTCCAATGAACCATCCTCCTTCCCCGGGCTCCCAATCTCACATCAATATCAGCAAATAGATAGTAAATGAAACAAGACCCGTGAATTTGAAAGCCATAATTCCGTGCATACCTAATTGTGATCACTGCATTAAATACAGCCCATCAAACATAATTTGGGGGGGGGGAGAGGAGTATAACAGTAAATCATGAAACGTCCTGCATTATCAATCAACTCACTCAATTACTCCCATATTATCAAATAGCAACGCAGAGATCAAAGCTCGATAACCCCATCAATCGGGCAACAAGTATAAAATAACCCAGGAAAAATAAAATTGTTAAAATACTTGCAAGAACGGAACTTTATTACCTGCCCAGCTGAGAAACAAATGTGGTAGTCGGAGAAAAGAGATAGGTTGAGTGTTAGGGGGAAACGGGATTGAAGGAAGAAGAAAGAGGGAACCCTAAAGAAGGAAGTGAGGGAGATGAGCGGATGAGAGAGAAAAACTCCGGAATGGTAGCGAATCAAAATGCGGACAATTCTTTTCTTCAAGATCTCTTTCAATTCGTGACATTCGTGTTATTTTCAAATTTGTTTGGATTACCTTGAGGAAGTACTAGTAGAATATATATTTTTATTTTTTCTAAACCTTTAAAAAAAAAAAAAAACTACAATGAAAAAAGTCAAAGTCTAAAATGTTACTAGTAGAATACTAAAAAATACTCTTACCCATTCTTATTATAAAAATATTTTGATTTTTTTTAAATTTCACCCAAGATATGTTTTTAATTTTTTTAAGAATATATTTTCACGTTGGTGTATACTCCTAATTATTAGAAAATATTTTTAAGATAAAGACATCCGAGATAAAACTTAAGACAAATCAAAATAGTTTAGACTAAAGATTGGAGGGAATATGTTTCCTCGATAGAAAAACTTAATAATATAAAATTATATTCCAATTAAATTCTTATGCATAAACTTTTTAACAACTTAAAAAAATATCTCTCTATAAACTCTCAATTTTTATTGATCTTGCAATCTTCATCAAAGCTCAAACAGCACAACCACAATTAAGTAATAATCATATTTTGTACTCGTGTATACTGATGAGCAATAACGCTTACAGTTACAAATTGCCAAAATTCACCTTGAAAAATATAGATGGGAGCCCCTACTGATTCGCAGACAAAATCCAAATCTGGAGGAGATCGAACAAAAACATCTCAAACGATATACACGGTTATAGATTTCCTACGAAGTGTCAATTGTCAAGTGTGTTTATGTATTTGTGGATCATCACTTATTCGCTTCAGGAAAAGACTAAACCGAATATAACAAACTCGTTGGTCCCCCATCGAACCAAACTCATACCGTTGATCTCATATTGAAGAGCATAGGAATTGTAAAGTATTTCATCATACATAGGCGGTCACAGCTCATATAATAAAGCAGCAGCAGGAAGTGTGCTCAGAAATAGTGAGGGAAACTAGATCATAGGATTTGCTGGCCAACTAGGCTCTTGCACTGTTCAGGAAGCTGAATTTTGGGACCTAGATTTCCGGTATGTAGAACTAGACACGGACTCTCTTGAAGCGGTTGAGTTTCTATGGCAAGAAAACTCTTGCTTCTGTAAATAGTAACATGTTTAGTAGAATTCAACTCTTACTTAAAAAAAGAACCGGCAAATTTCGAATAATAAAATTGCGAATTTTTTAGTGAAATTTGGTTTTTCTTGCCCATATGGGGTGCATATTTTGTCGACGCCTCCGTCTACAATTAGAGAGACCTCCCGATAAAATGCGGGTCGTTTTGTATCTAAACTTATGGCTTCCTTTGTATATATTTTTTTTTTAAAAAAAAGGTATTTCATCATACGACTATAATATGTGCTATTAGTGATTCGTCTATCAGTCTGTCTATTTAACGTGTGCTTTGTTAATGCACTTAATTACTAATTATGGTTTTAGTTAATATATATAAAAAAAATGTAAAAGAATCTATTAGTATCAAATAGTAGAACGACACGTATGAAAATAGCATTTCACGAATTTTTGATTATTCGAGTTTGTTGTACTAAATAAATCAGTATAATAATAAAATAAAATTTGAAAATAGGAAGGAAGGAGTGGGATTTGGTAAAATAAATAGTGGAATTCAGAAGAAAAATAATAATTAAATTTTGACCCACAAATGAATGAGCTAGGTGGTTCTTTGAGGTTAGGACTGGCAATCTCCGACACGACCCGGAATTTCAACACGAACACGATACGAAATAACCCAACACGAACACGACCGTATAATAAACAGGTCGGGTTAGGGTCAGGAATTTGGACCCCGTTTATTAAACGGGTCGGATTAAGGTCGACCCGATATGTTACCCGGGTTACCCGAATAATTATTATATATATTTTATACGGTTAGTTTGGAAATTTTGCACTAAAATAACCCTAATTTCTCTTCTTCTCCTTCACGGCCTCCTCACATCACCAGCCTTCCACTTCAAAACCAAAAACAAAAACATGGCGGTTCGACCATTTCGCCAACACCTCCTCCCAACACACTCAACATAGCCCTCCTTTTCTTCTTTATCAGGGTTGCTGTCGGCCACCTCCATCAATTTCACTCGAAAATGAAGTCTCCAACGTAGATCTAGACGTCAGTGATTCCCTCAAAGTCCCGATCTCCGAGAACAAACAGATCATCAGTTTTCTTCATAATCATCTCATTCGAATTAATCCAGATCCGGAATTCGCCGATCCCATCACCGTTAGATCCATGCCCTTGAAGCGGGTTACATGCTGCGACTTCCGTCCGGTCGACCGCCGCCTTATCTCCGTCAGATCAAGATTGCCTAATCGTCCGATCACCGATATTTTTTTTTTTGAGTTCTGAAAACTTATGTTGTCTTTGTTTGTTAATTTATAACTTTATGTTAGTTTCTATTGAATTGTAAGTTTTAAACTTGAGTATTCGTAGTTGATGGATGGATTAATTTTCATTTTGAGTATGTTTGGTGGAAGGATTGATGGTTTTTAAATTTTCATGTGAGACACAGACAGATTCAATTCTCTGCATTTGGTTTTTTTTGCAATTTTTCTAAATTAATTTTTTTTATGGATTAAACAGGTCGCCCGGGTTGACCTGACCTTTAAAAGGTCGGGTTAAGATTGCGAACTTTGACCTGTATAATTAAACAGGTCGGGTCCGGGTTAGGTATAATTTTTCCGGGTTTGGGTTCAACCCGATACGCTAACCCGAACCTGACACGAATTGCCAGGCCTATTTGAGGCGCTGGCCTTCCTTCACAAATGATCCCCTAAATATTCTTAATTTTTTAAGTGTGGCCTGAATGAAAGCCCAGCATTTTGATCTGAATACTTTTAATTCTGGGCTGCGGGAAAGTTTAAGGCCGAATCACATGGGTGATAAACTTTTGCAAAGGATCTTCAAAACTTGAGTCCAGAATTGAAATTAGTTTGGACTTTGGAATAGGAAAAACTTCACTTTTGAGAGATATGAAATCTGATCCACTCTCTATTTATTACTCCCTCCGTCCCAAAATTATTGTCCAGTTTGAGTTTTCATTTTTAGTATAAATTGAACTAAAAGTGAAATCTCATACTGGACAATAATTTTGGGACAGAGGGAGTATTTCCTATATGCTTCCTGTGAGTTGTTTTAGTTTATTTTGGAAATAATTGCATCATTGCGTACTGACCAATAATATTAGAGCTTTGTAAGTTTAAACGTTAGCTATCAAAGCGTTAGGTAAAGTAAAGAATGCACCATTTGCTTTATGCACCCAACATTTTAATCAACTTGAGTGAACATATTCAACTCACGGACCCAAGCAGAGCAAGTTGTAATTTCTCGTTCATATAGAAGAGGACTTGTCTGCTTTACAAGTAACCTGTGACATACTTAGACGAGACATTCTTTTATATCTCGTATAATCCGATGTTCAAAATAAGAATCGCGTTTATAAAATTTTTAATAACAGAGTAATAAATTAATACTATAATTTTTATTTTGTGATGGATAAGATTTATGCAATTTTATGCATTAGAACAACGGATCATATCCATTATCCAATGTGATCCCAACGGGGAAAACAAATATTACTAGTAAATTAGAAAATTAAACCCCACCGTCTAACCCAACTATGAGTCTACACACGACCTCGTGGATTAATTCTTATATCGTCTTCGCTATTGGCTCATATGTCATTGTCAATCGCCAACCTGTTTCAAATCATTGAACTCACTTTTTAGTCAAAAGAATCAAAACTTCTTCTTCATCATCATCAACAACAAATACTACTTTGGAAATCCCACATTCTCAATCATTCAATTCATGACCGGGAAGCTCCAAAAATGGGTTCAATGAAGAGCAATCATCATCCACTCCATTCCGGAATCTTGCCATTCATGCTTCTTATTTTCTTCATATTCTGTTTCCAATCCCTTTTCTGTGCACGGGCTGATTCCACTTACGACAATTTTGCAAATTGTCTGACCAAAAATGGGGTCCCAAATAACCAAATTCCCCAGATTCTCTACACTCCCTCAAATGCTTCCTTCACCTCTGTATTGAACTCCTACGTTAGAAACCTACGATTCAACACAAGTACTTCAAGAAAGCCATCCATAATTGTGACCCCATTTCAGGTTCAGCAAGTTCAGGCAACAATAAAATGCTCAAAAGGAACAGGGTTGCAGCTGAAAATCCGAAGCGGCGGGCACGATTTTGAAGGTATTTCATACGTTTCAAACACCCCTTTCATCATTCTCGATATGTTTAATTTTAGCAACATCAGCATCGATATTCCTAGTCAAACTGCTTGGGTTCAATCCGGCGCGACCCTCGGCGAATTTTACTACAGTATTTGGAGAAAGTCCAATGTTTTCGGGTTCCCAGCCGGCGTCTGCCCGACAGTAGGTGTAGGTGGACATATCAGCGGGGGTGGTTATGGCCCGATGTTGCGAAAATATGGCCTGACGGTCGACAATGTCGTGGATGCACAAATTATTGATGTGAATGGTAACATTTTGGACATAAAAGGGATGGGGGAAGACCTGTTTTGGGCAATCAGGGGTGGAGGGGGAGCGAGTTTTGGAGTTGTTCTGTCTTACAAGGTTAATTTAGTTCAAGTGCCTTCCACTGTTACTGTTTTTAATGTTCAAAGGACAGAGGCACGAAATGCTGCTGACATTTTAGTCAAATGGCAAAATGTGGCTGCCAGCATTGACAATAATCTCTTCATCAGAGTTATCATCCAGCCAGTTCCAATTATTGGCACCCGAAAAATGACGATCCAAGCGACATTCCTTGCTTTATACCTGGGAGATTCTGTTAGTCTCATGAATCTTATGAACTCTCAATTTCCTGAATTGGGATTAAAGCAGAGTGATTGTCTCCAAATGAGTTGGATCCAGTCAATAGTGTATTGGGCTAATACCAAGAACAGCGGGTCCAGGCCGGATGTTCTGTTAAGGAGGACGACTGATTCAGTCAGTTTTGGGAAGAAGAAATCAGATTATGTCCTGACTCCCATTCCAAAGGCTGCATTGACTTTCATCTTCAACAAAATGATTCAGCTTGGAAAAGTTGGAATGGAGTTCAACCCATATGGTGGAAGAATGAGCCAAATCGCCGAAAGCGACGCGCCGTTTCCTCATCGGAGAGGGATTATATACAAGATTCAGTATTCCATAAGTTGGGGAAGGAATAATCCAGAGTTAACAAATCAGTATCTTGGGCAAGCAAGGGAGCTGTACAGCTTCATGACTCCATATGTGTCAAGCAATCCCAGAAGGGCTTTTCTGAATTACAGAGATCTTGATATTGGTATCACCAGTAATGGAATCAATGGGTATAGTGAAGGAAAAGTGTATGGATTGAAGTATTTCGTGGGCAATTTTGATAGGTTGGTGAAGGTGAAGACGGCTGTTGATCCCCAGAATTTCTTCAGGAATGAACAAAGTATTCCAATTCTTCCTTCTTAGTACTTTCCAATCCGGTCCTCCCCTTTTGACTGCAATAATCACAACTTAAGTGTAACCATTGATTGAACAGAATGTACTGTGTATGATCCAAACATAATTTGAATGAAACTATTCCTTTCCTCAACTAAGTTGTGATTTAAGTTACCTTTGTTATGTTTACTTATGATAATCATGTTCATTACAAAAATCCTAATACAAAAACAAAAGACTATCGGCTTGAAATTGAATAATTATAGGTGAAAAACACTTTTGGTCATTTTCTTGGGGATTCTCAAACAGAACGAAAAAATACGGTCCCAACGGAGCCTTAACCACTCTAAACTATTAGTACATTATTACAACTCATGAAAGGATAGGTCATGTTATAGATTTCGTACACATCATATCTACTAACTTTAGTAATATATCACGAGTCAAAACTACTTATTAAGCTGTAACTTTTAAGTTGATTGGAAGGCAATCTGTTAGGATTTCAGAAGCCGGTTACATAGTCGGTTGGTGATAGCAAAATCTAATTGTTAAAGGGGGAAATAAACGGCTAACTTCGAAAGGGAAGCAAAAACATCCATTTCGATACTTATAAGAATCCACACCTCAATCACTTGTTTGGGATACACGTTAGGTACAATAATTAAATCATCCATCGCGCTCTATAATGTAAAAAAAGAACTAATGAATGAATAACCCATAAAACTAATGCACAGATGTTATAACTTATAATTACTGCTAGTCCGTCTTCCTATTTACTTTTATTTATTTATTTATTTCATTGATTGAATTGTGTTGTTTTATGTGATTATCAATAATACAGTTGCCATCTTACTTTTTAACTGAAGAGGTATTAGTGTTCTTCTTAACTAATATCTTTTAATTTTTAACATTTTGCACTTCACTTGACCTTAATTAGCGATTGATTTAAATTTATTATTAATCATTTAACGATTAAAATATATGAAAATCATGTTGAGGTAATATGAATTTAGTAAGATGTATGTACCATTGGGCATCAAACAAGGAAATGTAGTATTCTCTAACATTCTATTAAAGAAAATTTGAGGTCAATTTCTCACTTGGCTTAAACACTTTTTTTCATTTGACAAAAAATAGACCCAAAGAAAAATAAAATAAAAAAGGCTAAGAGAGTAGGTAGTAATAGTAGTAGGTTTAGATCATGAATGATTTGTGGGCAAATTTATCCAGATGGCTCTTAAATTAGATGCAGCTGTGATTAATATTCTCCGGGCACGCACTTCTACCTTTGCATTCAATCAAAAGGTATTTATGTCAAGCTCCATGACAAATCAGCTAATTTCTTTATTTATCAGAACTACATCGATCACAAAATAAAATTTTACTAGTAGATTTTAGTACTGTTTCTTACATTGTTTTTACACATTTTATGAACATCATCACTTACGTCGTTACGTATAGAAGGGACGTGAGGGATAAGATTTTATCCTAATTTCAGAATATATGGAGAAAAATATTTTAACTTTAGTTTGATGCACATGCCTCTGCTTTATTTTATTTCTTAGAATGATCCTCTCTTCATTGGTTCATTCATCCCTATAAATACTGGGGTTTCACTACAACTACAACTACACCGACAAAAAACAGGAAGAAAAAGAAAAAATTAAACAAGATGAGGCCGCTTCAGCTCGTCCTTATTATAGCTGTTATTGGTAAGCAGAGCTTTCTGTTTATCACTTTCTTTTTATTTTTGTTGTTTGCTTGTTTTTCAGAATATAATTTCCTTTATCCAAAAAATTTAAAAAAAAGAATATAATTTCCCTCGGGGAGAATTTTTTGAGAGGAAAATTAAACGTATGCTTCAGGTAACATATTTTTTTGGGATAGTTTGGGAGGGTTGAGATTAGGAATCTTGAAATCTGAATGTTAATGAGTATAAACTTGCATCCTTTTATTTCCTAAAATTAAAACAAAACCAATATATAGTTGATTTACTTTACAGTAATAATTAATTATATGCTGTATGTGAATAATTAATATTTTCCTATGTATATATATAATGCATGATTCATTATACACATGGACATATTAAATTTTCCTATTTGATTGCATTTGCAAATCGAGACCAAAAGGCCAATGAGCTTTGAAAAGTAGTAGAAGGCATTCCACACAAGAGCGAGGAATAAAAACCAAAAGTAACAATTACAGAATTCAATCTAACTTTAATCAATTAATTAGTAGTATCTCCCTATTTCATGCTTGTTGATACTTGACAGAATAAGGAAATTTGGTTTCCCTGACGATAATTAAGCACTTTTTATACGCAAGAAATAAAAATAATCTTATACGTACAGAGTATGACTAATTACTAATAGAAGATCATAAATGAGGTTTTGATTAATTATTAATTTCATTGGTAATAAATTAATTATCATAGTAACAATAGATTTTAGTAAATATACTGACGAAAAGCTACATGGAAAGCACTAGCCATGATCAGCTTGGCAATTGGTCTTCCCGAATTGAACAAAACAGCTGCAAAAACCATGAAGGAACCTGAAAATGATGGATCTATAAAAGCCTTTGAAGACGCAAAAGAAGAAACAAGAACTGAAGGAGGTCTGGAAGAAGTTGGAGTAGGGATTGAAGGAGCTGGAAAAGTCATTGAGGAAGCAGGAGAAACTCTGGAAGAAGAAAATGGACCAGCAGGCCTTAAAGAAACTGCAAAAGCCCTTGAAGACGTTGGAGAAGGCCTTGAAGACATTGGAAAAGACCTTGAAGACGCTCCTCAAGACGGATCTGCAGAAGAAGCTAGAAACGTAATTGGCCTTGAAGAAGCCGCCGAAAAGGCCTTCTCCGAGGTTGGCAGAAAGAATTGAAAATCCAATGCTTCGGGGCGTTCAAAAAAGATCGAGCCAGTCCTTTTAATCTGCCATTGCTTACGAATAAACTTTTTTAATAAATTAATATGTATTGAATACTAATAAATTGAACTTTTTTTTAAGAACGTATCTGTATTTAAGTATAAAAAAAAACCTATGTTATTACAGCACATTCTAATATAAGCTAGATTATGCATCTCAATAACGTCCTGTCTATAAACTTTTTTAAGAAAACCGTAGTTAGGGAATTTGTGAAGATTATCAATATGTATCGAATACTAATATACATTAATGGTTCGAATGCATTAACCAAAGCATTCATGATCTTGTGATTTTATTAAATACTAAGTGTGCACCATCCTGAGGTTGCAGAGCTACAACGGCGTAAGGAGAGCATGAGTGTAGGATGCAGAAAGATGGAAGGAGTATCGTTGCAGAATCATCTCCATCACCAACTTTGCTTCCACCATACTATAATTCTGCCCAATACAAATTCTTGGTCCCCAGCCAACGGTAAGAATGAAACCTGGCCCTTGGTTGCACTTGAAAGTCCTTCCTTAAATCTCTCCGGATTGAACTCTTTCGCATCCTCGCCCCATACATTTGAGTCGCGATGCAGTAGCGCAAGTGGAACAAGTACTAAAACCCCTTCTGGCAACACTACATTTCCGAGTTTAGTTTCTTTCTGAACTATCCATTCGATTGAGGCTAGTGGAGTGTACAATCTGAGCACCTCGTTCAAGATCATCGTCAGCTGCAAAATGAAAACCCAAAAAAAAAAAAAAAGTGTCTTGCTTATAGCAACAATTGTATAAGCATATATCTCCAAATATTGTGGAACTCAGAAAAAGAAATGGATGGCAGAGTTAACTCACAATTTTAAGGCGACTGAGCCCCTCAAAATTGGGGTCATTTCTTCCAAACAATTTTAAGGCGCGCGCTTGCCATTCTTGATGCTTACTGAGTAAAACCAGCGTCCACACAAGCAATGATGAAGTGGTCTCATGACCAGCAAAGTAGAAGAGTTTGCATTCTTCCATAACATCTTTGATACGCATCCCAAAACTTTTGTCACCTTGGATTTCAATCTCGTTTAAATTAGATTTCAATAGAATGTTCAAAAAGTCATCATTTGTGGGTTCCCCATCTTTCATCGCCTTCACTCTTTTCTCGACCATTTCTCCTACAATAGATAAAATTTCTCTTTCTATTTCCTTTATTCTTCTCATCCTCTTAGTTGGCAGAAACCTGTACAATATGTGGCATGACAATGATGAGAACATGAGAAATTGAGAATACAAATGATTGCATGAAGGGGAAGCTGAGTTTTAACTTAACCTTGATCCGGGAAAATAGAATGATTTCACCGCTGTCATGACAAGATCTGCCTGTTCGGTTTGAAGTTCAAATATTTTCCTACCCTCTGCATAGTTAGTTCTGACTGCAGTCCGAGAAATAGTATCACTGGTTCAAACTTTAAGGTCCGGCCAAACGTCACCTTCGCAGGATCCTTTATTCTGTGAAATGCTTTCCTCCCATTTGCTTAACATGTCACCGGCACATAATTGAAACCCTGGCAGCATATGCTATTATATTCATAAGAACCAACACATAAGACAAACCTAATTAATTGGTCCTAAATATTGATTGCATCAAAGAAATAGAATCCTATGTTCTCTTGATGGAAAGCAGGGTTGATCAATTTACAATGTCTTGCCCATTTATCGCCCTCGGCGCCTACTAGTCCTTGTAAAAGGTATTTCCCGATTTAATGAAAGCGGTTCTTCTCGTAGAGTGAGCAATACTGAAAGATCTCCTTCACTTGTTTAGGGTTTAAGATTATAACTGCAGGAATTGGACCAAGCCATACAAAGCATGTACTCGCGTCTCACAAAACTTTCCTCCGTCCTGAAATGATTGTCCAGTGTAAATCCAAACTGAACAACTATTTTAGGACAAAGAGAATAATATATAAGAATACTATACTATACGTATTTGAACTTTTAAGAGGATATAGATAAAGCTAATTATTAATCCAAAACAGTTAGAAGTAAAGGATACAGAGGAACAAATTCATGACGTCCAATTAAAACGAAGAGACGAGAGGGTTGCAGATGTACAATGCTTACCATACTTATTGATGGTTTTGATTAAGAAAGCTAAAACGCGAGGAACGATATCATCAGAAAGGCTGATGGGCTTGGATACAGATTCTTGTATCATCAAAACCAACTCCTTGAAATCTCCATACAAGAAATTGTAGGAATTCCCGCGGAGGCCTTGTGCTCTCAGAAGCTTCTCCAGTTTCTTGGGCCTCAACCATACAGAATTCAGTATCCTCCAGGCCAAGTAAAGAAGAAGAAGCGCACAGGAAAAGAGAGGTACAAGTAGAAGAAGATCCATGGTTTTTCCATTCTTGGTAAACATCATGATGATAGTCTCAACTCTCAGTCTCTCAACTAAGTTGTACTAATAATCATTGATGCTAAAAAAATTGAGGGTTGAACCTTTTTGTGTTTAAGTTGGTCACTTTTTCTGGTTGTTTTTTAGATCAATATATAATGAATGATGATGACATTTCCTGGCTGGCTGCGAGGCTACGATCTTGCAAGTACATTACTTAAGAAATGCTTTGACAACTTCTTTAACAACTACTCCTTCTATCCCAACATTATTATTGTTTGAGATTTTATTTTTAATACAATTTAGCTCAATTTAGTAATAATAATCCTTCATTCTAATTCTCTAACCATCCCACCCAGCTCTCTCATCTTAAAATCAGCTCTTACCACATCAAAATAAGATTAATTTTTAAATCGGAAAAAAAAATATTGGAACACCAACAGTTGGTTCGGTATCCGAACTTAAAAGGTAAAAAAGAATGAGTAGTAGTAGGTACAAGGAAAAATGATAACGAATGATATGTCAAGATCTTAACTATGCCCTAACCTTAAATACATAAACCATGTTTAAAAAGTTTTAGTAATAAATGAGTGAGATCATTTCCTTATAATTTCTCATGTTCATTTTGTCCTTGTACCAATCATTACTCAAAAAGAATAATGATTGAATATATGGCGGCTGATAAACTTTGTCTTCCTCCACAAAGTCAACGTCAGATTGAGTTAATTTGATTAGAAATAGATAATTAAATTGATTTAAAAAATAACATTAATATATTCGTAATAAAAGTCATAAATTAAGGCTGTGAAACTAGTAATAGATACGTTAAACTTTTGCCAGTAATGTGCTGAAATAGGGATATTTATATACAACATGTCGCTTTTAATTTTGGACGAACCCAATACCTTTTTTTTTTATCTGTCACACTCTATTTCTAATGCGACATTAAATATAATTTCTTCGATTTCACCCTTATCACTTTATTTTTAATAACACATATTAATGAAAATTACTTATGTTTACTTCAATTTTAAAATATTGTATAGTCCCAATACTTTTAATTAGGACAAGAAAGATATTATACTTAAAGATAGATAAAAAAAAAATGGAGGTTGTACATATTAAATTTAGATAAAAACAAATGGAGGTTGTACATATTAAATTAAAAAAAAAAGTTAAAACAACGACGAACATCATTTTACGCCCTTTATGGTTAAATTGCAACCTATGTACGGGTATTTTTAAAACTTCCGCACTACAATTGTATTATTATTATTATTATTATTATTATTATTATTATTATTATTATTATTATTATTATTATTATTATTATGGATATTACGTACTCGGTGTTCAAAATCATTCTTCTGTCTAATTCAAAAAATCTCTTTAAGAAGGTAAAACTCTTCCAACAAATATTTTATTAATTTTAATTAAGGTATAAAACTTTTATATTCTTTGTCAACAATACATGAAGTAAGCACATGATATCTCAGTTGCCCAATTGACGAATAAAGATGTAGAAAGAAATAGTATAATTACCTCTAAAGCACCAATAATTATGGATTTTTTTTTAAAAAAAAAAAGCATAGAGAGAACTACATGAACAGTTCAATTATGTCGATGTCAAAAAAAAAAAGAAAAAAAAAAGAAGAAGAAAAAAGTTGGTATACAATATGCTCTACAATAGCCAAAAGAATGTCAACTTAATTATGACTAGTCAGCTCTAAGGGTTTGATTCCCACCGGAGGTTATAAGGGGATTTTACCTACATTTAAGTGAGGTCATTGGGGTGAATTTTTTTCTTTTTTTAAAAAAAACGATAGATGAAAGAAAATTATGAAGTTTAATTGGTTTTACACGATAAACAAATGTAAATTGCTAGTTGATGGTAGTTGACTTTGGTACGGGATTATAATCCCAAATCCCAATTAGTATTTGGGAAATTGTCTAGTGGTGGATATTTCAACTGAATTATACAGTTAAAATATTACCGACTAGGTTTAATAAGGCAATACATATTACTATATGTACTTTGGGACTATAACATATGTTTCACAGCCTAGATACAATACATATTACTATATGTAATATGTGCAATGTTATAGATAGTGAAAAATTATAATGAATTTGGATAGTGACAAATGAAAAGACAAATACACCGCATACTTAATAAACATGTCTAGTTATTAATCAAGGGTAAAATTATAATTTTTGAGAAAAATAAAATTTCAACCGGAAAGTGACAAAAATTAGGGGCTAAGATTAGTCTCATCAAATTAATATTCCATAGAAAAACCTCATTCCTTGATAAAATTTGCACAACTTAATTGTCAAGTATTGTTTCGTTTTACTCGTATATCTAAACTGGTTGATGATTAATTGTTTATGAAGGTTAAAATTTTCCATAACAAAATTATCAAGTATTGTATCGTTTTACTCGATTATATATCTAAACAGGTTGATAATTAATTGTTCATGAAGGCTAAAAATTGCACAACTAAATTGCTAAGTATTGTATCGTTTTACTCAATTATATATCTAAACAGGTTGATAATTAATTGTTTATGAAGGTTTGTTTTTTACATATTGCAAGTTGTCCACCGTCGACAACTGTGACTGAACCCTCACTCATGATAGACACCTCGATGGTGAAAGAGATGGCCAAAAGATTTAAGGTTGCTCTATGTCAATAGCGAGATTCAAATCCTCGACCTATGATTAAAGGTGGAGAAGTCATTACCACTCCACCACAACCCTTTTGGTTGTTTATGAAGGTTATTGAACATGATTTTATACCCAAAAAAAAGACCTACTTTTTTGGATAGTGAGTAAGTATATTACAAGCCTCAAATTTCCACAGTACCGTATCTTATCGGATCTCACCAAAGATGAAATAACTTGAGAGTTTAATTTAATGATACATCTTCCCGTACGTCATTTTAATCATCAACAATATTGTAATACTGTCATATTTGCACTTGCGACAAGCTTTGGGTTGTTAAGACTTTGAAGGAACACAAAAGTCATTTTTAAAAAAAATAAAAAATTGGATGGCTCGAATCCTCAATCTCTTAGTAATAATAATTCTCCATTCTAATTCTCTAACTATCCCACCCAGCCCTCTCATCCTTAAAATCAGCTCTTACCACATCAAAATAAGATTAATTTTTAAATTGGAAAAAATAATATTGGAACACCAATAGTTGGTTCGGTATCCAAACTTAAAAGGTAAAAAAGAATGAGTAGTAATAGGTACAAGGAAAAATGACAAGGAATGATATGTCAAGATCTTAACTATGCCCTAACCTTAAATGCATAAACCATGTTTGAAAAGTTTTAATAATAGATGAGTGAGATCATTTCCTTATAATTTCTCATGTTCATTTTGTCCTTGTATCAATCATTACTCAAAAAGGATAATGATTAAATATATGGCGGCTGATAAACTTTGTCTTTCTCCACAAAGTCAACTTCAGATTGAGTTAATTTGATTAGAAATAGTTAATTAAATTGATTTAAAAAAGAACATTAATATATTCGTAATAAAAGTCATAAATTAAGGCTGCAAAACTAGTAGTAGATACGTTAAACTTTTGCCAGTAATGTGCTGAAATAGGGATATTTATATACAATGTGTCGCTTTCAATTTTGGACGAACCCAATACTTTTTTTTTGTCTGTCACACTCTATTTCTAATGCGACATTAAATATAATTTCTTCAATTTAACCCTTATCACTTTATTTTTAATAACACATATTTATGAAAATTACTTATGTTTACTTCAATTTTAAAATATTGTATAGTCCCAATACTTTTAATTAGGGACAAGAAAGATATTATACTCGAAGATAGATAAAAAAAAATAGAGGTTGTACATATTAAATTAAAAAAAAAGTTAAAACAATGACGAACATCATTTTACGCCCTTTATGGTTAAATTGCAGCCTATGTACGGGTATTTTTAAAACTTACGCGCTACAATTCTATTATTATTATTATTATTATTATTATTATTATTATTATTATTATGGATATTACGTACTCGGTGTTCAAAATCATTCTTTTGTCTAATTCAAAAAGTCTCCTTATGAAGGTAAAACTCTTCCAATAAATATTTTATTAATTTTAATTAAGGTATAAAACTTTTATATTCTTGGTCAACAATACATGAAGTAAGCACAGGATATCTTAGTTGCCCAATTGACGAATAAGGATGTAGAAAGAAATAGTATAGTTACCTCTAAAGCACCAATAATTATGGATTTTTTTTTTTAAAAAAAAAAGTATAGAAAGAACTACATGAACAGTTCAATTATGTCGATGTCAAAAAAAAAAAAGAAAAAAAAGAAGAAGAAAACAGTTGGTATACAATATGCTCTACAATAGCCAAAAGAATGTCAACTTAATCATGACTAGTCAGCTCTAAGGGTTCGATTCCCACCGGAGGTTGTTATAGGATTTTTACCCACATTTAAGTAGGGTTATTGGGGTGAATTTTTTTTTTTTTAAAAAACCGATAGATGAAAGAAAATTATCAAGTTTAATTGGTTTTACACGATAAACAAATGTAAATTGATTCTAGTTTATGGTAGTTGACTTTGAATCGGGATTATAATCCCAAATCCCAATTAGTATTTGGGATTGTCTAATGGTGGATATATCAACTAAATTATACAGTTAAAATATTACCGACTAGGTTTGATAAGGCAAATACACATGTGGTGGGATGTAATTTAACAAAACCATATGTAGTTGATGATCTACTAATGAGTAATTTATTTACACATAGATAATTATCAAATAATTTTTTTTAGTACAATGGAGGAGACAAATATCTAGAATTCAAAATTATTACAGCACTTTGATAAGATACACCAACAATATCATGTTGAATCAACGTTTTAACAACATCAGAAGGTACATCTAGCTATTGTAAATCGCCAGAACTATCCATTGCTAATGCCGCTAGGAACCAGCACCGAAATTCAACTCTCGGTATATGTGATGTAACTCCAACAAATTAAAGATTTGCAGAAAGAATCTGCTCGAACTAAAACTTGAATTACCATTCAAGCAACTCAAACTTGAATTAGCACAAAGAATAAGGAGTAAAGATCTGTATAGTTGCCAGTTTACCATCCAACATTAATGTGGTGCTCACATTGTCGTCTACAGCAAGAATTCACATTTTCATGGTCAAAATGGTAAGATTTAATCGTACGCTATTGTTTTAATATATACAAATAGAAATACATTACTTTAATTTTAGGAGAACTCATTCATCAGAGATGCATTGTTACAAGTTAGCAAATGACTTCTTCAGCGTTTCAGATCTAGTAATTAATTGCTGATTAATTTTGGCTTTAGATTTCATCATTTCAATATTAATGCATACTTCTTTTTCTTTGATTTCGAAACCACTGAGATACTTGGCATCTTTTCGTGAGAAATTCGTCCTTAATTTGTTGGTCATTTGTTGCTGTTGAAACTCCACCACTGAATCTATCGGGGTTGAACTCTTTTGCGTTGTGGTCCCATAGGCTTGAGTTGTGATTCAATAGCATAATAATTTATTCTTCAACTTTCCATTTAATCGAAATCAGAGAAGCGGATCATGTAATATCAACTGGTATGCACTATAGCTGTACTTATCGATAATAATAACAACAAGAAGAAGAAGTTGGAATTTATAATGATTGATTATTTTGCATCAACAAAGCGGAAAAGTAGCACGAACTGGCATTCAAGATGCGCAACAAAATGGTGCAAAAGAGTAATTTGTGTTTATTACCTCCGTCTCAGAATTACTGTACAGGTTAGATTTTTACGTTTAGTTCAATCGATACCAAACGTAAAAATATGAACTGGACAATAATTTTGAGGAGGGAATATGAGATTATACACTAATCACTTCAAAGGCATGAACCAAACATTCATGTTCATGTGATTTTACGCAAAATTAAGTTTGCGCCATGTTGAGGTTGCAGAGTAACAATGGTGTAAGGAGCATGAGTGTAGGATGGAGAAAGATGGAAGGAATATCGTTGCAGAATCATTGCCATCACCAATTTTGCTTCCACCATAGCAAAATTCTGTCCGATGCAAACTCGAGGCCCCCAGCCGAAGGGCAAAAACGAAACTTGTCCCTTAGTTGCACTGGAAACTCCTTCCTGAAATCTCTCTGGATTGAACTCTTTCGCATCATCACCCCATATTTCTGAGTCGTGATGCAGTAACATAACTGGCACCAATACTAAAACACCCTTTGGCAACAACACATTTCCGAGTTTAGTTTCTTTTTTAACTTTCCTTTCAAAAGACACTGGAGGAGGGTACAATCTGAGAACCTCGTTAAGGATCATCGTGAGCTGCAAAATAAAGAAAAAAAAAAAAAAAGAAGAACCGAATCATTATATATATATATATATATGTAGAGAGAGAGAGAGAGAGAGTAACAAATGCGTGGATCTCTAAATTAATATTCTTTATGTCCTAAAATTATTGTCCAGTTTGGATTTTCACTCTAATACAATTTGAACTTAATATGAATAATCTAAACTGGACAATAATTTCGAGATGGAAGTAGTATCATAGAACCACACAAAACTAAACTAAATTAACCATGCCGAAGAAGTTAATTAAGCAACTAAAGAAAGAAAAAACAAAAATAAAAATGCATTGAAAAGTTGACTCTCACAATTTTAAGGTGATTGAGGCCCTCAAAATTTGGTTCATTACTTCCAAACACTCGCAAGACTTCTTCTCTTGCACGCGACTGCCAATCTTGATGCTTGCTGAGTAAAACTAGTGTCCACACTAGCAACGTTGAAGTGGTCTCATGGCCAGCAAAATAGAAGAGTTTGCATTCTTGCATTACCTCTTCGATGCTCATCCCAAAACTTTGGTCACCTTGGATTTCAATCTCGCTTAAATTAGATTTCAATAATACGTTCAACAAGTCATCATTAGTGGGTTCCCCTGCTTTCATTGCCTTCACTCTTTTATCGACCATTCCTCCTACAATTGTTAAAATCTCTCTTTCAATCTCCCTTATTCTTCTCAACCTCTTAGTTGGCAGAAACCTGTACAATATGTGACATGGAAATGATCAAAATATGAGAATATATATGATATGGTTACGTTAATAATGTCTTTAATTAACCTTGATCCGGGGAAATAGAATGATTTCACCGCTGTCATCACAAGATCTGTCTGCTCGGTTTGAAGTTCAAATATTCTCCTACCCTCTTCATAGTTGCTAGTTCCAAATACAGTTCGAGAAAGGGCATCACTGGCTAAAACTTTAAGGTCCGTCCAAACATCGCGTTCGCAGGATCCATCATTCTGTGAAATGCTTTCCTCCCATTTGCTCAACATGTGACTGGCACATAAATGAAAAGCTGGCACCATTTGCTATATAATTTTTTTTTTTTGGGTTAAATATACATACATACAAGCCAAATTAGTCCAAAGTATTAAATTAAGGGAAGTACTAGAGTTTAAGGTCCCTAAAACACAATATTCCTATATACTAGTCAACAGATTGGGAGAATGTGACAGGAAAGAGAATTTTTGTTCAGGATGAAATGAATCAAACCTTGAGCTTCTCTTGATGGAAAGCAGGGTTGATCAATTTACGATGTTTTGACCATTTATCTCCCTCGGCATCTACTAGTCCTTGTAATAGGTATTTCCCAAGTGGATGGAAACGGTTCTTCCCGTAGAGCGCAGTCTTGTGAAATATCTGCTTCACATGTTCAGGGTCTAAGATTATTACTGCAGGAACTGGGCCAAGCCACACAAAGCAACTCTTACCTGTAAATTGAAATTCTCATCATCGGTATATTTATTTTTGAGTCTCGAAACTCTTGAATAAATAAATACTGGTCCACGTTACGTATTGGAATCTGTACTGTTTTTAATACGATCTCAAAAGTCAATGCAGACTATACTTTTGGGACAGAGGGAGTATTAAAGGTCAAGTATCCAGATGAACAAATTCATGAGAATGCATATAATGCTTACCATACTTGTTGATGGTTTTGATCAAGAAAGCTAAGACTCGAGGAGCAATATCATCGGAAAGGCTTATTGGTTTGGATAAAGATTCTTCCATCATTGAAACCAACTCCTTGAAATCTCCATACAAGAACTTGTAGGAATTCCCGCGGAGGCCTTGCGCTCTGAGAAGCTTCTCCAGCCTCTTGGGCGTTAACCATACAGAATTCAATATCCTCCATGCCAAATAAACAAGAAGAATCACACAGGAAAAGAGAGGTACAAGTAGAAGATGATTCATGGTTTGTTCATCCCTGGTAAACATGATGATGATAGTCTCAACTCTCAAAGTCTCTCAACTGGGTTGTACTAATAATCCTTGGTGCCAGAAAAGTTGAGGGTTGACCTTTTTTTGTTTTCTGACTTGGTCACTTTTTCTGGTTTTTTTTTAGCTTAGATTAATTGATGATCACATTTCGCGGCTGCCTGCGAGCCTACGATCTTCTAAAACGATTACCTAAGAAAGGCGATGAGAATTTCTAGTTACTAAGAAATGCTTAAATAAATCGAGTTGTCTCTCTACATTTGAACCCCAAAAAAATAAAAAAAATAAAAAATTGTCTTGTCTCTGCATTTGGTCAGAAATGAATCCAACGCTACACACAGGCATGCCTGAGGTAAAAACCAAGTAGTATGGACAAACATTTCTATATATTTTTTGGACTATTATAATTAATTTGGTGCTTGAGTCACGGTGGGCAATTTGGAAAGTCCACAAAAAAGCCAATCTTAGGTTGAAGCGGATTTGCAAGCTGAACTCTGAAATATTCTTCTAGTATTGGGCTTGACACGAGTTATATCGGCAAATGCACTTTTATATGTATATCCTTCTTTAGCAGTCCGTTTCATTGTATCATATGAATTATTAAACCAAGTGGATATTAAAGTAGAACAGAGGGGCAAGGTATCTTTGTACAAACATTTGTCATTACAGAAAAACAGCTAATGCACGAAAGTTTAAAGCGTGGTTTGAGTAAACTAGCTAGTTCAAACTAATTAGGCAGGGAAAGCATGTATTTTCAGGTTCAAAGAGGAAATGCAACTCTGTTTGGTGAGTGATCTAAATTTTATTCACTATATAATACTCCCTCCATTTCTTTTTGAAAAGTCTTTTTATACTTTGCACGTAAACTAAGGAGACAATCATTCAATAATTAATTTATGTGTTAAATATCTGTTTTACCCCTCATTAATTACATTGAAACTATAAACAAAACTAAACGAAACTATATTTCTATCATTTATTGAGAATAAAATTAAAAAAATAGCCATTAATTTGCCTAAAATTTATAAAACGACCTGCATTTTGAAAAATCTCTCCAAACATAAAACGACCTACAAATTGAACTGAAGGGAGTACGAATAGAACGCACACCTAGATACAATATTTCCATAGTTTTCTACTTACTACCTCTGTTTATTTTTACACGTCGTTTTATGGTGAACAAAAAAAAAACTTATTTATTGTACATCATTTCCAATGTAGCATTAAATGCAGTTTTTTCAACATCTTTATCTCTCTTTCTACTTTTAACAACATATATTAATGACAATTACCTACTTTTACACTACTTTTAAATTTTTGTAGAATTTCAATACTCTTAATAAGGGATAAGAAAGACAATACACTTAAAAATTAAAAGTTCAATAATTGTTTCCTTAATAATCGTATAAACTGTAAAATGACATAAAAGTAAATAGAGGTAATAGATGCCAAACCATGTAACCCCTAATTAATAATTTGGTTTTAGTAGATAACACTTTCAAGCATGATTGTGATAAACCGTTCCACTATGAAATTGTTGAATGTTCTTTCCTCGAAATGACAGCTATATACATTGATGAGATGAGATCATTTTGTTTTCTTAACGAATAAAAATTTCATTTAATATTTGAAAAATTATCCATATTGAATAGAAGGAGCAAGATACAATCGATATGTACAATTTTACATTTGATTGATAAATTATATGAATATAATCGTTATAAATAAATTTATACAGATCTTCTCACAAATCAGTATGTGAATGTATATAGTACCAAATTAAAAATTTAGTCTCGAATACATCTATAAAATTCTGGTATAAAGTTCTAATTATTGATCTAACAAATACATTAATACTCCTTCCATTCCAAAATAAGTGTCGTTCTACACTTTGCACATAGTTTAAGAAACTCTTAAATAAGATAACAAAATTACTTGAATATCCTCAACCAACCCCATTATAAAATTGTCCACCAATAGCATCAACTCTTTTGAGGGTAATTTTGGAAACTTTTGACAAAAAGTGCATTGAAATGTGAAAACGACACTTATTTTGGAATTTCTCCATTTTGCTAAAACGATATTTATTTTGGAATGGAGGGAGTAGATTATTTTCCTTGAATGTAAACCATAACAAAGCACCTTACGTTTAATCAACGGATTTGAATCTATAAATTACAACTCATCGTTAAATGAAAATTGAGATCTACAATCCCAAGATCAATCCTTCGACAGAACCACGATTTATTTGACTAAAACCAAGCAACATAAAAAAATTATTATAGATACACTCCACTTGTTCTTAACCAGAAAATAAAAGTTGTTTTTATCATAGAACCGGTAGAAGGTTAACATAATTAATTCACCTAATATGTGGATTGTCGAGGTCTATATCCCAACCTCCGCCCTACCAAATTCAAATTACGACTAACGGGCTGATTTATTTAATGGATCAGTAAATACTACTAATTCAACCTATGAATATACTCCTTCCATTTCAAAATGTCAGTCACTTTAAATTTTGTACGTAAATTAAGGAGTCAATCATTTAATAATTAATTTGTGTGTTAAATATCTATTTTACTCATCATTAATTGTTTTGAAACTATAACCAAGACTAGATGAGAAGTGGTTAACATCATTTATTGAGAGTAAAATTGAAAAATTAATCTTTAATTTATCTTGAAATTCTAAAACGACCTACATTTTGATTATTTCTCCAAACTTAAAACGACCTACATTTTGAAATGGAAGAAGTATATACGAATAATCTTTGAAGCACAATGTACATAAAGAATGTACCACCGGAATCTCGATGGGAATAATCATCATTAATTTGAATGCCGAAATCATACACACTTGAAATTGGTCTCAATAAGAAAAGTATTGGCTCATTTATGGATCATTCTTTGCAGCTTTTCGTTCATTTCATTTATGGGCACCAATAAGGAAAAAAAAAAGTGTTCATCAATTTTTTCTTACCAAAGAGGGTTGTCTAGTGGTAGAGGCTCAGGCATCCGACTGTGAGATTACGGGTATGAATTTCCACGACAGCAATTTATCGCTGGCCAACTTTCCTGCAGGGTAAGAAGCAGCAACAGTCGAAAGAGGCGCGTTTTAAAGGATCGAGTGGACTAAGCATGCATGGCATAAAGTCTCTCCCTAGTAGTAGTATCTCTTTTCCCATAGACCACACATATGTAATAGTTTAGGCATTTATAAGATAGTTAAAAAAAAAAAAAATTAATTTTATCTTTTTTCAAAATATAAATAACTGTGTCATTTTCAAAAATAAATTGTGGTATTACCAAATCTGGGCCCTTTCCCTCTCTCCACCACCACTATACTTCTAATTGTGCAAGAAGGCCCTGTCAGTTAGAGTTCAATGGAGGTTGCAGGCTCAGCAGCCCATTGGGATAGAAATTTTGGTTTGATAAGCCATTGTATGCATGGACTTCATAAGCTCATAAAGAAACGGATGTTAGGGATCTCCCAGAAGAAAGACCAACAAATGAGGACATGTGCTAGTGTCCATGATGCCCATGAACAGCATAATAATCATATGTCCAAGCAAGATGGCTAGGGACATGATTGCTCTAGCTTCTTCTTCGTTTTTTTTTTGGAATTTCAATTGCATTAACGGAAAATTAAAAAAAAAAGAAATGATACAAAAACCATACAAGAAACCTTATTCTCTAGATAGCCGATACCCAAGCAATTCTCCAAACACGTCTAATTGGTATTGATTGTATCCTATCACTAAGACACATCATACATAATTTATTCCTAAGTAGATTAATAGCTAGCATTGCAAGAACCTCTGATATTTAATAATCCTGGCCAAATTTCCTATTGTTATGCTTATGCTAAATCAAATGTACAATAGGTGCAAGCAAAGAAAGACATGTCATACTAATTAGATAAATTCATCTCCATCTACTTGATACTCGTTCCACACCCAACTGCCAATTCAAATTAGGCCAATTGCTCTAGCTTGAAATGTGGGTATTACTAGCAATGGAGATGCCTTCCTCTCGATTGCTCTAGCTTCAAATGTGTAATTTGGAGGTATTACTAGTTAGAAAGAAAGCATGTAAAATATGAGATATGTCCTTCGATACTTTCTTATTCACTTACATATTCTAGGTTTTTAATTATTTTTAAACAAAATGATATAGTTATTGACAGCAAGGTTTTTTTTTTTTTCTAAAAAAAAAAGAAAGAATATTAATGTGTATGCGTCGTACGTTGTAGTACATGACTCTTTAGTGAAATGCAAATGGCTTGCCAAAATCTTCCTGTAAATTTGGGCATATACAACCTCGTTGGGGGTTCACTTCAATTAAGATTCCGTTCATAAATCAAGGCTCCATGTGACGGAGTATCTCTCTCTCTTTTCCAGTACTAGTATGTATTGTTAATCCACCTTTGGATCCCTTTTAATGTGATCATGAGCTCTATTGTTGGGATGAACATGGGAAATTGGACACAATCTGAACACTTCAATAAATATACGCTTGAATTGAACTCAAATTATGACTCGATTTTTTATTTTTTATTTTTTTTTTGAGAAAAAGAAAAAAAAAAGAAAAGATTAATTATTGATGACGGAGAGTACCGTACGGCTGTACGCACACATGAACAATCAAAATGTCAAATGGATTGTTTTTAGTTGGGACAATTAGTAAAATATACTACCAGGTAATGAATTTATGATCTTGTCGGGAAAGATTAATAAAATTTCTCTTTACCTTGTCTAAATTAAAAGCATCTAGTATATGCTAATCTAATGCATCCGCCGTATGGATGATTTGGTTCATCCATTTTCATCTTCATTTGATTTCTTGGTCCCAGCCGACTTTTAATGTTTTTGTCACTGTACTTGTGAACAAACCCACATTCTTCTCGGCTTGTCGTTGAAACTAAGGTGATCGATCTTAGAAGGTTGAATTAAAATTGATTTTGTAATTATATATCTTGTGAGAAATTTATTTTCACAAAACATTTATCAGAAAAGATGTTTGATCTTAGTTCTTAGAGTTCCAACCTAACAAAACTCGTAGCCTAACCTGCATCAAAACAAGTAGGAGTAGTTGGAAATTAATAGCCATCAACATATGTAGTATTGGGGCTGCATTTTGTTGCGTCCCTGAAACCCTACTAACAAAATTACAAGCAATAGACTTGTAAAAGGCACTGGAATTTTTGAAAACTTTTTCAAGATCGATCTTGAAAGCAATAGTATATTTCTTGTCTAACCTATTTCAAATTCTAATTTTTTTTTTTTTGTAATATATTAGTTTTAAAAAAATAAATGATTAGACTAGAATGAAAGCTTAACTTGCTGCCGGCATAGGGTACACATTCTTAGATTTACAGCGGATTTATAATTTTGTCATGGTTGGAAAGACAGAATATTAGATCATAGAATATATGCACTAATAATCTTTGATTTGGTCCTATATGAGCTGAGCAACAAAAAGGGTACGTACATTTATAAGTACTGCTTTTGATTTTTGTCAACATACGGCCACCTTTTGTTAATTATTAGATTTGTAGGAGTATGTCCCGCCTGAATTCATTGTAACATGATATTTTTGTTCATTTTTTGCCGACTTCTGACCACTCAATTTTAAAATTGGAATTCAAGGGGTAATTTAATTCTTCTAGTGCCTCGACCGTCTTTTCCTTTCTTTTCTTTTTGTGTGTGTATTTTTACTGCGTCTCTTGCAAAATCGGTAAAGTATTTCACCAAAAAACCCTTGATTGCCTTTAAGGGCCAACAGGAAATAATAGCCCATATATTTTGGAAAAATACCAAAATCGAAAAAGAAAAGAAAAGCATATATAGAGGAGAGTCAGCTTATTGTATTCCTGGCCGTCATAATGTTGACTTGAGATCAGAAAGTTTTGATGCCAGATTTTCTACCGTGCTCAATGCAAAGTCTTGTAAATTATGTAATTTTGTGTAGCCAATCTCGCTTTCAGAAGACAGGTTATACCAAAAAAATTAGCTAATGAGAAAATTAAATCTTAACTGTGTTTATAAATATTGGTACTGTAATTGCACTGTGCATGTTTCTAAATATGCAATTTAGTTGTGAATCACACGACTATGTACAACTGTGTTTTGTTAGGACATCATCGAAATAAGTAGGTGCATTCCTCCATCAGCTGGCCTCTTTTCGACAAAGAAAGAAATTAGATAATTTTATTGAAGGTGTATAAATGATTTAATTGTTTTTCTTTGGTTGTATGGAGATGAAACAAAATTAAAGTAGTCACTGTCGGGCACTCTTCAAAGTTGCACTGTAAAATTGACACTATCCATATTCCATATAGACATGCTTTAAATCGAAATTATTAAAACCGTTCTTCCAAATGACATATAGAAAAAGAAATATTGTTTATAGTTTGGTGTCGAAGCCTAGAATTGTAACTCCGGTTGAACATGGAACTCTGATTAGGGTTTCTTGCAAAAGAGGGTCCTGGGGGTCTCCCGAGAGTAGACGCTCCGATTCTTAAGTTAGAAAATAAGGTTATGGAGTATTACGTATATGATTATTGGAGTTAGAGATAGCGTACCTCAAGAACGGAGTAATCATCCCTATTTATAGGCCTATAAGATGTCCAACTCTCACTAAGTTTAGTATTTTGCACTGCTTTTACAGAGTCAGTTAGACTCTGACCTGGTGAATGGGCCGGATGGTGGATATAGACTCAGCCATTTGGTGTGAGGCATGGTGCTAGTTTGTGTCACAATAAATTTCTTCGTTCGTTTAAGGTAAGACGTTACAGTAAATTATATTTCATTTCAATTAATTTATCCAAAAATAAAACTGCCAAAGTGGTTGTTTAAATGAGCTTACTACCAAACGAGTCAAATCGCTCAACTCAAACAAAGAACATTTTTTATTGCTCTACGTACTGTGAATTGACACAAATCTTACCAACAAAACTGCACCTAATATATTAAACGTAAACATTTTCGAAACATAAGTATATTTCTGTGTATATAACTATATATTTCTGTTACTATGTATATATTTCAAGGCCCTTCTTGCAACTCCCGGAGCTAGTCTATACAAATAAATTTTCTTTTTTTTTTTGGGGTTCTTGGAAGGGGATAAAAAAGAAATACAAGATATTATGTTAGGCAGCGGCATGACAACTAGCTAGAGGGGCCATCAATTTGGATCTCCATTTTATTGTCACAATCCAAGAAAAGCCCCACTTACATATAAGGTATTTTTTCCTCAAAATCTCACTTCACAAAAAATTAAAAATAAATAGGAAAAAAAAAGGGAGAAAATTGGATCCAAACTTCCAATATAATTACTTGAAGATTGGTCGGAGTGTAGCAACATTGACGGAAGTATTCTGTCTCCTCCTTGGAGAATGAACAATCAAACGCTTGAGAGCTTTGAATTGAGAAATGATTTGCTTCTGCAAACCAACTTGATCACGAGCATTAATATTGTTGTTTGAAGGAGAAGAAGGAGAAGAAATGATGATAGACAAAATGCTCTTCCTTAGCCTCCTCAGCCTCTTCCCAATCCTAATCTTCAACTTTGTAGCTCTAACTTTCAACCAAGATGGCCTCTTTCTTGGAAAATCAGCTTGTTGCATTTTCTTGTATATCAAGAATTGTGCCCTTCTGTGCATTACTTCCTCAGGGTCTTCCTTATCCATCTTTGAGTAACCAAGTTTTGTTGTGCTCAAAAAACTCATTTTTGATAGGTTGTAGAACAAGAAGCAACAGGTTTGTTATAATTGGCCTAAAAGAAAAACACAAGATGGTAGATAGCAACAAGGTAAAAAAAAAAAAGGAGAATCTTTGAGAATTTGAATATGTGTGTGTGTGTGTGTGTGTGTGTGTTTGGATTGTACTTGTGTTTGATGGAGCATATTTATAGGGCTAGAAGAAAGAAAGGAGGTTGAATCTTGAAATACTAATAATCAGTAATCACGTATTAATTCATATTAAAGTGGGGTCTTTCAGAAAGGTCATGTGGTGACGAAACAGTTCATGTGCAGCTTCCATTTTGTTTGTTTGGGAAAATAATTGAATTTAATAAACCATACTCAGCTGGCCAGAAACGCACCGTGATGATCATCAATTTATCGGTGTAATAGCCTAGGCGTATAGTTTTCGATTTTCCAATTATTTTTTCTATCTCTCTCTTTTTCTTGTTTCTTTTCTTTTTTTTTTTTTTGTCCTCTAAGCAAGAATTTCAAACTATGGAATTGTTTATCTTATTTTTTATGTTGTATGGTTGACCTTTATATAATTATTTAGGTAGTGGATGGCACGGCCAATGTGGTCATCATTCATCAATTATTGTAATTATTATTTGTGCACTGGTATTTCTCATGTTGTCCATTGTTAGAAAATATTCCATGTTCTTCTACTAGATGATGTAGTGTAACAACTAACAAAGGCTTGTTCATATATCATCAAGAAACTAATAACTTGTCTTTGTAAACTTTTAAAGAAATATTATTGTTTCGACCAGCCGTTAAAAACTTCTTACTCTCTGAATACATCTATCTGACTCGAATTTAAATTAGTTAATGCAAAAATTTTGTATACAATTATACGTAATATGCTTAAAAAAAAACAATGCATTTTGATGTTCCGGCAAGACAACTCTCTGATTAAAGTAAATATATTGACGTATGTAAGAGTAGGATGATTCATGCGGCGGTTAACTAACCATAAAAATTCGTTTTGATCTCAATTTTCAAGTGATAACATATAATCCCTCCGTCCCAAAATTATTGTCCAGTTTGAGATTTCACTTTTAATATAATTTAAACTGAAAGTCCAAACTAGACAATAGTTATGGGACAAAGGGAGTGTGTTATTAATCCTCACCTTCTCCTATTACTTTATAACCTCATTTAAACTTTTCCAGTGACGTTAGATTTCAAATTATTTACTTAAAAAATGTAGTTATTGAAGCAATCAGTGCATTTAAGGGTTTTATTGTGGTCAGGAACGGTTAGAGTATGCATTGAGCATATACTTCGATACATGAAAAGTAGTACACGACGAGAACATTGAAAAATCCATTTTCAAGTAAGTTGTGCAACAAATTAACTTGCCTTCTTTTTCTTGGGATGGAGGGCATTATTTTTTCATTCTCCTATAAAAAGAAAAAATAGGAGGGAAATCTCTCTGTATATTTTTACATTTTTAGACAATTTTTGACATTTCTGGAAAATGTTTTTTATTCTTCTTGATTTAAAAGTTTTTTTTTAAAAAAAAAAAAAAGAAGAAAGAAAAACGACTGCAGTTTACCAAAAAAAAAAAAGAAAAAGAAATAAAACTCGCATAGTTTACCAAAATCCAGATTATATTTTATTTTTATTTTTTACATTTGGAAGATAAAACTACCCTCAGAAAATAACATCTACAATGATTCAAGAGGCCATGAGTAGAAGAAACTAATATGAACAGAGAAATAAATGACCTTACAAATAATTGAAGTGTAAAATATTGATATTTGAAATCATGAAGAGCCTTTGCCGTCAAATTTTGCACTAGGAAGACGTCATGCATCTACATCGATGCAAATTGTCTCAAATATGCTACTCCATACAGTTAGTTAAAAAAAAAAATTTTAATAAAAAATTATAATTTTATTCATATTATAATAAAAATCACATCATTCCACCCTTCCTATTTGCAATTTCTAGCTCCGCAGGTACAATTTCCTACATTTTACTATCTCATATTCTCTCCGTTCTAAAATTATTGTCCAGTTTGAATTTTTATTTTTTAGTACAAATTAAACTAAAAGTGAAACTTCAAACTGGACAATAATTTTGAGACGGAAGGAGTAATTGTTGCCCTTTCTGTTAAATTTATTCTACCGGGGTTAATGATATTTTAAAAGAAAATTTTGAAGAAAAGATCCATAATCAAGGATGGATATATATATATATATGAAATCACAATGGTTAAAAGGAGAAAAAAAAAAAAACGCAGACACACAATCGACCATAATTTTTGGAAACGAACAATTGCCTAAAACCACAATTAATTTCATCAGAGAAAACAACAAAGCATGGGCTTCTGATTTTGATAAAATGAAACACCAAACTCACAAAACACAATAACAATGTCAATCTCCAGTAAACCCTCCAGCAGTACCGACTCCCAAGGAGATGGACTTTTTTTTCCCAATTCTAAAATCACAAGTAATTAAATACGAGAAAAAAAAATGTTGACATTTATAGACTCTATGCATTTTGAAACAAATTGGAGAATCATATCCTAATCCTATTTACCTGTTTAGGACCAAACATAGACGGCCGAGTACGAACAAATATTTACAAAGGAATTGGTTAGAATCGTGAAGAGCTGCTGAACAACTTCATATTAAAATGAGACATGATTTAAGAAAAAGGGGCCAAATAATATTCATGGTATTATTGTTGGATTTTTTTTATTGCTACTGGATGATTACATTACAATTTACAAACTTACAGCCCCTTAGGATAGTTGAAGCTCTTTCATAGCTCTGTGACCCTGTCTCTATAGAAAATTATTTATTTATTGATTGATCAATAATTTTGAAAACTGTCTCCAGAACTGAAAAGAAAAAAAAAATGATGGTTGGATTGGAAGTCAGGTGAGTGCAGGCTTCTCCTTAAAGACACAACATTTAATCAAAGATCGTGGGAGGCACCTGCAGGATTCATCCAGCCGGGATCCCCAATTCAGTTTCACTAGGCATTTGATCGTTTTTTACCATGTATTTTCCTAAACAAAACAAAGAAAAAATCACAATTTTTATGTGTTCACCATTTCAATACACTATTATCTCCGGATGTTGCATCACGCAAACATTGCCAAAAATTTGCACTACATTGGCAGATATAAGCAGTGATAGGGGACAGTGATCTCGTTACAAAGATGCTAACTGAAACACTAATTCTTTATGCAGATTTCTAAATTTTATTATCCTTTTTTTCTTTTTTGATAGTCAGTATTTCTTGCAGCTACTTGAATAGGCGTTGATATGTTGGTAGTTAGTGAATTTTTTTAAAAAGTTGCTAATTAGGTATATGTCTTGGTCCCAATATCATTGTTGAAACTTTTATTCATATGATTATTGAATTTTTAAAGCCCTATTAGCAGCTAAATCACTATTAAACTTCAGCATCCTACCAAAAATCTAGGTGAAGATTACGAGATGTATACATGTTTTACTGATTTATTATGTATGTATGTGTGTATATATATAGACAATATATATATATATATATATATATATATATATATATGTTCAAGTCATATTTACCCCAGTTAGATTTTTTTTTTTTTTCCCCAACCCTAATCTACCCACTAGACCCTACCCCCAACCCAAAATCTCACGCAGCCCGCAAATATCTAAGCATAATTTAATCAACTCGGTTGCAGTCGTAAAAGCATTTTGGTAGCTCACTACTCCAAACCAATCCGCATAAAACCGGCATTGAGCAGTATATTGCTAGTTGCTTCAAGAAAAACCCAAGTTGGAAAGAAAACTTTTTTGTGTTTTCTGTCCCCTTCCAGATATGACTGGTGAAGCTTGTCACCCCTTAAAGCAGAATAAAGTTCAGTTACTACCACGATTTGTCCCCAGCTGGCCACGTCTCTAGTAAAGAGCACACCAGATGAAACTAGGGTCTTTTCTCAAATAGATTTTGGGTCTTCCTTTGTTTGCCGATACAAATTAGAAGTTAAAATGGTAGAGATGCTCAACAATGTAAATGCTAGAATTCCAAACCAACATTCCCTTATGGAAACTAATTTATAAATAATACACAACAAACAAGACAAAACAAGAAAAGTACAGTAAAGCGCCCTTAGATAACTTCGAATTCAACAATTTGATGATACACTACATTGCCATAAGACAGACATACTTTAAAAAAAAAAAAAATTAAAAAAAGCCACATTTATCAGCTGCAAGCCTCTCGTTGCAAAGAGATGCCCAAATTCCTTGAAAGTGGCTATCTCTAAATAGCAGATCACTGCAAAACAAGTGACATGGAACATTACACACCAACTACAAGCAAACAAAACCCTCCAAAGAGATGACATCAATACATGCGGAGATTTCCAATTCTGTTGCCTTTCCTATTTCTGGGGTTGGGGTGTTGGGAGGGTGACAGTTTATGAAACATCCTAATAGCAAGACTGAGTCATAGCCCAAAAGAAAACGGAACCTTCAACGAAATCGACACAAACATGAGGCCAACACAGAATTAGCATTGATTTGTGCCAATGGGAAAATTGTTTGACAGCTTGAAACAAAAATGTCTTTACATTTGGCCAAAAAAACATGAAGCATTTGTAAATCATTACTGATTTCAGAGATCAGAAAAACATACCTGAGGTTGTTGCTGCTGTGTAGCTTGGGGTGTTGGATAGTTACCATAACCAGGGTATCCAGCATAATACATGTTAGGATCCTGGGCCGGTGGAGCATATCCATAGGCCTCATATCCAGAAGGATACCCATAGTAGCCACCACCAGCACCACCATTCCATTGGTTTGCATCTGCTTGGGGCTGAGCAATTATAAAAAACAACTTATCAGTGAAACTTACTCCAGTAGCACATAAAAGCGATGCAAACATCTGGCAGAAGCCGGCTTACAAAATAATTGAATCATATGATAACCTGTTTGTTTGAAGGACTACGGCCCCAAGAAAGCCGAATGTTTTGCCCAGCCAAAGGGTTCCCATTCAACACACGCAGAGCTTCTTCAGCACAGCTCCTATTGCAATGCAGGGAAAATAAGACTAAATTTACCAAACCTTGTGAATATATAAAACTCCCAGAATAGTCCACCATATAGCATGATCATTTACCTCTCAGCAAATTGAACAAAGCCACATCTCTTGCCCACAGGTATCTTAACATGAAGCAGCTGCCCATATTGCCCAAACAATAGCCTCAGGTGCTCATCAGTAACGCTAGGGTCCAAATTCCCAACAAATAGCTGCAATAAAATAATTACATGTGATGACATACTTCTCAGAAAAATAATGTATAGCATGACATTTCAAGCAGTGTACTGACAGTTGTATTAGATGGATCATCCTCACTTTGAACTCCTTGACTACCCTGATATGAAGCTGCAAATAAAAGCAAAGGGGGAGATAGGGGAAGGTAACAATTACTTCCATGTCATTGGCAAAAAGATAAAATCAAAAGAAAAAGTTTCATAACATCTAACAACAAGAAAGGCATTCACGATTCAACCACACAAAGTAGAAAACAAAGAGGAAGAAGGAAGAACGCAACCACGATCATATAAACACATTCTACACTCCTCGGACGGCAGTAGCGGAAAGGGGAAATGAGAGTCTGTGAGAGTCGCTAATGATAATACCCTCATTAACAATATTCACCGAAACAGATGCATAATGAAAGTCAAACTGCAAGCACTTCTATTTTCTCAACCATTTTCTTTCAGTAAAATGACAATCTTATATCACAAGATTCTCAACATACATGAAACCCAGATTATAAGAGTCATTCTGATTACATGTTGCATTTTTAGTAATCTAGGTAAATCATTCTAGGAACCTAATTAAACTTGACTGTGGGGGGCTTTAATAGAAATTATTCCCTGCTGCAAGCATAATGACATCATAAAACCACATATTCTCCATAATATCTGAAAGTTCAAGGGCAGCTAAACCTTCTTTGAACATTTATACATACAAACAGAAAATAATATGACATCCCACAGATTTCCAATAATATCAGTTTACAAACAGGACGCTAGACTGTTTAGCAACTTAAAATTTCTTCACACTTTCAGAACCGTAACTGAAGAAAGGATCGAAAAATCAATCACAAACACAGTTTGCGCTGAAAAGAGAGGACCAAAATTAACACAGATGGATGAAAAGGTCAAAAGAAAAGTAAATCATACAGTCCCCGACTAAGCCATCTACCGTAAACATGAAATCTGGGCGTGCCATCAACATGGCTACACCCAACAGCATGCTATAAACATTCAACACGACAATTCTATGGAACAATAAGGAATATAACCTATAATTTTAGCACATCCAGTAATGTGTCCTTTTTCAAACTAACTAATGACCTAACAGACCTGGTTTGAAGAAAGAAAGGTTTAAAGCACAAAAGAACACAAAACTGAAGGGCAGTATGGAATTGACAAAAGGGAGATAAACGAATGACTTTCATAAATAAGAAGATGAAAGTACAAAAAAATGAATTGGCTGAAACTTAAAAGAAAGAAAAGCACTAATTAAATATGAAAGGCTGAAATGTAAAGGAAAAATAAATTGGTTGGAAGCTAAGTAAACTGAACTTGAGGAAGAACACCGAAATAACTTCGCCAGGAACCGAAGTAAAGAAAAGTAATGGCATCAAATTAAAACTGACCTACATAAGACCAGGCACTAAAAGGGTTATCATTCAGCTGAAATCAACTCCAGGCCCCTATATGATAGAGCCTCCTGACACCCTGCTTTGAGACAACCGGAGTTTTATAAGATTGTGCAACTCCCAAAGTCCCAAAATCTTACATCCGAAAATTTTAAATTACGTGAAGGAAATGACGGTGTAAACTGGTCATCATCTTCACAGTTTAAGCGCACAAATGGAAAAGAGGGAACTTGGCAACCTATTTAAACAAGCCCCAACCAAAGAGAGAAACTTCTTCCTAGTGCACAAAGTACAGCTTTGCAAGCAAAGAAGTTCAAAGAGCAAAGTACATAATAGAATCATATCCTCTAAACACGAAACTTATACATGCATCCTCGAGGAAATAAATAAACATCATAATACAAATTTGAATGCTACCATAACATGCACAGCAAAAGTTTAAGCATACCTTTGGTCTGCCCTCCCATTGTCTTCTTGTTAGCTGCCGGACCAATGCGCATAGCCCTTGTGGAACAAAACTTTCCATTCATTTCAGTCATTGCACGTAATTGTTCACTTTCATCGGCAAACCGCACAAATCCATAACCCTTAGAACGTCCAGTTAGCCTATCTGTTACAACTTTGGCACCCTTGACAGAACTATAGTAGGGTCTAAATGTTTCTTGGAGCATTTGATCAGTAACATCAGGAGCCAAGTCTCCAACAAAGATAGTGTAGTCCAGAGCATCATCTGAGCGCTTCTCGCCAGAACCCATCGAAGCCCAATTCAATCTGAATTGTTGCTCAATGCCAGGCATCATTTTGCCATTGAATGCCTGTAGGCATCGCTCTGCAGCAGCATGACTGACAAATTCTACAAATCCATAACCCTCTGACTGGCCTGTTTGCTTGTTGCGAATAACTTTAGCAGTTACAGCCTGAAAACAAAAAGGTTTATGCATAAAGGCAACAGTATTGGTGTACGCATATTATTAAGAAGAGGACAATATAAACACTTGCTATTAATCCAGTCATATAGTTCAAGAAATCTATCTTATTAGACAATTTGCTATTTCCTTTGGAGCTACTAGTTGGAAACTAAAAAAAAACAAGGGAAAAAAATTCAGCCTTAAACATTCACCTTGTCCCAAATACAGAATCAAATAATTCAGAGTTCCCCCAAGTCTATTTAGTCAAAAAATAATACCAAGAGACAGAACTCAAAAGTCCACAAAACAATACTAGCTAAATCCATTTACATATATATATATAAAAAAAAAAAAACGATTTTTCTCACATGTGCATAAAATTTATACTTTGTGGACGATAATCCTACAGCCACAGCCCAAGAATAATCATGCAGTGGACAAAGGCAGAAAATTAATAAGTTAAGAACTTAAAACACGACCGAGCAAGCAACAAAATTAACCCGGATAAGACGCGAAGCTTAATACCTCTCCAGTTTGAGAAAAACAGCCCAAGATGTATTGCTCATCCATCCAATACTGGAGATCTCCTATCCACAAACTCCGGACACCATCTGCAGCGTTCGGGTCAGCAGCGGCGTAATGTTGGGCCTGCGGCGCAGCCTGCTGTTGCTGGACGTAATAATAACCGGCAGAAGGTGGGGCCTGTTGTTGCTGCGGCGGAGGGATCTGGTACTGAGGTGTTGCAGCCTGCTGAGGGTTCATCCACTGCTGCGACTGCGGCTGTTGCTGCTGATATTGCGGCGGCTGTTGAGTGGCCATTGGCGGTGGGACCATGGATGTCGCCGGCTGCATCATCGGTGGATTGACAAACCCTAGCGTTTGAGAGGATTTGGGGATTTGGGGGTTTCGTTCGGACGTTCGGTGTTATTTGGGGGGGAGGAAAAGCGTGGGCGACTAAAAGAAAAACTCGTGGGGTAGAAGTGGAATTATACTAAAATCATGTTGTATGTACCGAATCAGAAATCACTGTTACTTTGGACCCAGCTGCAATTTGTATTTTTCGGTAAACCATACTTTATCAAAATAAATGCTTAAATAAAGGGTCGTGCTGTTGAGCGCCCTAATTTTTTCATTTGAACGCCCGAAAAAGACGTATACGCCTTTACAAAATAGAGTTAGTTTGCAAAAAAAAAAATGTATGGCGAGGGAAGAATGAGCCACCCCTTTAAGGGGTGGCGAGAAAACCTTCGCCGCATGGCGAAAGTGTGGCGCCCTTCTGGGCGCCACTTTTGTGCTGGTTGGCGACCAAAGGGTGGGTGGCGCCAACCAAAGGGTGGGTGGCGCACAGTGGCGCCATTTTGTGCGCCACCCACCTTAATTATTTTTTTTTTATTTTTTAATTTTTATTTTATTTATTTAATTATCTTTAATTTAATTATTTTTAATGTATTTAATTAATTTCTTTTATTTAATTCATGTATTTATTTAATTTATTTAATTCATGTATGTTATTAATTTATTTATTTATTAAAGTTTATTTATTTGTTTGTTGGTTAAACAAATAATTTTAACTTAAATATTTAGAGAATGTTGCTTAATTATGTAGTAAATTTTTATAAAAATTTATCATTTTGTTATGTAAAATTTTTCAAATGCAAACAAAAAATTATCATTTAATAAAAACTAAAACTTATGAATTTACTACCAAATAAATTAATTATTCATCATCGGTACATCTAACCGTCCTGGAAAATATTTCTTTTGGAAAAAAATATAAAATTTAAAATACGTTGAAACGAAAAATTAAAAAGCTTGGAAAAAATATAAAATAATTTTATTTATTTATTTAATTTTTAAATATTTTTTAACTGCCAAATAGATAAATAAAAAATAAACTTAAATAAATAAATAAATAAAATAATTAATTGATTAAATAAATTAAAAAATTAAAAAAAAAAAGTAATTTCGGTTTGGCGAGCAAAACGCTCGCCAAACCGAAGGGGGTGGCGCCACATTTTTGCGCCACCCCCATTTTGGGGGTAATATCCCCTCTCGCCTCCCTTAATTGGGAGGCGAGAAATTTGTGCGCCACCCTTTAAAGGGTGGCGCACTTCTCCTGCGCCAGCCTTTGCTCCATCGCCAACGTCTTTTTTTTAAAAAAAAAAGTATGAATGCAAGGGTAAAATAGTCTTTTTGAGATTTTTTAGGGTGTTCAAATGAAAAAATTAGGGCGTTTAGTAGCCTCCCAGTAAATGAACCTTCTTCTATAACAAAAAAAAAAAAAAAAAAAAATAGTTCATCACTCTGCGTAACTTTTATGAAAATGAAAAATGTAATGCTACTGATGAAAAAAATGTCATTGTTATTAGTTTGATCAGCAAATTAAAATCATCATCATCTTATAAAAAAAAACGATAATATATAGATCACATTATCTTCTTTGGATCAAAATAATATAATCTCTATCATAACAAAATAACTCACGTTGAATTTTTAAATTTGTGTAAAAATTATATAATACTGTAATCCTTTTTTGCTCAATATTGAAAGTGACTTTCTCCGGTATTGTAAAGCTCGGCTCGGACTGGTCGGTCAAACCGGTTTAACCGAGAATCGGATCACAGGCCGAGCCGAGCAAAAGATAATTTCGACATTTAAAGACTCGGTCAAAACCGGTCAAAACTCCGAGCGAAATCGGGAATCGGTCTGACCCGGGTCGACCCGGAGTTTTTAATATCTTGACTTTTTTACCAAAATTTACACTTCTCCCTCCTTAAATGTTCACTATTTCCAAAGTCAGCTTTTATTTTTTTAAAAAAATGACCCATAACTTATAATGTTTGTTTTGTTTAAAGTATTAATATATTATTTTAGTCCCTAATTTTTACTTTCAAATACTAAATACACCATTTTAAATTTTTTTATTATTTTATTATACAAACTAACTCCCATCATTTAAATAAAATTTAAATTATAACTCAGATATGTTGAAATTGATTTTACATTAGATTTTTCATAATTTTAAAGCCAATTATCTTGCAAATTAGATAATTTTTTTAAATAATAATTTATTTATTATAATTTATTTTATTAATATACTTATTTAATTCACAAAATTGTAATTAACTACAATAAAATATCGATATGAACTATTCTAATTGGAAAGGGATATAAAATATATGTTTTAATTAATTTTAAATTTATTAAATAACTAAATATTATTATTTATTAATAATGACGTCATCCGAATCGACCCCTCGAGTCGCCTGACCCCTGACTCTTCCGAGTCGACCTCCGATCCAAGTCTGACAATACTGACTTTCTCATGTGACCCAACCTCCAATGCCATAACTTTGTTATATCACCATGCTTCTCATTAAGTAATTAATTATTATCGTACTTTACTATTTTTTTTTGTGTACTTTGGTAATTTTTTGGCGTATTTTGCTAAATTATTGGTATAGTTTGCTATCTTTTTTTTTTTGTTCGTAGTTTGCTATATTTTTGCATACTTTTTTAAATTTATAAAATTTCTCCCATCTAATTTGTAGAATACCATCATTCCATGTCATATTATTACACAGCATGTAATATTTTTTATTCATATAGTATTTATTAATTTACTTTTACTCACACCATGTTTTTCTGTAAACGTATATGAGTAAACCTCGCACATCTTGCGGTTTTAACACCTAGTATTATTTTATTGAAAAAAAATATATGTACAATAGCTCTTATTTCTACCCAAATAACTTTTAAACCACATTTAAATTTATTCAATCTCCAAAGCAACCGAAGAGCACAAGGGCTCTATGGATTGTTCATCTGAACAATAATCGCTACTAGTATTTACAGGTGAGTCTGCAGGGTGGAATGAAGGCTTAGGAGGCAACGTCAATCCCGCAATATCACCTTCAAGCATTACCAAAACTTCTCTCATTGAAGGTCTGTCACTAGGCGTCATTTGTATGCACCACAATGCAATCAAGATCAACTTCTTTGAAATCTCTTTCTCTTCATCAGTCATATGGTCTCCGATTTCAATGTCCAACCCTTGATCTAACTTATCGTATGCCCATGTAGGGAAGTACATTTGACTTGAATGCTCCACTTTATCACTAAAGTTTTTCCTTCTTCCCGCAATCTCCAGGAGTAACATTCCAAAGCTGTAAACATCTGATTTGTATGATACTTTTCCGATCTTTTTGTAGAACAATTCGGGAGCCATGTACCCCAACGTACCTCTTGCTGCAGTAAGAGTTGAAATGCTGCAATCTTGTTTTGAGTACAACCTAGCAAGTCCAAAATCAGAAACTTTTGGTACAAAATTTTCATCAAGTAAGATGTTGTGGGGTTTGATATCAAAATGTAAAATCTGCATGTTACATCCTTGATGTAAATATTCAATTCCTCGAGCAACCCCAACCGCAATCTCGAATGCTTGTTTCCAACTAAGTGATGTACTAGTGCCTGTTCCACTGGTGGTGGTTGAGAAAATGAACTTTTCAAGAGAACCATTCGGCATATAGTCGTAGACCAACGTATGTTTAGAAGAAGTTATACAATATCCAACTAATCGTACCACGTTAACATGGTGGATTCTTCCAATAGCCGCCACTTCATTGATGAATTCTTGTCCGTTGGCTTTTGATTTGTTCAGCATCTTCACAGCGACTAGACTTCCACTTCGTAATTTCCCTCTATAAACTAGGCCATATCCACCTTCGCCTAATTTTTCCTTGAAATTGTTAGTCATTGACTTTATTTCTTTGCACGAGTACTTTATTGGCATGAAGCTATTGTTTATTTCCAAGAAATCTTCTATTTGATCGTACATTGATAAGTGTCTGCGTTTCCATTTGTAAAAGAGAAAAGCCATCAAGAGTATGATGCCAATAACATTTCTTGCTATCATCATTAGAACTGCAACGGGAAAAAATGGTAAACAATAAAGATACGAATGTATATGGTCGAGTGTTTTATTTATGGTTTCTGGCTAATCAAATGTGATGGATATAATTAAATTGAGTTGTAATTGTTAGAAAACGAATTACCTACAATCTTCACCTCTGTGCCCCAAGGACCTAGAATAAACAAAATTTATACGATATAAATATATTGTCATGAATAATATGAATTAAAAGATACAAGTAAATAAATACATTACCTTATAAGTTGAGGCCAAAGAAAAAAGAAAACAGAAAAAGAAAAAAGATTGTTTCTGTTTGGTGGGCACGAGGAATATGAGTAATGTCATCAAAGTCTAACTAGCTAGCTAGTTGTTGACTTTACCAACTTCGTTGCGACAGCTAACCAGCATTAAGTTTTGATTAGTAGTATTTTATATCTCATACATATACTAATATATGAACTTATTAATCACTAAATGATACTTTGATGGTTTGACTTTTGACTTTTGGCATAATGAAATATAATCTCTCCCACTGCCTATTCATTAATTGTAATATGCTGAACACGAAATTGTGTTGTAATAACTCTCAAGTATATATGTAACCTATTGAAATATTGTAATTTATATTTAGAGAGCATGTAACTTAGCTACGATGAGCCCCGAAAGTCAAGAGGGGAATAATTAAAGTATAAAGCGAAAGATCAAGGAAATAGTCTCCCGAAAACTATTCCTATTTACGAATTATTTTTTTGTTTTGGTATATTTGTAAGGTGTCCCATAAACCATTGATAACAATGACTAACATTTTCATTGAGTTGTAAGTAACTTGATGGATGGAACAACTAAGGTCGAGGAGACCTTTCTATTTCATGATAACCCCTTTGTTCTAAAAAATTATACGGTATATTCTTCTTGCTACTACACACTAATGCGTGTTAGGCTTTTAGCCAGAATTAGCATAACACTTAAGAATATTAGTAGTAAAAAGAAGTGTTTGAAAAATATAGAATAAATACTGTATTAATCTTCTTCTTAATAAAGATACAAGAAATCCCTAAACACTATAACCTTAATTTCGAGTTTACCACTTTGACATCTACATTAATTATCAAATTATTATATCTCTGATTTTGAAAGACTGGGATAACTACGAAATATGACACCAAATTAAGGGACGACCCCGTGATGGAATCGTGTACTAGGGTCAAATTACCGTACTTAAATATGTAAACTAAAAAAATAAGAATGATTAAGCTGATTGACTTACGGACATGTTGGTAAGCAATACCGCCGAAAGTGAGGTTCACGCGGGCGAATAAGTCGACCATTGTTCTCTCCAGTTGGCCTGCATTGTTAATTAAACAAACAAATCGACCATTTCTTAATGAATAATATAAAACCTTTGACAGCAACGAACAAGAAGAAAATGTGTTCACCAGAAAAAAAAAAAAAAAAAAAGAAAGAAAGAAAGAAAGAAAAAATCTAAACCGAGTATTATTATTCAATTCAAAGACTCGAGTTGAACAAATATTTTTCTAATTAAGGAAAAGAAATGGTAACTTACATCGAAAAGTTTTGATGGGGCGAAACTCCCCCCAAACTTGTCTGGACCAGGACACCAGAAATCCAGAACACATGAGATCGTGGACATACTGGAATGTGATGTTTTTGCCACCGAGTGCAGATTCATCGTACAACAGGTGACCTGTGGAAATGATAGTGCATGATGGTTCAATCCCACCGAGGTTGCCTTGTCTGTCAATGAAAACATATTCATGAGAAGAGATATTTGATGTTGCGACGGCATTGCAAGTTCCACGGTCCAAATAAAGCGGGAAGCTCGATCCTGATGATGCATGTTTCACAGGACCACTACAATTCAAAAAGAGCAGAATGAGGCTTTCGGAGGCCTGGATCTGGTTATGGTTAATCATCGGGAGTGTGGAACAATCGTCTTTTCGCAGGCCAGGATCCATGACGTGGAATGTCGCGTTTTCATAATTGATACTGTGTGGATCCGCGTACAGGTACTCTTGCACAACATCCGAAGAATTCAAGCGCCAGATGGTACGATTATCCTGACAAGATAGTTCCAACTGGGGGTTCCCGCAGAAGCTCGGATAATCTTGGAATCGAAATGGGTACCTCAAGTTAAAAGACGTATCCCCGCAACTTCTGCTTTGATCGCAGACGGGGTTGCTCCTATTTTGGCTAGATGAATGAAAATAGGAACAATTTTGTGCGTAATAACCACCAAAACTGAACCAAGAATACAGAAACAGAACTAAGAAAAGGGAGAGCAGGACCAAAAAGATCTGCACTGGAAGCATTTCTCAACTGGTGACTGGTGTGTGCGAGTGAGCTTGAAAACAAAATTATACGAATTTAAAAGTCCCGGCAGCTGTTTATTTCCCACTCCGAATAAAACCTCCTCATCAAACGCATATAAGAGGTATGATTGAATTGGTCTTCTCTTCTTTATTAGTACTCCTTCCGTCTTAAAATTATTATCAACTTTTACTGTTCGTTGAAATTGTACTAAACATGAAAGTCTAAACTTAACAATCATTTTAGGACAGAGAGAGCATTACTTTAAATGTACACATAGGGAGAATTGACATCACGATGCGCACAGTTGGAATTTAAGGGTGTACATCGAATTGTTTATCATCATTGATTGGATATTTCCTGTCCTGCTGAGCTAGCTAATAGATTAGACTCAATATGTTGTTTGACTTTCTTGCCTCCGAATATTTATGACTTTGACCAGTCAGTCAACGGTGCAAAATGGAAGTCTTCTTAAGTCTTAATAATCATAGGGTTAGTTATCGTGGTTTGGAAAAATTACTTGTTTGAGGCTCACAGAAACTGTAACACGAAACTTTTCACAAACCATATACTTTCTAATCTCTCATTTTACTGTCCTCTTATTGGAGTATAACCTTTCGTTTTAAAGTGAGAGTCAGGATTCTAGATTTTTAATTCAATAAATCACAAGAGAACACAACTTTTTTCTTGTTTTTGTTTTTTTGAGGTAGGGAGAATATAATATTGAGGAGATGATACTGTTGACTTCATTAATTTTGCAGCTCATTGTTTCAATTTCAGTAATCTAAGTCATGATTCAACTTTTCGCTCAACAGGGCATTCATTGCATCATACGGAGAATGATCAAAGTGGCTGTATTATTTCTCTCAATGTTGATCTTTCCAGCAATCCTTGCTGGACGTCAATCAACAGCAGATGCACTCCCAGATGGTACTTGTGCAGAGAAACGCTGCAGCCAGAGTGGGCCTCCCGTCAGGTTCCCGTTTCAGCTCCGGGGGAAGCAGCCGGCCGGAATAAACTGTAGTTATAATCCGGGCTATGATCTTTACTGTGATGAATCAAACCGTACTATACTTGAGCTTCCATCATCTATCAAATTTTTGGTTACCGAAATTGACTATGCTTCTCAAATGATGCAAGTCAAGCCTGCTGAATATTGCATTGCGAAGCAACTCAGACATCTTAATCTTTCCACCACCCCATTTCAGTTCTTTACTTCAACTGGCCCTAGTGTATTTGAAGATAAATTCTCATTATTCAACTGCTCAACAAAAATCAACCGCGAAGTTATCCCCGGGGAGATCATCCATTGTCTTGGCACCCCTGGATACACCGTGTTTTGGATACCACTAGATACAGATCTTTCGGGTTCCGATTTGAGAGGCTGTACAAAAATTTTCGATACAGTAACGGTTCCAGATGTAATATTTTTTGAGGATAGCACGATGAACCTGACATGGTCTTTGCCGGAATGCAAAAATTGCAAGAATCGGGGTGGAGTTTGCGGAAGGGAAATCAAGGAAACCAACCAGATCCGCTGCTTTCGACACTCAGGTATGAGTTTTCTTCTTTGTTTTTGAGTACTTACATATAATAATGCTTCACCGTTGTCCTGAAAAATAGCTGCTCTTTCATCATATAATCAGAATCCAATTTTAAAACATCAATCCCAAAAAGTGAGCAATTATTGATTTGATTACAATTCTGTTTTTGCAGGAAGACCCATGAAGATTTATTACATTGTCGGTAAGTTCTGCCTTTATAGACATTATTATTGATATTCTGAAACAGCTTTTTCCCATGTAGAAAGATTAATATAACTGTACCAATACATTTGAGAACAGGTTCAATGATTGGATTTCTGTTACTCCTACTGGCATCAACTGCAATTTATCTAGCCTACTCCAAGATGAAGCTAGACAAAGAAAATCAAACGCGGATAAGGAAATTCCTTGAAGATTACAGAGCAATGAGACCAACCCGATACTCTTACGCTGATATAAAGAAAATGACAAATGACTTCAAGCATCTGTTGGGTGAAGGAAGCAATGGTAAAGTATTCAAAGCAAAGGTCTCAAACGAAATAGTTATGGCTGTGAAACTGTTGCATAACTCCACGGAGAACGGGGAGGAATTCATCAATGAAGTTGGAACGATGGGAAAAATCCATCATGTAAACGTTGTTCGCTTGTTAGGCTTCTGTGCAGATGGATTCAAGAGGGCACTTGTGTATGAGTTCTTACCAAATGGTTCTCTAGACAAATTCATATTCCCACAAGGCCAAGAGCATCACACCTTGGGAATGAAGAGATTGCAAGACATAGCTATCGGGATCGCGCGAGGAATCGAGTACCTTCATCAAGGTTGTGAACAAAGAATCCTCCATTTTGATATCAAGCCTCACAATATACTATTGGACGACGATTTCAACCCGAAAATTTCTGATTTCGGATTGGCAAAGTTCTGTGAAAAAGGAAGAAGCGCGGTGTCAATGGCGGTTGCCAGAGGAACAATGGGATACATTGCTCCTGAAGTCTTTTCCAGGCACTTTGGGAATGTTTCTCACAAATCTGATATTTACAGTTTTGGAATGTTGTTGCTTGAAATGGTGGGAAGGCGAAAGAACATCGACAACAATGTTCGAAATCTTAGCCAGATATATTTTCCTGAATGGGTTTACGGACGTCTGGCTGATGGAGAAGAATTCAGGATCCAAGTTGAGGATGATGATGATGGAAATCAGAACAAAATTGCTAAGAAATTAGCTATTGCAGGACTTTGGTGCATTCAATGGGAGCCAGTGGATCGCCCTTCAATTACACGGGTGCTTCAGATGCTGGAAGGAAATGGTGAAAACCTAATTCTCCCACCAAATCCTTTTGGCAGCTCAAACAATGCAATGAATCAGGTTGATAATCCAAGCTCTACAGAGCAAACAAGAATGCTACATTTTGATTCGTAACTGGAATCAATATCTGAACTCGAGTAGATTACATCCTGAGGAATTCCGCACAAAAAAAAAGTGAAAAACTCATGTTGATTAAGACATCTTTAAATTCAATTGTATGTATGGTCGCTTCAGTCTATGATTAATTGGATATTGTGTGAGGATCCACCATATTAATGTGGTACGATTAATTGGATATTGTGTAACTACATCGAAGCACGCTTTAGTCTATGATTACATGCCTAATGGTTCTCTTGACAAGTTTATTTTCTCAACGACCGCAAATGGCACTACTTCAATAATTAGCTGGAAGCAAGCATTTGATATTGCAATGGGCGTTGCTCGGGGGATTGAATACTTACATCAAGGATGCAACATGCAGATACTACATTCTGATATCAAACCCCACAATATCTTACTTGATGAAAATTTTGTACCAAAAGTTTCTGATTTTGGACTTGCTAAGTTCTATAAAAAACAAATTGGCAGCATCGCGACACTAACAGCCGTGAGAGGAACACTAGGTTACATGGCTCCTGAGTTATTCTATAAAAAGATCGGCAAAGTGTCGTACAAGTCAGACGTATACAGTTTTGGAATGTTATTATTAGAGATGGTGGGGAGGATGAAAAATTTTAATGGTCAGATGGAGCATTCAAGTCAAATGTACTTCCCAACACGGGCATATGATAAATTGGATCAAGGGGAAGACATTGAAATCGGAGACCGGGTAACTGATGAAGAGAAAGAGATTGCAAGGAAATCGACTCTTTTTTTTGCATACTGCGCACGGTGTCCAGACTAATTTGCACCGAGCCGGGTCGGTCTCCTTTCAGAGGGAAAACTCTCCCAATATTGTTCTTTCCATTCACGAGACTCGAACCTGATACCTCGTTTAAGGGAACCAAAGCACCTTACCACTTTGACCAAGCAAGTGTTAGTGCAAGGAAATCGACTCTGATTGCATTACGGTGCATACAAATGATACCTAGTGATAGGCCTTCAATGCGAGAAAGTTTTGGGAATGCTTGAAGCAGGTGATAGTGAGGGATTGACATTGCCTCCTAAGCCATCATTTCATCCTGCTGACTCGCCTATAGACACACAGAGTTGTTATAGTTCAGATGAGGAATCCACACAGCCTCCATGCTCTTCAGTTACTTTAGAGATTGAAGAAGCAAATAATTGAGCAAGTTTCTTTTCTTCGTTTTCCCCCCTCTCTCTTTCATGATTATATGTGTATGTCACCAGCATGTTCCCTGCTCCGAATGTATATAACTCCAGGTTTGAAGTCCAGAGATTTCAGGACAAATGAAATATTCTCTCTGAAAAATTTATTTGGCTAAGTTTGTCATTTTTCTCGATGTAATTGAACTTGACAACTTGTACTTATCTCTACATTTATTAACCTTTCTTTTCTTTCCCCGGGAAATTTAAAACCGCACCCCAAACCCAAAGTCTTTGAGTAACCTAAATTTGTATAAAGCCCAAACTGAAACCCGTAATACAGTTGGGTCAAATGAACCCAATTAAGTTGGGACTGAAACTTCGATTTGCTGTCCGTTTTGGTCTTTTTATCTTTTTCTACATAAAAAAAAATAAAATAAAATTCTGATATAACCAAAGTAGCTGTGGTGGAGTGGAGGGACTCCTCCACCATTAACCATAGGTCGAGAGTTCGTACCATGGAGCAACCTTAAATACTTTGGCCAACTGTCTCACCCATCGAGGTACCTACAATTCAGCGAGGTGGATTAGTCACTGTTGTCGACGGCGGACACCCTGCAAATATGAAGAAAAAAAAAAGAGGTGCCTACAATTCAGCGAGGTGGATTAGTCACTGATGGACACCCAGCAAATATGAAGAAAAAAAAAAGAGGTGCCTACAATTTAGCGAGGTGGATTAGTCACTGTTGCCGACGGTGGACACCCTGCAAATATGAAGAAAAAAAAAGAGGTGCCTACAATTCAGCGAGATAGATTAGTCACTGGTGGACACCCAGTAAATATGAAAAAAAAAAAAAAAAAGAGGTGCCTACAATTCAGCGAGGTGGATTAGTCAATGTTGCCGACGGTGGACACCCTACAAATATGAAGAAAAAAAAAAAACTGAGTTGAGTTAAATTTCTTTTGATCCATTTCATTTCATCAAGAGTTTCAAACAGCACCAAATGAATAAAATTGAACACCTATCTGAATGATTTTTGAATGCACATGCATTAAACATTAGGATGAATCTAGCCCAAAGAACTAGTCAGCCAAACCTTTATGCTATGGGATCTCGAATGCGAGATCATTGGCACACAAAAAAAGAAAGAATGCGAGATCCTTAATTTGGGGTCTTCTAATTCTTACTTTGAATTTCCCCAGATGCATGTATTCTTTCTTGCTTTGAATCCCACAAATGGCTACACAGTGGCCTAAGTCTTGACTTCTGGAATTAGCTTAATTTCTCCTAGGAGTGTGATTCTGTTGTCTTAAATTCAGAGCTTAATCAGATTTTCATAGAATTCAGAATCAAATTTGGAACAAACTTTCTGATAGCCGAAAGCCAGCCGGAAAGTACTCTTAATTTAATCCTGCGATGAATACACAACTTGAATCTTTTACCTAAATAAATTGAAGCCACCAAAGTTGGAGATACAGGTAACATAATTAAAATTCTTGAAGCATCTTTACCTATTCGCAAACTAAAAAACTCTATTTTAATCTGAGGTTTGCATTAATCAATAAGGCCTCTAATTGATGGCCCTAAGCCATGCAACAATCTACTGTTTGTGCCTTTTGATTATGACCATACTTTACAAGAAAAAAAATAAAGCAAACCGACATTTAGAGATGGAGAAAAGTCTTCAAAACGCGTTGCATCTTGTATATAGTACTTTTTATCTTTATTTTCCCTTTTCACTTTCTACTTTTAGTAAATTTTTTTGATGATCATAATTTTCTGCATTTGATTAAAAAAAGTGAGTAACAGAATTTTAAAAAATGATTAGTTACACATTCATCACAACCACTTCATTCACCCATTTATTGCAATAGAGCAAATAAATACCCCTTTTCATGGTGACCAATGTAACCTTGAGTCCTATAATTTATCATATACATCAACTACCTACGCTCTGACAAATTTGTATACTTATTAAAAAAAAAAAATCCAAATCAGTCAATTTTTTTTTTTATAACGAAGAGATATGATATACATAAACCATACAGTGAAGTGAAAAAGTCGGCCAAAAATTGTAAAGGTTTTTGTGTCGTTCTGATCAATCACAATGGTACGTAATTAACTCCCAAGGTTAATAACAATAAATAAAAGAATACATATACATTGAAGAAGAGTATGTATGAATTAGTAACAGATTAATCTGCCAATTAGTTCGTATGGCCTATACAATATACACTAAAGATGCGTACAACCTCCTAAGTCCTAATCTAACAGCTAATGATTTTTTTAGAAAAAATGATCTGTAGTGTATATAACCATATATCCCCTCTGAAGACAAACCCCAAAAATTCTAGCTAGTGAAAGGAGTTAGGAAAAAATAAAGAACAAAAAAGTGGCCGGGGAATTAGCTAGTGGCCGATTCCGGGGCTCGGAACTGATCGGAGAATCCTTTCTTGTTCAGCCAAGTGGCGGGCGACTAATTTTTCATCAGTGGTGAAGGAATGACCCTTTTTGCTCGGAGTAGAAGCCGGAACAGAACCTTTAGGAAGGGAAGTAAGAAATTGATTTGCATCCAAATAAGGCTGTTGTGGAGTCGCCGAATTCTTCAATTTCTCATGATGATCTTCCTCCAAGAGCTTTCTACTACTCGAACTCGAGATCGAACTCAAGAATATCGTCAACAAAATGAAACAAGTTATCCTTGAGCAACCCATATCCAGATGTTTTTCTTCTTTCTTCCTTTTTTCTTGAATTTGTGACAACGAGAAATGAAAGAGGTGAGTCGGAAAGAGGGGTTCAAAAATTATGGTGGGCTTTCTGGTTTTTAGTTCTTTGGAGAAGAGAAGAGAGTATGTATATGAAGAAGGGTATTGGTCTATTGTGGTGTGTGTATAAATAGTAGACTGATTAGAAGGGAAGAAGTATAAAAAAAGATAGAATAAATAAAAGAGTGGACTAAGTTTGGAAGAAAAAACATTAAATTAAAAGGACCCGCGTGACGGCTAAGGAGAACTTGGGCGTCAAGTTAGTTGGGCTAAGTCAACAGTACTAGTGCATAGTTTATTTGAAAATTTGACAACAACTATACGGATCATACTTCATCCCATACGCACCCGATCTTTTGGTACAGAAATGAAGTTTAAAAATTAAACTCTTCAAACCTTTCATACTTACATATACAATCACTTGATTAACTAAGATGGTAAAATAAATAAACTAACTCATTTAACTATTATGATTTGGGGTCAAATTTGAACATGTGCATGCAATAGTACAAGTTTAAATAGATTTTGTTGAGATAATTTTATTTTCTGAAAGAGAGGGACGCATTTATTTTGGACTTGAACTAATCGATCAGGAAATTAAATTCTGACAATATATGAGTAATGTAATAAAACTTTTGATAAACTATACTAACTAGTATTAAAAATTTGTCAACTATCAACGTGCACTATTAAAATTTTTAGGCATATATACATAACAGAACAGTGAAATTTGAAAGAGGTTGATAGCAATTAACTTTAAACTCAAGAGGGTTCAACCCTCGTGTCCTCTATACTCTATAGTCAACTGTAGTCGTGGTGAGGTAAGTGTTGAATTTTGAAAATGTGCAAAAAAGAAAATATTGGGTGTAGAAATTAAGGATAGAATGTGAAAAGTGAGTGGGGGATGTGATACTCGAAGTCGACGCGACTTCCCAAATTAATGTATGAACGCCTCGCGGATAAATTCGGTGGAATTTTAGGGAACTCATGAAACTACGCCGCCGGCTACGAATTTACTAGGAACTTTCACGCCCTCCAAATTTTTGGAAAATTATAGAATCCGTCAAGATATGCTGTTGACTTTTGGACCTGGTTTGAATTTGTTTTGTTAGAATACATATACAAAATTTTGTAGTGGCAATGTATACATACGAGTACTCGCACAACAATCAGTCACTTTCATTGGTATGCACAATAATATTGTTTTAACAAATTTGTGAAGAAAGAGAACAAAAAAATACTCCAACGAGTCCAACCTAACTTTATGTTAAAGAATTTCAAACCAATTTGCCTAAACAGCAAGAATAACGTAACACAACATTATTGAGCCAAAGTCCTACACATATTGTCAAATTAATCAGATGTACTCACCTTTCAAAACATGTCATGTCGATGATACACAAATTGGTCGACCAAGAAGAAAATTAAAAAAGGAGACTAGAGACGGAACCAAAAAAAAAAAACAAGATAGGTATGGCTGGGCTATATTAAAATGTGAACCGCCACAATTCGTAGCCAAAAAATTAAACTTCAAATTTATAAATTACTATAATCTGATTGGGTTTTGAGAAACATTCATCCCATTAAACATTTTCTTTGCATTATCATTTTATGTCATGGTTTTATTAGGATACTAGTCATCATGCATCTCAAAACCAATCAATAATAAATGAGGTGACCCAAAATCTTAGTATATAATAGCACTAATGATCAGAGTTATTAAGTCAAATTGGAATGTTATCCGTTTATTTCTTTCCAGTTTTTGCCTATTTAGATAGTCCATGCATGAGTACTTTTTTTTTTATATATATATTTTCTTACAATAGATGAGGTTAATACCTAAAAAATTATTACATCTAGTTGGATGAAAATTCTCGATCAAGACGTATTCTAACTACGTAATTAAGTTTTCAAAAAAAAAAAAAAACATTACAAGAGCCACTGCTGAAATTTCAGAAACCAATACATAAGCACTTTGATCTTAATAATTGTCTCTTGGAGTCGCTGAATCGAGTAGTTTCTTTCTAATTTACTTTGTCATCTTACCTTTTCTTCAATGATCTTTTTGCTTTTATTGAGTGTCCATATCATCGTCCCCAATACACACGACGAAGAATTCCTTCAGAATTATTACTTTCACGTGGCCATGTCCATTCGTAATCGATACTACATAGTTGTCAAATTTTACGTCTCACCTTATTCTGCTCCCTCCACACCTTATAATGGTAAAATTGTGAGGAAACTAACCTAGCAAACAAATCTGCCCGCCTCCAGGCCTGCAAAACTGCTATTACATTTTATTACCCTTTTATTCTTTGTAACCCAAAATGTAACTTTTAGAAAAACCTAACGTTAGAATGCTATAGGTTTATATTAACTAAAGTCCCGGTAGTAGCGGCTTAATTAAGAAATTAGCTAGGCGCATGATCAAGGATCAAAAGTTGATATTTGTCATTAGTGAGCAGTTGAGATTCCTTCAGGAGCACTGATATTCCCTTAAACAATAATTTAAGCTTAATTAAAAATCAGAAGCATGGAGCATTACATCAAACCTTTTACATGATTAGGGCATCATTAGTTTTAACTACTTATGCATTCATGCATATGGATGTAGAATTAAAGTTCATCATGCATGCAGAAAGATGATTCTATTGATTCGGCCAGCAGAATCAGCCTGACGTTTATCATAAATGTAACCAAAACCATCCACTTTAATCCTTATTTAATTAATTCTACTTCTTCGTTGACACAGAAACTTATAATTTTGATGGGATAATAGATCTTTCAACCTAACGAACACATAATAAGAAACAAAATCTGTCTGAAGTGCAAATTAAGTTAAGATACCAACCGCATGATGTAGTCTTATTCTTATCTTTCATTGGTTAACGACCGACCCCATTTTCAATAAGATACAACAGATATGATAGAATTAATTAGTCCAATAATTACATAATATTCTTATGAGCTTATTTATAGACTATAGTGGACACAAATTGCAACAAGCTGCGGACAATGGCATGTTATACCGTCACGTCTTGCTTCATGGAGGTTATTAAGGTTTTCGTCCTTTACGAAAAAAAGTCAAAACAACGTCCAAAAGCAATTTATGCACATTATTCTTAATCAAATATACATACCGTTGACAATTCGACATAGATAAGGAAGAAGACGAACCCGTATTATGACTTCAAAACCATTTCAAAAATTAGGCTCCTGTCATAATCTTTAGTTCTTATACGTCCGACAAATGGTCTTAATACATTTATATTTGCGGTGGATCCCTTCTCACTGCAAATCGTCTTCCAAAATACTTCAAGGAACTAGTTTTTTTTTTTTTTTTTCTTTTTTAGTTTTAAAGCAGACAAAGTGTTTATTAATTTGACATTGATATAAATCTATTTAGCGCAAGTTGATTTTAATTTATTTTATTTTTGTGAGTGTGAAAAGGATATGATCAAATGCAATGAATTATTTAATGTGACATATATTACGAATCAAGTAACATAACCAAAAAGGAAATTCGTCCCGGGAAGTTCCAATGAAATAATTAGATATCTAAAAGCAACATAATACTAGCTAGTAATTGACAATGAAATGATAAAAGAACAAATTGAAGATTTTGTCTTGATCATTTATGGCAACAAGGAAAAAAAATAATTAAAAAACTTAAAGAAAAACGTGGGGATCATGATACACGAAGAGAAAGAATTATGGAGGTAGGCGATATTGTTGACGTAGATAGCGTTCTTCTTGCATTATAGTGGACAAAGTTTGCCTCCATTTTGCTTCAAAAATATATATGTCAAACTTATAAAAAGGATTTTTTTTTTTCTCTCTGTTTAGTATTTAGGTGTCCCGAAATGGTTGATTTGTCGGCTTAAAATGAGTGTATCAAAAGGTGAACTTGCGTGGGAAAATTGGTACACCTCGGGCCGGAATTATTCTCCATGTTTGCTGCATAATAAATTAACTTATGGCCCTCCGCCCCGGCCGGTGTCCAAATTAAAAAGCTTAGTTCTTTAAATCTTTTCACTCGGTTTTGATGACTATTTTCTCAACCGCATTCACATATCTATACTTTTTGTTGCGACTTAATTATTTGGTGTACTTATAGTTCTTTTTGTCTCTTATGTTACATTGGTGCTGGATGTATATATGATCAGCTTGCAATACATTTGGATCCATGTTTTTTAGTACGTTCATCCTTGAAAAATTTACAAACTTCTTTTTCAGCCGAATAAAAGTAGATTATTGTTTTAGGCTCTATCTATATCTATTTGGTTGAAAATTTTGAATCAATTTGCACCCAAAAAAAAAAAAAATGAATGAATGAAAAAGGGAAAAAATACGTTTCCTTCAATACGTCACGGCTAAAATACTTTACATAGGCGAGTTTGATCTAAGGTTTCTGATTTTAAGACATGCTGGTTAGTGGTTACAAATGAAAAAAGCTACCCCTTGGGGGGGGGGACTATTAACCATTAATTATTCACAAATTGAAGTAAGATATAGTTTTTTATTACTCTTCAGTCTCAAATAAGAGAATAATTTTTTTGGTATATTACGTACTCAGTGCCCGAAACCATTGCTCCGGATTGGAAAAAAAAATGTATGAAATTATGCTAATGATTACTCTCTTCTGTACTCCACAGGATTATGCTCTTCTACCCCAAATGTAGCCCAATTCTGAATAAACTTTTCTAGCCCAATTATTGCAGCCTGCCAAGACCTCAAATTTGGACTAATGAACCGTTCATTCTGATATTAAATTTAGAAATTTATGAGAAGCAATGGAGATCCTTTCACTAATGGATCCTTTCGCACTCGCTTGCTGTTCTTAAGCCCAACAAAATCAGCAAATATGGCCCAAATAAAATCGACGTTTCTCCCTTCACCACACGTCCTCAATTTTTTTAATCTTCCACGGGGGGAGGAGTATTTATTATATCCATTAGTTTTCTTCATTCTCAGAAAATAGACAAAATTATCTTTGATAACTGATTAATTAAGCTGAAAAGATTAATGATCCCTCTAGTGATTTGCTTATTACTTCCTTTCATTTCACCTAAATTAATTGTGATTTGTGATGGAGAGAGTACTTATTTTGAGATGGAAATAATATTACAATTTGGTTTCTTACTCACATTAACGTTAACCATATTGATTAAGCAAGTGCAACCAAACTTGTGGTGTATATTTTACTTGGCCAACTCAAAGTATAAAGGGACCTGAAAAATCATATTCCCATGGATTGCAGTAACTTGTAGTGTCTCCCATAACTCTGCTCCTCAGAACACTTTGCAAAATCCTTGGGACTGGTGGATATGATGGACTGTTCTTGCTGCGCTAATCTTGTTAAGCCGACATCTTACGCCAACCCATTTCTGAACGATCATCAGGTACCTTTGTAATGTATATACTTCATCTTCTCTGTTGTTTGTTTTTGTGTTTTCTTTTTTCCCGTGAAACTGCCTTTTCCATTTGTTCCAAAGGTTTCTTTTTTATTGTTACTCTGTAAAAGGGCTTCATGCTTTTCTTTTTGCACTTCAAATTCGTAATCCTTTGTTGAAGTATTTTATTTAAATTATTCACTTCATGGGTTGATGTTTGCTTGTCCACACAGTGACAGTGGTTTTGAAGTATCAAGTATTAGCTGTATATGATATTTCTGGGGATTTTCCTTAATCTTCTTAGTAGAGTGAGGAGTTTATCTGGTTTTACCCGTGGAAGAATCGGAAACTTAGAGAAATTGGATTTAGCCGAACAATATTTAAGTCTTAGAATCTGATGATCACTAAGTGTTTGTGGCTCCTGAAATCATTTCCATTTGATTACAATTTTACAGCTATACATTTTGGCATTTCAATAAGTACTACTCATCCCATAATTGGTAGCTTTTAGAATTCAAAATGGTCTTTCGAATCCCCTTTAATTTTGCTGGAACTACCGGTGCATTACTCAGATTCCGACTGCCTCACAGTTTCTTGTTTGTGTTTCTTGTATCTGGATTGATTGGTCTCATTCAATCCTTTAATGATATGTAGCTTTGCGAGCAGGGACAAATAACATACTCCTCCATGGTCCAAGGGTTTTGGTTTCACTGCTTTAGAACTGCCCCTCATTTTTCCTCATTCCCCCCTCCCCCTCCTAAGTTACAATGACAAAATTATTCTAGTAATAAGCACATTGTTTCTTGCAGAAGGTTTTATGACAGTGTAATTTCATCTCTTGAAATGATAAGTTGGATATTTGAGGCACCCCTTGTAGTACAATTTATCTTATAATTCTACTATATAAATTACTCTGAAGCTGTTCCATGTTTGTGTATATGTAAAGCATTTGGTAACTATTATCCTGACATTGCAGATAGTCTCTGTATTGAACAGAAGTACTTCTGCGAAAATTTTACATCCCGGGGTTTTACGGACTCGTGCACCCTCCCTTTCAAGCCCTTTAAGAGCATATAGCAGCCGCATTTCTTCTCAAGCTGGAGGACAAGGTTGGGACTTCGGCAGATTTATAAAGACACTATTTTTCTTTAACGGACCTCCATCTCCTGCCAAGGTTGAATTTCATGCATTTTATGTCTCAATTGTATCTTCTTTTCTTTTCTATTTTTTAATTTCTTAAAAATTTAGCTTACAAAGTTCTTATGTTTCTTGAAGTTTGTGGAATCTTTGCTAGAGAAACTCTCAAATACATCACCTAGCTACACAGAGAACGCGATGGACAATTCAGGTGTTATTCTTGTGGCTGGAGCAACTGGTGGTGTTGGGCGAAGAGTAGTTGATATCTTGCGTAGTAAAGGGCTTCCTGTTAAAGTCCTGGTATTTCCTTTCTTTTTCTGATGTGCATTTTCAGTGTGGTAAAAGTAGAGAAAGTGAATTTAAGATGTAATGAAATTTCTTCAAAGATATAATTTAAGGAAAATTTCTTTAGTTTGCATATTGCAAGTTTTATTCTCTTTCTGATTTTCACTTTCTTTACTTTCAGATAGCTAATCCTGGTGAGATAATTCTTTCAGGTAAGGAATGAAGAGAAAGCGAGAAGATTGTTAGGACCAGATGTTGACCTGGTGAGTTAGCTACCATGTATGCATGATGATTTTGATGTGAAGTTTACAATCACTTGATTTTATGGATTTGTACTCTTAAAATATCACATGGAGATCTGTAGAGTGTGCAGGAATCACCTTAAAGTTGTTATTTTCCAAACTAGTTGATCAAATCTTTGTGAGGCAATTTTAAAGGCCTCTTTCTTCTTGTTGTTGAAGAACTTTCCTCATTGAAAAAGTTTTATGATGGAAATGAACTTTAGATGGAAATGAAGAAATTTAGAGTATGAGTAATGAAGTAAATATAAATATGCGCCACTGCCACTTGCAAATGTTTGACTCAGCCTCTCTGTAGCAGTGATATCAATTTAAAGTTAGCATTGTGTTTTTTAAGACAACCGTTCTCAAGTGTCTTCCAAATGAGTGCATAATTGTTAGTACATGTTGATATCACTTTAAACGTATTAGAATATTCGTTTTTGCTATCAATTTTTTTGACTCAATGTGAGGTGCTTGTTCAGATTGTTGGAGATATTACCAAGTCCAGCACTTTAATTCCCGAAAAATTTAAAGGAGTTCGAAAGGTTATAAATGCAGTTTCAGTCATTGTTGGCCCAAAGGAAGGAGACACTCCAGACAGGGCAAAGTACAGTCAGGTCTAATTCATACTTTGGTAGCTTTTACTTCTCATTATATAGCAAGTATTTCATGTTTACATTATTCTGCAATTTCTCCTCCTTTCCTTTATCTAATTCCTTGGATTTAATTGGTATTCTGCAGGGAATCAAGTTTTTTGAACCAGAGGTCTTGAATTCACTTTCTGGAAAATGTCTCTGAAGCTATTTTGGACACTCAAAAGGATCATAGCGTGTAGTTATTTCTAAAATTTTTGAACTGCCAGTAATTTTGTTTATCTGTAACTGTACTTTATCAAAATGCAGATTAAAGGTGCCTCTCCTGAAATGGTGGAGTACATCGGGATGAAAAACTTGATAAATGTTGTAAAGGAGGGTATTGGACTTCGCCAGGGGAAGTTAGTGTTTGGATTTGAAGGTATGCTCAATTTTTATTTAATTTTTATTCCCTTTTTCCTTCAATGATTTATTCTCTGGGACAGGGAAAGTCTTTTGGCAAAAAAGATCATCTTTTCTACATTTTTCTGGTCAATCTTTAACTTGATTTTTCCGTGACTGCTTTAAGCTTCAAGATCCCAACTACATTAATAATTATTTAACTCATTGTTGAACGCCTGAGCTAATCATTGTAAACTACTGTTATGCTTTCCGTCATTTTCTAAAGAAAGGTAGAACATTACTCGTCCATTTTTCACTAGTTATTACTTTAGTTTAGTTCTTGACATGGAAGCCAAAATATTCCACTGCTTCTCTTCGGCGGTGGTACTTAATTTATCCAGAGTAATTTGGTAAGTAATTCTCTTTCCTGCGCGGGGTCATTTAGACTGTTGTCTTCTGCAGGAAATTCATCCAGAGAACTTCCTTGGGGTGCTTTGGATGATGTTGTGATGGGAGGCGTGAGTGAAAGTGCATTTGTAATTGATCAATCTGGTGGTGAAAATGGTGGACCTACGGGGATTTTCAGAGGTTAGCTCTTCTCATAAACTGACTGATAAATTCATGTTGCAGTAAATGGAACAAAACAAATGTGACTTAAATTTGCTTCGTGATCCTGTTAGGCGTGGTTTCCACTGCAAATAATGGGGGATTTACTAGTATCAGGACTAAGGTAAGTTTAATGCTGTTTCTCTTTCCTAAATTTTATCAAGGAGATAGATCTATTTACAATAGTGTGCTGGTTCTTTCATAAATTATGAACAAACTTCGTGGTGGTTATTGGCAGAACTTTCCAGTGCCAGAGGATCTTTCTGCATATGATGGTTTGGAGCTTCGACTGAGAGGTGATGGACTCCGTTATAAACTCATTCTCCGTACTAGTCGTGATTGGGACACAGTTGGTTATACGTTGAGCTTTGATACCTCCGAGGGCCAATGGCAATCGGTTAGTTGAAACATTAGAAAATGTAAACAAACTTCATTATGAATGGCCTTCTAAATTATCCATTCATTTCAGATACAATTGCCATTCTCTTCTCTGAGGCCTGTTTTTCGAGCTCGAACAGTGTCAGATGCAGCACCTTTTGATGCTAGCCAAATTGTGTCATTGCAGGCAAGCATGAGAATTTTTTATAGTAAGAGTTATTGGTTAACTTTAATTTATATTCCCGTAGTCACCAACAATCTGAATTTGCAGTTGATGTACAGTAAGTTTGAGTATGATGGAAAACTGAATCCCACTTTCAAGGAAGGTCCATTTCAACTTCCAATATCAAGCATAAAGGCATACATAAAGGAACCAGTTACTCCCAGGTCCATCACATTTTTATTTATATCAATAGTGCTTTTTAGTGATATTATTGATTTATTGGTGAATTCTGATACTTGATATGGAAGCTGTGATCTGGGTAATTGACGTCCAGTTCTAATTTTAGTTGGGAAATCAAAATACAGTTCACACTAAGGGGGCACTTTTAAGTTTGGCTCGACTCTGCATTGATTAGACTAAAGATGATTCATTTTATTGACTGATACTAAAAGTGTCGAGGCAAGATTATTATGGACTAAAAATTTTGAAGTTCTAAGCTTGGGAACTCCCTAATTCTGATCCGTTTTATGCTGATCAGGTTCGTGCATGTCGGTTCTGCTGGGGTCACAAGACCTGAAAGACCTGGACTTGATTTGAGCAAACAGCCTCCTGCTGTCCGCCTAAACAAGGAACTGGGCTTCATCCTCACATACAAATTGAAGGTCTTATACTCTTTGAATGGTCCATTTTCTCACAAAGAAATAATTAGTAGACTTACAAGGCTGAGAAGGAATGTTTCAGTCAGTAGCATCAGCATTTGCATATGACATGCATGTAAGCCTGAGAGGCAGTACGTGGAACATTTAAAAAATGGCATCAAGAAAGTTTATGTCCTTTTAGATTTATGTCCTTAAACTGTATCATGCATCATGCTCTCTGTTATTTTATTTTTATTTTAATTTTTGTGAAATCATGTGGGAATGACGGGAAGTTAAAACAGGGTCAAACCATGAAATGCTTATGCCAACCTGAAGTCCAAATTGCGGCCTAAAAACTTAAGCCCATAGATTTTAAGCTGCAGTCGTTATTGAGTGCTCAAAATTAGTATTTATAACCCATGTGGGATTTGGTAACCGCCTATGAATCTCAACACAGTTAGTTTGTAGAAACTTGTCATTTTACTCTTCAGTGATCAATTATCTGCTGATCTAAACACCTAGAGATAATCCCATTGCAAATTGTTTTGCAGGGGGAGGATCTGATTCGGGATAGTGGGGTTCCGTACTCGATTGTGAGGCCGTGTGCTCTAACGGAAGAGCCCGCTGGAGCTGATCTTATATTTGACCAGGGAGATAATATTACGGTATTAGCCTATCACTTTTGTGACACTGGGGAAAATTTTCTGCTTTTTTGTAAACTTCAGCTTCTGTTTGCTGATAAATCCATGACATCATTTGAATGAAGGGGAAGATATCTAGGGAAGAGGTTGCTCGAATATGTGTTGCTGCTCTGGAGAGCCCATATGCATGTGACAAGACATTTGAGGTTGGTGCTTATACATTTTCTGTTTGAAATGAGTTTGCGTCAAGTATCCTTTTTTTTTTTTACCCTTTCCCATCTTCTCTCCTCCTTTTCGAGCCGGATAAACATACACTGAAATTTACAGATGATGTCATAGAAAATGAAAGAACTTTTAATTGGTTTGAAGGTTAGATATCATAAAATATTGGCATAACTTGCATTTTTGCACAATGTCTATGCATGCTTTTGTAACCATTTGTGATATTTGCTACCCTTACAATTCAATCACTATTTGAGGGTGAGTAGGTGAGGTTTTTGCAACTCCAGAGTGAAAAATTTTGAATCTCCTGAAAACAATGTAGGTGGAAATGTTTTAATCCAACCTTTTTAACGTGTAAATTTGATGCTAAGTTTATTTTTTAATAGAGTTATTCCAACTATTTGATAACTATATGTTGTGCCTAGGTAGCAAGTTTCTCTCCTCAATAAGAACTGAATAGACTAGCCCATTGATTGATCGCCGGATTTACTTCTTTCTTCTATATTGGTAGGTGAAAAGTGTCATTCCCTTCAGTGAGCCATTTACAGTGGATCCTTCAAACCCTCCTCCTGAGAAAGATTACAATGTTTACTTCAAGACACTGAAAGATGGCATTACCGGAAAAGAAAGCTTAGAGAAAACTCCTGTTACAGCCTGAACCGTGTGTCCAGGTTGAATTATGAATAGCGTGAAAGACATGGCTCTTTAACATCCTTCGCTTGAAATCAAAGTAAAACTACCCTTTTGTTCCAGTATTACACTACAGGTCGGGTGCAATGTATTAAGAAACACTAGTGTTGTTCGGTGCAGAAAGAATTAGGGAATGCAGGGTGAAGACATGTACAGGATAAGCAGGCAGGAAGACTTTACTTGTTTTGGTATGGAACCTTTTTGTAGATACATGTATCTAGTAATGTAACAAAACTCCCCCATTTTTGTGGCCGACTTCTACTGGAGTGACACATTAATTTACAGTGGACTTGGGCAAATAGCTGATATGAACAGGGGAGACTGTGCGTAATAAATTGGTGACGTGGGGTGATGCCATCATAAATTGTAGGTACATTATAGTGGTGAATCGTCTGCTACAGTACATTCACCAACTGTGAGTTAAAAAGTTGGAGGCAAAATCCGGGTGAATTGCCTGCATTTGTCGGTTAGTCTGCAATCCCATCATCAATGTACAATAGTACCTCCGACCTCGAAAATATAGGTCTCTCAGTTGGAAAAATTATTCGCAAGAAATAATGCAGATTGTTGGGTTTTTTTTTTTTGCAGCAAGAAATCTCATCAGGCCTTTTGGTTTGGTATCAACACAGAAGACAAACAAAAGCATTAATAAGATGGATGGACAGTGATGTGGCTTAAGAGTGGTGACATTAATACCACAAAAGGGTTTTGGGAGAAAAACGATGAAGAAAGAAGTGTGGCTGAGAGATGTCAACTTCTGCTCCCTCTGCTGCAACCTTTGAAAATTGAAGAGCCCAAAAAAGGGACCTGTGGGCTGGTTAACTTGGACTTTTAGACCCACTCCTCCGCTTGGCATTTATACCATAAAAAGGCCATATGTTTTTTAAACTTAATTTACCCAGGCCATATGTACTTTTGTTTTTTCAAACTTACTCAAAATTTTGGGCAGGAAGCCACAGGATTGAGTAACTCTGGAAATGCCAAAAGTAAATCGCTGCCAGAGAGGCTGTTATTCTTGTTCATTGCTTACTGCCATCATTGCATGTGAACTTCTGCATCCTATTCACACCTAAGCTTCTTTTCAGTGGTTTCTTAAGGCTAATTTGAGTCCAGATTTCAGTGGTTTTTTTTTTTTTTTTCCTTAAGGCTAATATTTTTCAACGTGTTACATAGTTCGGGATGAAAATTTAGGCTTTGTTTGTTTTGTTTTTTGGATGGTTTTTTCATAATATTAAAATAATAAATGTCCCACCCCATCATACTTTTTTACATTTACAATACAAAAAACACCTAAAAATACACACTAAGAAAACGAAACAAATATACCCTTAACTATCTTCCCATAATTTGGGATGAAAAATATCATTTTCTTAAACTATTACAATATTTTTCAAAAACATTCGCGAATTTAATTAAATATAGGATATCGGAAAGTAGTATGAATCAAAACACTTGAGGAACCCAAGTCGGAATTTCAGGATTCAATTATTGCATGTGATGTTAACGTGGAGATCTGAACTGAATTGGGCATAGTCGCCTGGCTGGTTGGCTGGCTGGCAACTAAACGTGCAAAAAACATATACGAACTTGTACTGCGCATAATGAAACCAAAATGTCTAACTCATAATTTAAGGTCATATTCACAAATGACAATCCATCTCTTCATCATTTCCAGATTCAAAAAAAAAAAAAAAAAGAGCAGATAGCCAATGAACATGAAATAACTATATGCGACAATGTTCACAGATTATTGTTAAATGTCGTGTCAATTCAAATGATCATCCTATAACTACTAGCTCTCTATACATCATTACATATGTACGTACTTACTACAGGCTTGTCGAGCTAGCTAGCTAGTAATTAACTAAGAGAAAAAAAGTAATCAACTCATTAATTACTATAATTCTCCCTCCAAGCTAGAACGGGAATGTACTAAGTATATGTGATTTGTATTTTCGAGGGTTCAATTCTCACTCCACAATAATTGCAAGGTCCATTGTTAGGACGGACAATTACAACATCGAGCAAAAACTAGCAAATGCAAATGTGTAGCCTCCTGTCAATACTCATGCAAATGAATGGGCTAATAAATGAATTGGCTAATAAATCTCGTGTATTCTTCTGACAATTAACTATTTGCATTCCGAGTCGCACTTTAGAGATGATCCTTCAGTTTCTCTTTGGAGAACACAAACATGCCTGCAGAACAATATCAAGGTATTCTTTCAGTTTAAGGAAGATCAAAGGGCAGATTGGATTAATGAATTGAGAAAGGAGGATGTGGAGCTGTGGAACATTACATGTAAAGAAAGTCTGTATCGTCTTGTACGCTTTCGAGCTTCCAAAACTCGTCTAAGCTTGGCCAGCAATTCATGTTGACCCAGTATCTTCCCCGGTGAACTCATAAACACGCTTCTCTCAATCGGAGGAGACCATATCCCACTCTGCGAGTAATCGAAGTTGAATTCTGAATAATCACAAAACTTCGTTAGCAGTTTCTCCGACACTGATTTGGATACCAACTGAATTCTTCTCCTCACAGATGGGGACTCATCATCATACTGTGTATCTGGAGATGAAGAAGATGTAATGATTTCGGAGATGGGCATACTGTGTTTTGATATAACATGTGATTGAGAAAGAACCTTAACAAAATTAATAATAAAAAAAAATTAAAGATAACAGTTTGAGGCGATGTGAGGCTTTGGAATTGGTGTGCAGAGAAAAAAAAAAAAAAAAAAAAGAGCCTGGTTTTCTTTTTGTTTTCTGAAGAAGGTGGTGGGGGTGTTTTAATTCTCTCTTGTGAGTTGAATGTGTGGGAAAGTGGAGATGCTTTTGCTTATATATATATATTCCAAATTGTGAAAGAGACGTGTAAAAGTGACATAAGGGAGAGTTTGAATGGAGGTGGAGCTCTAGCAAATCAAATCATTGGAGTAGACGTGGCTGGCATGATTATAGTTTCAGTTTTGGTGTTTTAGGTTTGCTTTATATGAAACCAGCAGTACATGTGAAATTTTCAGCTAAGTTCTTATATCACTTGTCTAACTCAGTTAGGGTACCTCGAGTCATCATCTATCCCCTACCCTGTATAATTTATCATTCTATTTATTACTCTTTCGGTCTCATAATTATTATCCAAATTGAATTTTCATTTCTAATTTAAACTGTACTAAACGTGAAATTTCAAACTGGATAATAATTTTGAGACAGAGGGAGTATAACTTAACGCATGATTCTTCTTTATAACCTTTTCACAAATGGTAAATTGGTCTTAAAATGTATGGAGTTTAACCCTCGACATCATTCCTCTTGTTTGTATGCTCATGAACAATTACTTTAAAGCATCATCATAGTTTTACTAAGGTTTTTACTTCGGTAAGAATCAGCAAAAATGAAGGCGACTTTGGTAGATAATTATATAATTACTGTTTATCAGAGGAATCATAAACAAACATAATATTGTCTCCTGAGCGGGAAGGATCAGTTTTAAGAGTATTATAAAGTTTCTTTTCAAGCGCCACAAATTTTTGCAAATTGTGGTCCTGATTATAAAATAAAATAAAATAAAATTGAGCATGCTTGCCATGAAAAATGGCAAGTGAAAAAACAAGAGACATGTTATACTTATACACACCAATTATTTTGGAAAAAAAAAAAAAACAAAGAGAAATGGAAAACCATTCCTGTTTCGAAACAAAATAATGAGCCGGACCACATTTTTTGGAATCTTGGGCTTTGTATATCTCAAACTGGATGGCCCATGGATTGAGATCTCCCCAAGTGGGTGGCCCTTGACTACTTCCCAAGTTCCCATGAAACATTTTATTTTCTTTGCTTAAGACTTAAAGAGTGATGTTGGAAAATTAAAACGTTGATGTTGTTGTTTTCATATTGAGCATTGTAATTTGAAACGTAAAAATGTTTTAATCAGTCCTAAAGAAAATTCAATTAAATATTATAATGAATGAGACTCCTTTTTGGGATGGAATTCGTACTATATTAGAGGATTACGATGGGATAGCTATTAACAGGAACTCGATGGTTGCGTTGGGATCATCTAACTAAAAAAAAATTAAAGTATGAGAAAATTACAAAAAAAAAAAACGAAAAAGAAAAACAAACACACACAAAAGTTGAAAAAAAAAAAACCTTCAGAAAATCCCCTAAAATATCGTGGATATTATTTACTTAACTTCCCTTATCCAGTGAAATTGAATTTACAGCCTGGCAAAAGGCGGGCAGACAGCAGTTTTCTCCAGTCTTTTCTTCATTTTTCCCACTCAAATTCTGTTGAATTTAAAGGGTCAAAAGCCCAAAAAAGAAAGGAAAGAAAAAGAAGGAAAGGGAAAAATAAAAAGAAAATAGAACAAAACACAAACGAAAAGAAAAAAAAAAAAAGAAAAAGAAAGAGAGAAACGTAAACACCAGACCAGAGCAGCTTTCAAAAAAGAAATTAAAAAAAGAAACGTATATTTAGATACAAAGCTTCATTAGCATTTTGATTCATAATAGTATTTCCAGAAGGGAGCTGTAGCGGTGATTGGTTTTTGAATAGTAATGGCGGGTTACAGAGCTGAAGATGATTATGACTACCTTTTCAAGGTGGTTTTGATTGGGGATTCCGGGGTTGGCAAATCTAACTTGCTTTCAAGATTCACCAGAAATGAGTTCAGCCTCGAATCCAAGTCCACAATTGGTGTTGAGTTTGCCACTCGAAGCTTGAATGTCGACAATAAAGTCATCAAGGCTCAGATTTGGGACACTGCTGGCCAGGAAAGGTGAGCCCTTTAATTTTATTGAAGTTAAAGTTCGCGACTTTCTGTGATCTGGGATGTTTTCGAATTGTTTTGTTTTCGTTCTTCAGGACTACTTTTTAATACCTTAGTTTTAGAACATGGGAATGTGAGGGTTCGTGTGTTGCAATTGTTGTTGGAGTTGGGTTGTTGATCAGACGCTGCTTTACTCAAAATCGTTTGTAATTTGTGCTTGGCGTGATTTGGAAAATCCTTCTCTGTTAAGTTTTTAGTTTTAAGTTAGATTGATATGCAACTTGGAGAGATCTGGAAAGAATGCGACACAATGTCTGTCTAGTGTGTACTTTGATCTGAGAATGGTGATGATCTGGAACAATATGCGTTGGTATTAGCCTTTTCAGATCCACACTGCTTTTCGATTCCAACTGCATTTTCTTCTGTTACACAGATTACTTGGATCTTGCTTCATTTTTTCTTTTTGTTTTTGGTTTCCGTGAGTTTGATGTTAGTGTTGTGCCTATTTTCTTCTTTCTTTTCGCGGAATTCTGGGTGCAGATTTGTGGGAACTTACTGAGGATGTTTAATATTTAATTATTCAATTGTTCTGCGCATGATGATGTATTGATGTTGCCTGAGTTTTTGTCTAATGATGCCATTGTTGTTTTTACTACACACATCTTTTTTTCTTTCTATAATTAAGTACAAAAAGTTTTAATCTAGAACTATATCATGAGTTCACAGAATAGAAAGATGGGATATTGAAGTTAGAATAAAGAAATAAAGCTAAATGGAAAACAGAGAGATTCTTTGGTTGACTACATAAAAAGAGAAAAGGACAATTGATCTCTGGAAAATGGATGTGGCATCTGGCTGCTTAATAATTCTGTATGTACAAAGCCACTGATAGATGTATCATATCAACAACGTCATGCCCAGAATTGGTTTTACTATATGAGAATGCCCATCTCTGTTTCTCATGTCCTGATTCCTCCCACCTTAATTCTCATTTAGGATAAGAATTACAGCACTTAGGTTTGTGTTGTAGAGTAGAGGACATAACGTGCTGAACCAGTGAATTATTTGAAGACCTCGTCCAGTAGATTTAACTTCATAGAATACCTGCTAAATCATGAATGCTACATGGAGATCTAGTTCTTTTTGGTAGAAAAAATTCATTGTTTTAGGTCGCTGGTTTGAACATGAGATACGGGCGGGTGTTTGGGACTATAATGAAATGTAGGGAGAGAAAGGGCATAAGTCTTCTCCGTCTCACATGTAGGAGCTATCTGTGGAGATATCTGTCTTGGTTTCCTATTTGCTTAATATTTATCTAGTGACCCAATAAGGTCATGTCTAGCATTCATGTGCATTCTTTTTTTTTAACTGCTGATATCATTGTTTTTATCACTAATTAGACTGTAACGTGCGTGATGAGGAACAGCAACCATCTCCTCATGGCTTCAAAATGATTTCACAATTTCTTCAAGTTGCTAAGTTCATGACTCAAACAAAGTGTCGTTTATGTTCTTTGTGCTGGGGACTGATTGTACTGTGATTGCTTTTGTGTCTAAACGTAACCATTGTGTTCTATGCCTGGAGCTTGCCTTTATCTGTGACAAAACGTTGAATTTTTGTTTCTTAACTGTAATCTGGAACGTTGATGAGTTAGTGCAGCTTCGTCTTCTTCTTCTTCTTCTTCTTCCTTATATTATAGTTTAGTTTCCGGTAGATACTGGTGTCAGTAATCCCCCATCAATATTATTGTATAAGGGAACAAGTGTGGTTAATATCTGCAATATGTTCACTGGAATTTTGAAGGATAATAATCATCTTAAGTTTCTAGGTATCGGGCAATCACCAGTGCTTATTACCGGGGTGCTGTTGGTGCCTTGCTTGTGTATGATGTGACCCGGCATTCTACTTTTGAGAACGTTGAAAGGTGGTTGAGGGAGTTGAGGGATCATACAGATCCCAATATTGTTGTCATGCTGGTCGGAAACAAGTGTGATCTTCGACACCTAGTTGCAGTCTCAACTGATGATGGGAAGTCATTTGCTGAAAGGGAGTCTCTTTATTTCATGGAAACTTCTGCTCTTGAAGCTACCAATGTGGACAATGCGTTTGCAGAGGTTCTTACACAAATTTACCATATAGTGAGCAAGAAGGCCATGGAGGCTGGTGAGAATGGAAATCATTCAGCTGTGCCATCAAAGGGAGAGAAGATTGATGTGGGTAAAGACGTTTCTGATATGAAGAAAGGCGGATGCTGTTCAACATAATTTTTTTACCAACTTAAACATCAGATCTTTCTCTTTCTTTTTTGGTAGTTTGACTTGCTCCAGAGGGGCAGTTTAATCCTTTAAAAATTAAAGGCCCGGCTTACCCTGAAATATCAAATCTCGTAGAAGTCAGGGACCTAGTTTAATGTTTGAGTGAGGTATTCGTTTCTGAATTTTACCCTACATTAGAGGTGAGTTTGCTCATGTATTGTTTTGTGCTTGGTTCTTGGTCCTTCTCTTAGGCACGCAGATGTACTAGAAAAAGAAACCATAGTTTGGCCTTGGTACCATGTAATTCAGTGATGAAGGTACAAGCAACTTGACATTAACCTGTAATGAATTTAGCCTACATTAGAGTTGATTTTGCTCATGTATCGTTTTGTTCTTGGTTCTCGGTCCTTCTCTTAGGCAAGCAGATGTACTGGAAAAACGAAACCATTGTTTGCCTTGGTACCATGTAATTCAGTGTTGGCAAATTGATTTTAACCCGTAAGGATTTAACTCAGATCACTCAGGTTGAACTTTTCATTAATTCAATAATTTTAACTTTCCTCGGCATTTATTTGTAAGGATCTCCCTCCATTTCAATTTGTAGGTCGTTTTAGGTTTGGAGAGATTTTTCAAAATGTAGGTCGTTTTACAAATTCTAGTCAAATTAATAACTATTTTTCCAACTTTACCCTCAATAAATGATACCAATATATGTTCATCTAGTATTGTTTATAGTTCCAATGTAATTAATGAGGGGTAAAATAAATATTTTAACACATAAATTAATTGTTGAATGATTGTTTCCTTAGTTTACGTGTAAAGCCTAAACTTACTTATATTTTGAAATGGAGAGAGTAATTTGTAACATTTCAACGAATATATTTTCTACAGTTTCAGTGAAAACGAAAATCGTACCTCTTTTAATTCAAGTTAAAACCTAAGTCATTCACCAGTTGAAGGATAAAGCTGTCGAGAATGCCGACCAATGAACAAATATATCGCACCAAGCAAAAGGCAAAGTTGACGATAAAATTTAACGAAAGCCCAAACATATTGTTTTGTACCAATTTCACGACTTTATTTAGCGATATTATGTCTTGATAATTATTCCCTCCGTCCCATAATTATTGTCCAATTTTACTAAAATGAAAGATTTTATTTTTGGTGAAACTTAATTATATTTTACCTTAAACAACTGGATATACCCCTACATAAGTAATTGTTTAATTACTAAGATTTTATGGATAATGTTTTTTACTAAGGACAAATGTGTAACTTGATCCATAAAAAGTCAAATTGGACAATAATTTTGGGACAAAATTTTTTAGGCAAAGTGGACAATAATTATGGGACGGAGGGAGTAATTATTACATGAGACTCAAAGTAAAAGTCCTAAACTGCAATTCTTTGCAAATATTGTTTGCCTCAACTTATCCGTTTAGGGAAAATGGGTCCTTCATCCCAAAGTTTGGGCCACACTATCCAAAATATCCCAAAGTTTAAGAACATGTCATTTACATCCCAAACTTTTTTAAAACATGTTACATTAGGATATTCGTTAAATTTTTAACTCCAGTTAATTAATTAGTGGTGGTACTTTATTCTGTTTCTCCCTCCCAATTCTTTTAATCATTTAACACGTTCCACTAACTCCCACCTTATAAGAAAATAGCTAAACCTAATTTGATTTTCACATCATTCATTCTTCCCTTGCTTAGAAAAAGAAAAAAAAAAATCCAAAATTCACCTTCTAGATTGATAACAATAATGAGAGGTTTTGTGTGTGTCCTAATTAGAAAGTAAGCCCTATTTCATTTATTTTTTTAAATATGTAGCATCATTATAAAAATTTGGTGTTGTAATTGATGCATGGGTATGCAACTTTTTTGCTTGACATGGACCAAATTTACCAAACGCAAGCATAAAACTTTTTTGACTAAAAAAAAAATGGGAGAAAAGAAACTGAATGAAATATCGCCGTTAATAATTTGAAAAAAATTAACAAATGTTCTAATATTACATATTTTTGAAAAGTTTGGGATGAAAATGGCATACTTTTAAACTTTGGGATGTTTTAGATGATGTGCCTCAAACCTTGGGATGAAAAGACCTATTCTCCCTATTTGTTTATTTAGCGAAACTGATGACAAATATCAAAATCTGTTATCTTGCATCATTTTTCTTATTTTTTAATGTTAGTATTTTAAATCGTCCGCATGGCTTTGAACAATCTGCAGGTTGACGACACACACTACTCAATTTTTTTAATAGTTGGTTTTTAAAAAATGACTAACGTGATTTTTCATTTTAAACACTAGTTAACTCATACCACATGATATGGCGTGTTTAAAAAAAATCGCTAAATATTACCGCGAATTTGAGTTTCAATTATTAGTACAACATAATAATTACGAATTTATTACGAATATAGAGCAAAAGTTAAGTCAAATTTTTGAAGAAATGAAAGAACACCTCTACTACTAATGTTATCAATGTAAGTTTCAATAACTTGCATGGTGACACTACTAGAAAAAGGGTTTATTACTACATATGATTCCAATCGATTAAGGACACTTATTTAGAATTGTCATTATAAATTATACTACTAATGACACTCTAATTTTATGGCATTTTCTTCAAATAAAAATCCCAAAAACAAAAGCTGTTTTGGGGCAATTACCCCATTAATTTCAGGGCGATCTTTTCGGCAAAAATATATATATATATATATATATATATATATAGAAAACCTCTCTGTTATTTCAGAGACTTATCAAACTAATTTTTTTAGTACCATAAAATAATATTTATTTATTTAATCTTGAATTTTGTTTCGCCCTTTCTCTTCTTGTAAATGGAACACAATTTTTTCTAGTACTTGGTTCAATTTGGGTGAGCAAAAACGATGGCTCTTTGGTTTGGTTTAGCCATAATTTTTTAATCCCTCACGTAGGCCCTCGTCCATAGAGGCAAAGGGATCTTCGGCGGAGATTGGGCATGTTACGATTGATAAAAATCTCGGAGGAGAAACTGCCATGGAGGCTAAACTGTGCGCAATAATTAGAAGGTAAAGATTGATGCCGACGTCCACTTTGGTGTTGTTTGCCACTCAATTTTCGATATAAATACTTTCTCTCTGTGAATTGGTAAATCTAGGGTTTAAAAATTCATTTTCATATTCATTTGGTGATGTAGGATCTTAAATTTCTTTGACCTTCTTGGTAGATCTGGAGTTTTTTTTATTCATTAACTTTTTATTTTATCCCTGAAAAATTAGGCGGCATATTGGAAATTGGTGGCGGCTGATTCGAATAGGTATGTTTAAGAAAATGCGTTGGATGTTCTATTGTTGTTGATGCTTGGAGGTAACGTTAATGATACTTTTTGTTGATTATACATTAGCTCTTGAAAAGTAGTCAAGTACGCCTTTTAAACTTTTCTTTATCAAAAGTTCTGAATTCTTGTGTTCAAATGAAATTAAATTCTTTTGGCTTATTAGATAATTTGTTTTACTTTAATTGAAATCATTTTACTGCTTAGATGTTCAATGCATTTGAAATTGATTTTGTATTGGTTGGATTTCCTTCTAATAGAAAAACTATGACATTAGATTGGGTCCTCTATCATCTCTTCCCCTTCACACATTAACATCGTTGATTGTTTCTGAAGGTATGTTGGTTAGATTTTGATTTAGAATATGAGTTTGGTCTTCATTTTCTGATCTCCAATATTATTAAGTTTGATATCTATTTACATCTTTTTCTTTTAGATTTTGATGTGGTTTGAAAACTTTTACAGCCTTTACTCAAAAGAGAGAAGGGAAGGAAGTACCACGATGTAACTTCTTCTTTCATTCTTTTCAATTAGAATGAAACAAGAGAAAATCTTCAGTCCGGAAGGAGTTAATCTGAAGGTTACGTGAAGTGAATGATACAATTGAGAAAACATTGCTCTCTCGGGGGATTCGACTAGTGTTTGAAGATCATGCGTTTTTTCTTTTAGTTTGTAAAAGATAGTCTAGAAATGTATAATGGATAGTAGTACTAGAACAAGTGCAGGATGAGATGCTGCTCTATAAAGTGTTCTTGTTATTCCTATGTAACTTTGTTTGGATTGTACTCTGTTTTTTTTTTACTTTTAAGGAGGAAATGGAAAATTTATTTTTATTTGAAAAAAATTATAATATTCTAAAAAGCAATTACGAGGAGAATCGGAAAAAAAAAAAACATTAGAGGTGCAAAAATTACATGACGTGAGAACTACTTACTTTGAAGTGACTCTATCTTTATCTCTTGACAAGTCTGAAAATGTCTTCAAAGATTATTTGTTATAACACTTGTTGAGTCTCTTTAAAGACTATGTAAAACTACACTGAGCCTATTGTTACATTGAATTTAAAGGCACTTATACAAAATGTCACAATAGGTACAAATGTCTCTATAGTTAATGTTTTAAGACATTTTAAAGTGTCTCTAGTCGGCATTATTCTAATAGTGTGAACTTTGTTTTTATTTTTATTTTTTTTAAAAAAAAGTTTCAACTGCCGATGAACAAATGATTAAACTGATTAAATTAGTATTCATCGTCGAAATGATGATTTTTACAGGAATATAGTGTAAGAGAAAAGGTTAAACCATTTAGAATACCCTATCAGCAAAATCATGCTTCAGCATGTGGTCATATGGTGTTAGTTAACTAATGGTTAAAATATATCGTTAAAATTTACATCTAATTTAATATTATCATTATAACATATTAGTTACGAATTAGATAACAATATAGAGCAGAAAGTAAGTTGAAATCTTAAAAAAATGAAGGAATGCCCCTGGTACCTGCCTTATTAATGCAAGTGTCAACAACTTGCCGAGTCTACTTTAATTTTCTTTTTTAATTTTTTATCTAGTCGATCAATAGATTATTAAATTAGTACTATATCGTCGAAAAAATGATTTTGATATGAAGATAGTAAAACAGGAGAGTTAGAACTTGAAAGCATGTAGGAATTTCCAACACTCTATCAACAAAATTATGAGTTTTGAACAAAAAATACAATTATCAAAATCTAACGTAAATTAATTTTTTTTTAGGACGGAGAGAATACTAATTAGCATTAATTTTTTGGCCCAAGTTAATTTCTAACATTCAATTGGTTAACCCTCTAAACGGTTTGAATTAAACACAACGCGATTGTCAACCCTTTAGTTTCAACTTTCAACAACCTTCTGAATTTACCCCAATTGTATATATAGGAAACCGATCCTCTGTGTTGTGAAGAACATTAATTTGTCAACTCTCAAGAGTTATGGACACTCTGGCTAGTGTAGGAATAAACAACGTCAACTCGTTCGGAAGCATGAAACCCCATACCCTAATAGCTATTTGTTATTACGAGATTTATGTACAAGGTAGCCGTTGTTGACGGATAATCAAAGCAAGACGCTGATTACAATGTCCACTCTCACAGCAGAATCTCCACAAGTTGAAAGTCTTTGTAAACAAAAAACATTTTTATTTGTATTCCATCACCCTTCCATTTTAACATTCTACTTATTATTCCTTCTGTCCCATAATTACTATCCAATTTTAGTTTTCATTTTTAGTTCGAACTGTACGAAAAATGAAATTTCAAATTAGACAATAATTTTTGAGACAAAAGAAGTACAACATAATGAATTATTAAACAGGAATAGAATGAGAATCGTACAATCAACTTATAAAATTTTTTTATGAGACCAATGGTAACCAAAAAAGCTTAATTTGACGATAGCAATATTTGAACAATTAATGCACAAAACAAAAGTGTACTTAAACCACTAATTAAATTCAGGAGCCACTTTACAAATCCAAATTTTCCCCTACTAGACGTATGTGTTGTGTCATTAAATTGACTGAAAATTAACGTTTACTCTATGATCAATATCATTATCATTAATGACTCAATCCGGCATGACGCTCAAACCTATACTTTTTTTTAAAAAAAAAAAAAATCAAATGTAATTAAAATATTGTCGCTGATTACACGAAAGACAAGTTTTGTTGAGTCAAATTGGTTTAAAATAATAGTACCAATAGTCTTCTTGGATCGACATCATCCGGTGGTCCCACACCAAGGCGTCAAGCTAAGCCGCCGGCGTTCCTCATCCCTCTCCATCATCATCCCCGGCCGGCGAAAAACCTTGGAACATTCCGGCAGCTCGCCGAGATCCGCGAAGAACGATTCGTCGTCATCTCGCATTGTGAAAGCAGCCTTCATCATTTCATCATCATTAGTAGTACTGCTAACCTTGTGATCCCCAGTGAAAATTAGACTTTCTAACATAGTAGAAGAAGTACTGGTGCTCTCGAATTCCGAGAACCAAAAATGGTCGCTAACACTGGCAATCAACGACGACACTTCATTCGTAGTACTATTGTTAGCGACAAAATCGTTGTCGCCGCCCCCGCCCCCGCCGTCGCATTTGTTGATCACGGCGGCGTGGCTAGCGAATTTCGTCGGCTTTTCTTCCTCCTCCTCCTCCTCATCCCCCTCTTCTTCGTCGGCCTCCTCCTCTTCTTCCTCTTCCTCCGACGAATTATTACTAGTTGCAATTTTCTCTGGCTTGATTGAATTATTAATTTGGGTAGTTTGATTTCTTGGTGCCGGAGGGCCGGGATGGTTATGCTCACAAGAATAGGTGACAAGTAACATGTTAGGATCTAATTTGCTCCTTTCCACTTGTTTTTTAGCCGGACATCCCTTTGAACTACTACATCTATAGTATCCCCTGCAGTACCATATATAATTAATTTGAATGAATGGAATTGAATCATCATTGTTTGAGATGAATTAATCAAATCAAGAATTGAGGGAATTGATTGATGTAAGTTACCTAGGATATGGAGAGCCTTTAATAGGCTTCTGACCGTACTTCCTCCAAGCCCAAGCATCGGTGGGCGGAGGTCCGGTTTCACCTTTGAAACGCGACCCGGTTTCAATTGCCACTGACATCACTACTCGATTCTGATTACTAGATCTCTTACTACTGTAAATTATAAACAACATAGATGTAGAGTAACATTCAGTATTATGCATGTGCATGATGAGACTAATTAAAGTCAAATTCAAACCCACAAAAATTTTGGAAAGACTAAAGAAGATTGTTTTGACGATGAGAAAAGGAAACTGGACCTTTTTCTGGGGGAGGAAGTAGAAGCCATCATCTTGCCGCCATCATTGAGCAACCTAAAACGCGGTGAATCTCCACTGTTTTCAGGTGAGCTTTCCTCCATTGATGATGAAGAAGTGAAAAGAATTGGAAATGAGGAATTAGGATTCAGGAGGGAAAGAGGGGGGATGTTATTGTTGATGTGAACAAGGAAGAGGAAGATGATATATTAAGGCCTAAAGGGGCTAATTAATTATGTTGACAGATATGAAGTGATAATGGTTGTTTAATGAAGGACGTGCGAGCAAATGTGAAAATATAATCTAAACATTAAATTTCTTTCTTTCTTTTTTTTGACAAACAATTTTCTTTCTTTTATTACTATAAAAAAATTTTATTAATAGAGTTTTGATGAAAGCAACCCCCCCGCGGTCGACTCTGGTGATGAATTTGTTTATTGTTTTGATATTGTTCCCTTTGTTTGATTAATTGGCGCTTAGTTTTGGATTATTGTTAAGTCGTCTTTTGCAGTCGGCTATTATTTTATTTTATTTTTTGTTATTAAATTGTTACTAACAACCCTCTTGATCTTATCCTTAATCTATTCATTTTTAATTACTGTGAAGATTTCAGAATCTTTAATGTTCTTTTCATTAGGTTGTGAATTTGTTCTTACTTTTTGGTGTTATGTTCATGCTACAGCTTCATATCGTTAACTATTTCAGGTACCATAAATCAAATTAATGATATTAGTATAGAACTGGGAAAACTTTGTACGTCTAGATTCACTCTCTAAATTAAGTGAGTGTCTCCAATAATTTGTAATTAATCAATTGCCCCGGAATCAGCCTCATTTTCATGAATCATGATTAAAAAGTTTTATCCCTTTCAGCAATTGGATTAGGCAACAGAATGAAAGCGTGATTTTTCTATTTCTGATTCTCTAATTTCCTTTGGGCTATTGTCTTCTTGTGGAAATAATTTATAGCTGCAGATTTTATTAAGCTACATCTTTTTTTTAAAAAAAATATAGGATTTATCCCTCTACATTCGTTGTCATTTATTACTCAAATAGTGACAAAACCGCTTTGCGATTTCATACATAAATGATAGTGAAATTCAAGTATTTGTCCATATACAATATAGATTGATGATATTCATTAATAATGCATAATGGTTCAGTACCAAAATCATAAGGCAATTATTAGAAGACTTGGAGTCAGTTGGATGATTTTATTAGAAAAAGCCTGTATCAAAGATTCTTCCCCGATGACAAATCACTCACCATTCACCAACTCATTTAATTAGCTGAGAACAATAATTAATGAATGATTCGAATAATTATCATCTTCTTTGTCCTTACAAACAACATTCTCAAAGAATTCGAGAGTGAAAATACTCTCCCTCCCAAAAAAAAATAAAATATTCAGGTCATTACGCTTAGAGTAATGATGGGTACAAGAAAAAATGACAAGGAATGATGTGTTAAGATCTTAACTATACACTAACTTTAAATGCATAAATCGTATTTGAAAAATTTTAATAATAGATTGGTGAAATCATTTTCTTGTACCAATCATTTTCATTACGCTTAATAATCCACTTTTTTGATATTTCAATTCTACAAATCAAACTATTGAAATGAGATATAAGGACTAATGTTTCATTTTCGACTGACATTTTATTTTTGTGTTAGCATGGTAGAAACATAGAAGTATGAAAACAATTGTCCACACAAGAAGAAAAAATGATTGTAATAAACTATTATAGCTGTTGGCGTGACCCTACATAATAGTTGTCGCTTAGCAAATACTTTGAGCGTTGTAATGTTTTCCCCAAAAAAAAATTCTAATTAATTAATATTTGTCCACACATTCAATGAAAAAGAAAAATATTGTCTTGATAACTGCTACATATATATTATTAGTTTGTTAGAAGAGAGTTTACTAATTGGAGTGCGGTTGTGTTGTCCATATCTTTGATGACATCACGTTAATCATATGCATTTCTTAGTAGTATGAATTTTAACCTGGTGATAAAGTTCTTAGTTACTGAAATCTTTCTGAGATCTAATTCCATTAGTGATGGGTTGGAGTTGGACGATATATAAAAACAATGTATGTTGAAATTGAGTAGCATCAGGAAAACTATGTATTAAATAGAAGATAAATAAATTGTTATAAATGTTATTTGAATTTTTGACCACGTGAAAATAACTCTTAACTGTCTTTAAAAAATAGTACATATTTAATTTTAAAATTTTATTATTTTTAATATAAATATCAAAATTCAATATGAATAATTTTGTGAGATTTATAGAGTATCTCTTGGCTTAAACTTTTCCATTAGTGAAACTAATTTAAACTTTTCCATTAGTGAAACTAATTTATGAGAAACTAATTTGAACAGATGTTTTTGAAGGAAGCACATGGTTATGATTAATTGTTCACAGAGTAGAAATTGAAATTGAATGCATATAATCGCGCAAAATAATCCATGATCTTTCTCGATGTTAGCGGGATTGAATTTGTGGATTAACTCTAGATAATTCAATTTGAAATTGGGTTCAAAGGCTAGTTTCTTGCAATTTACTACTATTACATAACTCCAGTCAATTTTTTTAATCCACCATTAATTCAACGACGAGAGATATGTTAAACTAATCCCTGCCATCTTGACTAACCCCTCACACTTGCATTAAGATATTGGGAATACACTAATCTGACTGATGATTCATTTATCCATACCACGCGCAATTTTAAATTACAAGAGTCCGTGTATTTTGTCTGTTGCGTATAAGATTACTAGTATTCTACTTGAATCAGTCTATGTTTTACGAAGAACATTATTACTACTACTAGTTTAGTAAACACAAAGTCCATGTCCCTTTGACAAAAGTGTCGTTAAAAACACGATGTAGTCCGAGTTTTCAGTCCATGAAATGCAATAGCCTAACGAGTTAAGACTTTTCTTTATTAATTGTGTATGTAATACAGAAAAAAAAAACTTAAATTTTTTTCATTACAAATCTTAATTTTTTTGAAAAAATGAAATCTTATATTTTGCATTAGGGAAAAAATTAAGAATTTGAATGCAGAGTAAAAAAGTTATCTAGATATGTTCTTTTTTCCAACGGTGAAGGCATATATGTTCGCCAAAAGGAAACATCACGAAAGTTTGGATGAACCTGGTACAACAAGTTACAATTAAGTATGTTCCATTTTACCGGAGGCCACAGTTTTTTTTTTTTTTATAATAATTTTATTAGGAGAATTTTATTTTTCGAAGAACTTAACCAACTCGAATCATAATTAGTCAAAACTGTAATAAAAAAACAAATTATTTGACATGTCTCTTCCGTTCAAATTTCCCTGAAGTGTTCTCATCATGTTACTACCCAATGGGTTCCAATTATGAATAAAGTTTTAATTCAATAATAAATACAAAATTCATATTCCACCGTTTAGCAAACAACATTGGCTACCGGGGGATTGGATAACATTGTTTTCTCGGATGCTTAGCTCAGTAATTGCGTAAGCGTTTTTCCGGGGTATATACACTTCTCCACTTGAGAATTGATATGGTCAGACATAATTTTTTTTTTAATAAAAGTCAAACATTAAAAAGGATAGTTAAATTTATGATCTTTTTTTATCATTCTATTGTGAAAAAATAAAAATAGAAATTGCATTTTTTTTAGAACAAAAGGAACGAAAAGAAAAACCCAAATTGGAAATGGACCAACAACAAACATTAATTAAAAAAAAAAGATTCATCTTAACCATAGATTGAGTGGTCAAAATCGAAACTTATTATGCATATGAAAGAATCTTAAATTTTTTGGTTGATTATCTCAAAATATGATAATTACTTGGGATAAAAGAGTATCTAAATTTTTCTGATCTGAGCTCTCACCAATTGAAGTGTATGCGTACTTATGCTTCAGTTTAGGGAGCCCAGAGAACTTAAGCCTTTGTTTTTTTTCGTGTGTTTGAAGATTTCTTTAGCGTGAATTTGTGTTTTTTGAGGAATGTAATAAAAAAAAAATAATATATGAATTTGCGTTTAGAAAAAACAAAAACAAAAAAAAAAACATTTCAAAATATGTATTCCTTTTGTCCTATAATTATTTTTAGTTTAAATTGAACTAAAAATAAAAACTCAAACTGGACAATAATTATGGGACGGAAGGAGTACCTAGCAAATTTTACAGGTGCATTGGATATGAAATGTTTAATGATGCATTGGAAACTGCGGGGAAATTTTCACTTTGAAAAAATACACACACAAAAAAAAACCACTTTCAAGAAGTATGTATTATGTAGTATGTATCCTCCGAATATTAAAAAAAAAAGGTATTAAAATCACTTTCAAGGAGTATTTTCCGAACAGATTTTCAAAGTGGATGTTTTAGTTGTACAAAATAGTGAGTGAATACTGTACTTGATAGTTGAGGTCATGAATTCGTATTAAAATCCCGGGTGAACTATAAAGAGCGGTATAGCTAGTTAGGGTAATATTCCAGGATTTTAAGGTGGCGAGTTCAAAAACTATCTGCCTAATTTACCAAATTTGAATTCAGAGAACATACTTAATTTTTTCAAATATTCTAAAATGATTTTCCTGTTAGTACATCTTTGGGATACTTTTTCGCTAATTAAATTATGAACATTGATTACGTGAATCCCAAAAGTTACTTGTACAAAATGTAGATTTTCTTGAAACATTGTTTCAGTATGTGTATTATTTTAATCATTCGTGTGTTGGCCCTGCAAGGATGATTAAGAGATGGAAGAGAACAGTGTAAACATTTCGATGGAAGATACATATCTTTGGTCAAAAAAATCAAAGATGCACATAACACATCCCATTTTTTAAATTTTCTTCTTCTTTGCTGAGGTAAATTATACTTTAACAGTTTCGACCACTAGGATTCTATCTTGGGGGAATTAGCTTTCTTTTCAACAAGCTTGTGCCGGGGCAGCATAAGCCTCTACTTTCTTATGATCGACAGCCACCAAGCAGAAGCTACTACCTGTTTACAGGCATTACAAGATGCTTTATTTCTGGGCATTCAAAAGCTCCATATCTACACGGATTATGAACTCTTAACCACCGATCAGGAAATTTCTAAATTTCCGAGTGAAGCTCAGGAGATAATCGCCAACATACGTACCCTAATGTCTACTTTTCGGCTTTGCTCACTGATAAAGGTAAACCGGATGGTAGTTCAGGATCTACATAATTTAGTTTATGCAAAAATGCGATGTACTAGTTTAGGTAACCCTTAATTAATATAGATACCAATTCAAAAAAAAAAAAAAAGACAGCCACCAAATTATCAGCGGACCAGGGCTCAATAAGGCTACAAATAAAGGGGTAGCCGCTGGTCTTAATTAGCCACGGATTTCCGCTACGGCTAATGAATGTTCTAAAGAAAGGATCTTTCTCAGCTGACTGTTTTTCAGTATCATAACCATAGACACTTTCCGAATCATAAAACATGATTTCACTGTTATTTCGTCGCGAATAGGATAGAGGAACAAGATCTGATTTGGGTCGATAAGACTCCGGCAGGATCCAGCAACTTGGGAATTGTTGTAGCGCAACTTTAGTCCAAGATTCCAGCACCCCGTAATCCTTCATGATCCAAAAATATAACTTGGAAGAAGTGTGTCCGTACATCACACATAGGCACCCATCCATAACTCCCAGATTACCTCTATGCGAAAATCGTCGTCGCGCCAGGATAAACTCTGCAGGAAGCGGAATAGTTCTGTATTCCTCTGTTACGAGATCAAGAGCCATAATGAGATTATGGCCTCTCGCGAGCCAATGTAGAGCATGATCAACTAGCCAGCCGTGATTCTCGCGCGCGGTGGAAAGTCAAGTATCCAATGCGGTAGGGAAACTTTGGAAGATACCGGCGCAAGAGTTAGATTTCAAGCTATAAAGTTGAACTTTTTGATCATACGTATCTCCGGAACAATAAAAGGATTCAACCACTTGAACTACCTTGTAGCCATCATTCATATGGTCATAACAGAACCACCCAAAGAGGGCAAGGGTTCAGGTAAAACCCAATATACTTGGAAGTAGCTGGATTTAACAACACGATTCTAGTATTTGAATAACTTAAACAAACCAGGGCATTACAACAGCCGTGGATTTTAGTCTTGGAATTTTCGAAAGGAAGGCGGAGCCTCTTTAATTTGGTGATTCTTAGGTTCCTCTTTTTGGTCGGCGGTGAGGTTTGCTCTACAGTGTCGAAACTAGAAGCTGAACAATTCCCTCTCACGCTCTTAAAATCCACAAAAAAATTAGCATCTTGGGATTTTCAATTGTTTCTGATGACTTGAGCTGCAGATTGGTGAAATATTTGCCGTCGATCATCCGTCTCCATGATCTCGACACGCACTTAAATCTTAACAGTGATTTCACCGGCAACTTGAGAAACACTTCCAGTAGTATAGCTTCGGGAAGTTGGCCGCCGCTAGTGGACGACATGGTCGATGAGAAGATTGTTATTAGAAATTAATCAAAAGGATGAAGCAATTTTGACGGAAAAATTAGCCTTACGCCCATCACCATTTATATACATAGGTATCCCTGTATTTAATTTTACCATAACAAAAAAAAGAATTTGTTTATTTTTTAACCAAGTCTTGTTTTACTTTGGTTTAATGTTCTACAGGTGATTCTTTTTTCTTCCAATAATTTTTTTTTACCAAAAAATACAGTAGAATATCGATAAATTAATAATCTTTAAATTAATAATTTTTTCTAGCATCAACTTAGATTAGTATAAAAAGTGAAAAAAAATTGATTAAAAAAAGATAATAATGTTTAGAAAACACCGTGTATATATATATATATATATATATCTATAGGTACCAATAATACCATAAATTAATAAATACTATAAATACAAAAAAAAAAATTTAGTAAAATATGAAGTAGTGAATACTTGATTTTTAGTCCCTAAAAATAATATGAACTATGTATGGATTATTAGTATCCAAAAGGGTTTTAATACTTGATCTGATAGGGATGTAAAGACAGTTGTAAAGTAAGTAATTTAATGATGATTTTTTTCCTCATAGAAATTACTCTAAATTATTTATTAATAATTTAATAATTCTCTAAATTAATAAATTTTGGCGGTTCCAGTAATATTAGTTTATAGAAGTTCTATTGTATCTTAAAAAAATCCAATACGAATAGAAATTGATTAATAATTACTACCTTCATTATTTACAGGCACAATTTTAATTAATTCTTCGTATTTTTTACTCACGATTTGAATTATAATATCCTCTGCACTACTACAACTTTACCCAATAAAAAGAAGATTTGGAAAGTCGAGAAGAATACCTACGGAAGCCCAATCTACCCACCTTCAAGGGGGAAAAAAAAACAAACAAAAGGATCTACCCGTTTTCAGAATCCGAGAGAAAGAACCCTAGCAATGGCGGAGCACTTGAAAAGTTTGTTTGGGACGGAGAAAGACAGGGTGAACTGCCCTTTTTACTTCAAGATCGGGGCTTGCCGTCACGGTGACCGTTGTTCCAGATACCACACCAAGCCTTTCTCCAGCCCTACCTTATTGCTTTCCAATATGTACCAACGCCCCGATATGATCCCCGGCCCGCAATCCCAACCGCTCGACCCGAAAAAGATCCAGCGCGATTTCGACGATTTCTACGAGGATTTGTTCGAGGAGCTCAGCAAGTTTGGCGAGATTGAGGATCTCAATGTCTGCGATAACTTGGCGGATCACATGGTCGGCAACGTTTATGTCCAATTCCAAGACGAAGATCAGGCCGCCGCCGCCCTGCAGGGTCTCGCCGGTAGGTTTTACGCCGGCCGTCCCATCATTGGGGAATTCTCTCCGGTGACTGATTTCCGTGAGGCTACTTGCCGGCAGTATGATGAAGGTGAATGCGCTCGAGCTGGATACTGCAATTTTATGCATTTAAAAAGGATTAGCCCAGAACTGAAGCGGCAGTTGTTTGGGAGGAGTAAGGGGAGGCGCCGAAGCAGAAGCCCCAGTCCCTACCGTTCCCGTGGCGGCCGTGGATATGGTGATAGAAGAGGCGGAGGAGATTATCATTCTCATGACCGGAGAAGGAGGCCTAGAAGTAGGAGTCCGGCCCGAACGGGTGGGCGGCGCAGCCCAAGTCCGTCCCGGAGGAGAAATAGGAGTCCAGTCCGGGAAAGCAGTGCTGAGAGAAGGGCAAAAATTGAGCAATGGAATAGGGAAAGGGAGCAACCTGAACCCACAAAACAACAAAGCAGTGACGATAAGGAGTAAGATCCTCAGTCCAGTTTTAATTGTCCACCTCATTATTCAAACAGATGAAACCGAGGAATCAATTTTATCAGTAAATGGTAATTGTTTGTTTGTTTGGTTGGATTTTCTGTATGTGTTTCGAAGTAATAGGATTTTGATTCAGATAGAAAAGCTTAATTGTTTGTGGGTGATCTTTGTAGGTACCAGTTGCTGTGCCTTTGAGATTATTGAGTTGAATGTTTTATTCCGCGCTGTGTTAAATTTTTTTGTTACATAGGGCAAAAGTTTTCCTTTGAAGGCCTGATGATATATTTGCGCTGAAAATTGTGCTAGCTAGCTAGGAGGACTATGAAATTGATATTATGAACATGATGATGCTATCAGCAGCAGAATTTCAGTCACTGATTCCAGATGGGCTGCAGGATATATATGTTTGTTTTGAAGAGCTTAGAACTTTAAGTGGTGCCAGGGATTGCTGCTAAGTAATGCTTACCAAGACTTAATTGTAACACGTAAAAGCTAGCCATTTGAGATGATTGGTTGGAGCCCATTAATATTATTAAGGATGATGAATCAATAGACTTATAAAACTGAATATCACGAAGTCCAAGTTAAACATGATTTTAGAGTTGGAAATGTTGCACATTCTTTAGCAAAACAGAGCCTTACGAGACTAAGAACTAGAATACCCTTATGTGTTTTGGTATCTCTTCCCCTGTAAGTGTTCGTCTCTTGTAATCAGTCTCTTTAGATTCCAACTTATGTATTGAAAAGTAACTCGTAAATTCAGAATCAAAATGTAGGGAAGTAAGGAAGATTGATGAAGAGTTCCTGGTTTTAGCCTTTTAGATGTCTTTCTTTTCCACCTGAAAGTTTTGGTCATAGGTTTTTCATTATGAGAATATTACATTGTCATTGTTTCTTCATGTGATCAGCTAATCAGTACCGATTGTTGAAAATTGCACCAGATATCTCTGTATCTGCAATTTGGCATTTCTGGCAACAAATCCTTGGTCATCAGGTGTTATGCGCCAGATTGTGTATCTTTATGAAAGTTTGATTTAATTGAAATGGTACGGATTTGATGATATTGGTTAAAATTATCATTAATCCAGGGTAAGCATTACCAATGGGGAATCAACCATCAAGAAATACAAAAATTGTTAGTCACATCTAGTTGGTTGGCTTTTGTCAAAATGATAAGGGAGAATCTAATAAAGTAGTGGACTTTCAAGCTTCCAAACTGGTAACATTACATATATTGATTGACCATATTGACCTAGCTCTAGCTAGCTAGCTAGCTACTTGGTGATGGCCATTGTAACGGCATGGGTTACGTCTTTCACATCCAAAATTTGATGTTCATCTTCCACAATTGCCTCCATGAAAAAGAAATGCTTGCAAGTAGATGTGGCTTGCAAAACATTGAGATTCAATTTTTCAAAGGACTCAATAATTGACACCAGCAAGTCTCCTCCCTTCTTGCAAGTCACCCTTACTAAGAATCTTGTCCCAAACTTCTCAACTTTCACTTCCTGTTGTTCACAAAATAAAGTAAACATGATGATATTGCATCATCTGTCTTTCTTTGACCTTTGTACACTTTCTACCCTGACCACCTTCCTTGCCCCTCCCTAAGAAACACAAACCCACACACACATTTATGAATTGGAATGAATAATGTTGAAATGAACTTTTGGCTTACCTGGATGTGGGTAATGAGGTTTTGGTATTCTCTACTGATGGCATCTAGTTGGAGCTTCAGCTTCAAGATGTAAAGGAAAGCATCCATGATGATTGCGCTCTTCTTGACCTTCAAAAAAAAAAAAGTTTAGAAGATATTTCAAGTTAGATTGAAATACAACATGTCCATGATCAATCAGTTGAAGAGATGCATCATACTGATTTGGAGTTGGTAAGTGTTCGAAGGATGTAAAGCTTCCTCTTCATGGCTATTTTTCTTTGCTGCCTCGAGAACTTTGATGCCACCATCTCTTTCTCTTTCTACCTCTTGCTCTCTCTATCTCTAGATCTCTCTATGTATGTGTGTGTGTTAAGGGGTGAACTCCATCGTTTTATTTATAGATGGAAGTCCACGTTTTAAAGGTGCTCAATCTTTGGACATTTTTGGATACTTTATCTCAATTTTCTCTTCTTCAAGTGTAGTATGCACTGTTAAGAATCATATTAAAAACGTTAAATAAAATGTTTGGACACTAAGGACCGTACTTTTGGAAGACAACATCCAATATGAAGTTCAATGATAACAAATGTAATTTGACTAAATAAAAGATAAATGCTCAAAAAATGTTGATGAAGCTTACATGAAATCAACTTAACAAATCAATCAAAGCATAAATGCAAAACAAGAGAAACGACAAATAGTAGGAATATTACTAGGTCTATGCCTATGCGATATGAATGACAGTATGTCTGGAATTCAAGAAAAAAGCATGTTGGTATCTTGGATTTTTCTTCCAAAATAAAAAAGAGAAGAAAAGAAAATTAAGGATCACTCTCTTTGAGAAAATTACAATAATCTCTTTTACCACTTAAACAGTAAAGATCAATGTTTTCTTGTTCTCTCTTCTTTTCTTTTTTTTTTTGTCTGATAAATAAAGCAGTAAAGTTATGGACTTTATGGTAAAACGCAATATGGACAAAGAGTTATAGTTGTAATTTTATGGTAAATCCTTGCAGGGTAAACTGGCAAGATCAATAATAAGCTTTTGTTGTGATTGGAGAAGGATAGCCCAATTATGGTCCAACTGCAACTGTGTCAATAACACTATTATAGGATCAGCAGAAAGGGAGAACCTTTACCGGCGACATACATTTGCAGTCACTGAGACACCAATCTGAAACCGGTCAAGGACCTAAAAGCATATGAAAAATTTGATTTGGAGTTTTCTGTGCAGATTAGTTGCATGCATGAAATTGTTGAATTAAGCGATGCCCATCTGTGAATGTGAATGTATATATATTCAAATTTGGAGTAGCAATTGGAATGGGGAGTTGTCAGTGATTGATAGATTTATGCATCATATCTCTTTCTCTCTGGTCTGGCCTCTGAGTCAGTCAATTTTTCAGGGCTTTTTTTTTTTAGTTTTTTCTCCACAGTTTTATCACGGGAACATAATTCTCTCTGGTTCAGTTTTGATCACCTTTTGTCTTCAAAATAGTGTATACTGTATAGTATTATAGTATGATTTACCAATGAGGAGGGTTCACATGCCCTGACACCATTGCTCTTTGTTGTCTGTTTTTATTCCAAGTTCTGTACACTTTAGGTGCTCCACAGAAGTTTCATCGATTTGGGTCTTTGTCCAGAATGTTTCTATGTCGTTGTGTGTGTATAGATATATATAAATATATATATATATACCACGGATTTATATATATATATAAATTTCCCTCCTCTAAAAAAAGTTTTTTTCTTACATATATTTACACATTAAGGACTTAGACAAAAAAAAAACTTTCAAAAAATATGTGGACAAAACTATATACCACGGATTTCAGAAATCCGAATCAGGGTAACAGTCGGATTACTGAAATCCGAATCCGTGTAAACTTGGATTACTGAAATTCGGGTTTGTGTAATGTTAATCAGATATTAATTTAATGAAAAGATTTAGTGTAATTAATATAAATACGGACTTTTCAAATCCGAATTCACTAATAAAATATTAATTCCCGGGTGGATGAAAAAATTATAAGTGTTGAAAAATAATATTTGGCTAAAGTCGGATTACGAGAATCCGAATAAGGACTAAAACAGATTCTGTAAATTCGGATCCCCTCTTTGATTAAAGACGGATGAAGTAACAACGAAACATAACAAGTTTCAATCCAAAAACTACTTTCAATGTAAAAATACATCAGCGGGCTCGTTTTTTCCCTTTTCCTTTCTTTGGCGCATTCGGAGTGTATTTATTTGGCCCCTGGCGGATCATGTCTTCCCTCTGAAGATACGTGAGTATTGAACCCTATTGTTGACGCGGTTGGGGTTGGGGTTGGGATTGGGACTCTCCCAGGTTGAGAAGTAAGACTCCCGACTGTGGTTGCGACTCTCCACCAAATTGAGTTTCAGGTCCACCAATGTCTTTAAATTGAGTCTGGACCTGGATGTGCGAGCCTCTAGAAGAAGCTGCCTCGCCCTCTCGTTGTTGATTACGTGAACCGTCACCCTCATTTTGTTCTTGCGATGACCGAGGGGGAATCACTATCTTTAGCTTTCTTCCTCCTCCAATCTTCTCTCTCGACTACGGTTTCGCTTTTTTACCCGGCGCAGGTTGTGAGGGCAGAGATGGTTCTTCATCAACTAGGATTTGGATATCGTCCATGTCAATCTCATCATTTGGACCTAGGGTTAAAGCAACATGTGTTTGATTGACGATTTCGTTCAAATACTCCTCGAGTTCATTGTCTAGGAGATTCTTCTTATCTCTATCATCTCTAAACTGTTCAGAGCTCACGCGAATGTTGTTCAATACTTCACCCTGAAAAGAAATTGGAACGTTAATTAAAAGTGTAAAATACAAAAATCATAAAAAGATTAAAACAAAATAAAAGGAAAATATAAGAAATAAAAAACCCAAAATATAGAATGAACTCACATATAATTTCTCTCGGCTCGAAGAAGTCTCGTATCCTTTAGCTTCATAATTTTTGGGATTGGATATAAACTTGACAGTATTCATCATGAACCATTCATAGTACCCCTCATATGTTTGGCCACGGAATCTAACCTCCAAATCTCTAGAACGTACTTTTCTCTCTTTCTCCAGTGAGGACGTACTGCGGAATGGTGATCTACCGAATTGTTGCTAGGTAGGCCATACATACTATGAGCGTGATCAAGAAGAAATGCTGCGCAATCTTTAATCATAAGGCCACGGGGAACACCCTGTATGTATCCAAATTGTCTCACAACCCTGAGCAACTCATGGGGTTCCCTAATAGCCCAACAGAACATCCAGCATCTGGTCGTCCAAATAGCTTTTCCTTGTTTACAGAAATCGGGGAGTTTAGGAAGGACGCTTGCATATGGTTGCCACAGAAACCGCACGAAAAGAATTTATTTAAATGATATAACTGGAAGAAAAAAATTCAATATAAATATAAATACCAAATAAAATACTTACATCTTCAAGACGCAAGCTTGTTAATTGATCTCTAAAAAGTGTCAAGCCGCTCCTTGGGACGTCTCCGTAGGTGTACGAACATTCCCACCTTAATGAACAAACACGAAGGGGTTATACTTCAATTAGTAAAAAAAAATAAATAAAAAACAAATAGAAATAAACATTGAGTAATTTTGAAATGAAAATACGTACCGCTGAGTTAATGGAGCAGTCTCATCCAGTATATAATCTAGTTGCACTCTATGTGGCGTGATTCTCTCAATCAGCTTTAACCATCATTCCAAAACGTTGTATGATAATGATTCGACCTTAAAATTGAGTTACAACAATGATAATGATAATGAGTTAAATGCAACATTGGAAACGACTTTAGAGAATTTCATTGAAAGTACGAAGTCACTATAAATTACATAAAATGAGAAAGATAAATTGTAGAAGAGCTAGCTAGATTTTGTACTATGTACAAGACAACAGTTGTTCGCAATTATTGTGTGAAAACTCAAAACACACACATTACAATTATATGTATGTAGTTGATATGATTGTAACGAAGTTGGCTTAGATAGATCCAAAAATAAAATGATGTTAATAGCGCCTTGTGTCCTGATAAGTTTTAATAATTTTAACATCTTATATATTTCGAAAATTCTAGAATTAATTCGTAGGGGTGCGAATCCCAGTTGTTTTGTCAAAAAGCTCGACGACAGAGTTGTGTAAAATAATCCTGAAATTAAAAACCTTTCCAAATGTCCATCAACCAGCTATATAGAAATGCATGATGAATAATACTACACGTACGAGAACCGTAGGTCGGATCCATGAAAGGATAATCGAATTACTGTTTGAAGAAATTTCGTTCCTTTTTGGAGAGGGAAAAAGGCCAAATATGCATACAGCATTCTACCTACTTGTTCATGCATGCCATTTGACAAGACCTTTCTGATTCTTTTCATATTTTCTCAGGCATGCCTACTTCCAGAGGAATTTCTGATCAATTAAACTTTAAAAAAAGAGGGAAAAAAAAAAACAAAAAACGTACAAGCTAGCTAGATTAATTTAGAAGGAACTGAAACTGCAGAAAGGCACTTTGGAGTTTAGCAATAACATACTCTCATTCTCATGTATATATGTAGCAATTGTTGTTTTACTATATGCTCTACAATCCCTTTCGAGGGCTTTAGTTAAGTTCCCTTTTTATTGTCGATTCATTTTTTTTTTTTTTGATATTTCAATGTTATAAGCTCACATTCCAATCTGTTCTTTTTTTGTCCATTTCCTTCTGACATTTTTCTATCCCCTCTCTCCTCATGTATATATGCTTGTCTATTTTGGCATTTACATATGTATAGTACACTGAGTTGTCGGAGCTGAAGGATTCAAAACTTTTCTTTTCTTCGTCTATGGGAATCTTGGGAGCTATAGAGTACTAGCTCACAAGACACACTAATCTTTTTCATTATTCAACGCAACCTAGCTCTATATAGCAAAAATATATACACTTTTCCGTACGTTAAGATGTAGTAAAGCATTTTGGAATTCGTAATTGCTTGTGGGGAGAATAGTAACAACAATCATGTAGCTGTAGCAATATATTTCGAGGAAAATTTTTTTTGGTAAAAATCCACTGGAAGTATCCATATTATTACTTCTTGGTATTAAAAAAAAAATTGCACTTAGTGAAGTTATAACTACACAAGCCATAAAATAATGATTGTTGGCAGTGAAGAGCATTCTTATTTTTTTTTTCAAAAAAAACAAATTGTAATTAAAGATATTTTTTTGAAAAAAAAAAAAAGACAAACAGGCGGAAAAAGAACAACTTAAGGATAATAATAGAACCGTGAAATAGAAACTTAGGAGTGTTATAAATTGGTAATACAGAAGATTAATTTTGGATGACAAATGCCATGTAAGATATTAGAGTAAAATCACAATATTCTCCCTATAATTTCAAAATTCAGTGTGAACCATTTGTTTCGAAATAAAAGTAATTTAGTATGGGAGAAACAATGCATGGTAAGAAAGCCTTTTTTCTTCAGAAGAATTGCGGGGCAAATCACCTTTGGCAGTGAGCATACTTTTTGAGAAATTAAATAACAATGCACTCTAATTAGTAGCTGCCTGCCAACGGTGTATTTGCCCTGTAATGCAGCTGAAGCTGGTATGGCTTATGTTGCATTTCAACCATGCTCAATCTTCCATATTTATATGAGGCCATGAAATCCAGGATATGCCATTCAACGTATAGCATATCCTAACTTGTTAGATGTACCTTTTAATCTCTGCATTTTCATTGTTTCTCGGTACTTTTTTGATGTTCTTAAAAAGAGCGAAAAAAAACTCGTTATTGAGAATCTTGTGGCACCTTTGATATTATACCCATTGTACGTAACAATGTTATTCCAATTGTGAGCAGTATAATACGGAAAAAATGATATACACAATATTCTTCCATCAAAACTACCATGCAGAAATGTTCACTTCGGAAGACCATCATGGCAAAAGTTGATTAATCTTGCGAGTAGATGAACTAATTAATTGGTGTTTTCTAAGCAAGTTTTTGTTAAGAGTTGGAATGCAAGGCACAGATGTTGACACTTCCAACACATTTAACTGTCATAATACTTTTTCTGTTATATACTGAGCTTTTAGTCGGAAAATTGGGAATGCACAAATCATGTTGACACTCTTTCCACACAAGAAATTCACATTTGCTATTTCAGTAAATAAATATGTAAGCATAAGTTCTTTTTGGAATCCCATTCTTATCAGAAATTTCAGAATCATTGGCCAGAGGTTAGATGCTCCGCACCGTCTAGATTAAAATAAAAATAATCCCTTTGCTACAAATATGTTGAAAATTAATACTATTTCTGTCATAAAAAAATAATCCATATTCAGTTTTGAGTTTTGTATTAGTTTTAGTGCAAATTTGAATACTCAATGTAAACTATTTTTTTGTGACGGGAATAGTATTAATTAACAAACTAAACCACCAGAAGACACAGAAAAGTACTTAACTTATGTGCTTGTAAAATGTTTTTTTTTTTCCTGAAAAAAGAAATTCAAACAAGGGAACGTCTCCTGTACTGGATCACTAGCTTAGGGTCGCGTAATTGCTTTCGATAAAACCCTTCGACGTACTCAAGCTATTCGCACAAGTTAATGGATATTCTTTTAAAAACAAAAACTGATTTGGTATATCTGATGAACAATACCTTTGATCGTTTTTCTCCTTTGAATTTATGGTCCCCCTTCCTCTTTCGCA